GAAGAGATGGTCATTTGATGGTGGGTCTTGAATGCTAGGTTGAGGTACTTAGAATTGAGGTAATAGGTATTAAGGAACCATTTTAGATTTCTGAGCAGGACAGTGATATGACAAAATCAGAAGTTTGAAATATGAATAATTTGGCTTAGTGTGTGGTATGAGTTGGGGGAAAGAGAACTGGAAGTTGGGGAAGATCAATTAGGAAATTATTCTGATAAATGAAATGAGAAATGATAAACCTCTGAATTACGATAGTATTTTTAGCAGGGAGGGAGGAAGGAATAAATGGATCAAAGTAAATCTGAAAGGAGCTCTCTAATGGAGTGTCATGGAATTATGATTATCTTTGCTCTATGCAACATTTTTACCAATTACTTTGATGAAGACAGGTGGCATGATAATCAAATTTGTGAATGACATAAAGCCCAGATGGCAACCATATGACAGATGTATGGCAGATGACAGATGGGCTCCATCCCCTCCCAATTAGCCACAGAAAGGCCAGACATCTGGAGTTAATCAATCAAAAAATGAACTAGAGGTTCAAAAGTGGGAATAGGTCTTTAATGAATTTGAAAGGATCATCAAGGTTTGGGGTCATTGGCTTAAAGTAATGACACATAGGAAGTTGTTCATCCTTCCGTTTAGAAGAGGACCAATGACATCACAACACTGGGGTAAAACAGTGGATTCTAGGTGATGTCTTGACTTGTGCATGAATTGTATTAAAGTGTGGTGGAGTTGGGCAGTCATCAGCCTTACTCTCACTTCCAGAGTGATCACAGTCCAGTGGCAGGATAAAAGTCAAAACTACTGGTGATGGCTTGGGATGCAGTGAATGACCTTGGCATATTCGATGCCTAACCAAGTTCTAAATGTTCCACAGTACCTGCTTCAGCCACCTTCATGGCCACTGGAACAAATTGTTCCATCCACCCATTCTGCCAGGGAAAGTTTTCAAGTGCTTGGGATAGACATCCCTCTAACTTACACATAGGTTTGAGGTCTGTCGGTTACTCTCAACCTGTTTTAGTCCATCTGCCAAGGCTACATGTAGCTTCTTAGAGCCACAGGTGAGAATTGGGTAAAAGGTGTACACCAAAGGTGGATGAGCCACCTTGGAAAGTGCTCAGCAAGCCCTCACACCAGAGGTACTAGTCCTGAACACACCATGCCCTTCATATAGGAAATATCCTGTGATCGGCTAAAGAAAACCAATAATGTCCTATGTTATGAATGAAAAAAAGCTAGATAGTTCAGAGCCAGTCAGTGAAGAGGTGGTAGAATTCATCAGAGAGTGACTCTTAGAAGGGAATTGCCCTTGTGGATAGGGGTTGAGGGGGAGGGTGTAAGGGAGAGTTTTCTTTCTTCATCCCCATTGGCTTGGGTAGTGATTTTGTGAACTTCAAAAGGTAGTAAGAGCTGGGACAGCGTTCACCAGAATTAACAGCAGTGTCCCTGGAGCAGTAGTGGCTGACAGTAGAATCCTGCCTCAGGATTTGAGAGCTATGTTGAGGACAAACTAGTAAAACTGAGCAAAGGCAGCCTCAGAGAGCTTGATCCTTTGGGCAGAGAGAAGGGCAGGTTATGGACATTACAAAGGCATTGACTCGCAGAGCCTAAGGGGAATTTTTTGAGGATTCTACAAAGAGAAAAAGGGATGATCAGGAGCTATGATTTGCTCTTTTGCCACATGTTCTTTGCCGCTCCTCTGGGGCTTTGGGCTTAAGCCTACTCTTCCCCAGGGACTTTGTGTGTACAAGAGGACAGCATACCCTTTTGGGAGGACTTTTTTTTTGGCAACATCTTTCATCTCAATATAAGCTTAATAAATACCATTTCTATAAGTCTGGCTGGCAATTAATGGGAAAGACACCAGTGGAGACTTGTGAACTAGAGTGCCAGAAACTTTTCTGTGGATGGCATCCTTTGTTTCAGGTTCTGTCCTTTTCTTCAGGCTATTATTTATCTAATTTGTTCCACTGCTCTACTTTTCTATCTTCCTACCCAATACCAAATAGTTTGATAATTAATGGTTAGTAGTAATATTTAGAAAGCATGTGGGTCCTGCAGTTAGGAAGACTCATCTTCATGAGTTCAAATATGGCCTCAGACATTTACTAGCTGTGTGACCCTGGGGCAAGTCACTTAACCCTATTTGCCTCAGTTTCCTCATCTGTAAAATGAGCCGGAGAAGGAAATGGCAAACATTCCTGGTATCTTTGCCAAGAAAATCCCAAATGGGGTCACAAAGAGTTGGACATGACTGAAATGACCAAACAACAAGATGGAGAGACCAGATGGTCCTTGTGTGGAAAGCATCGTGGTAGGTGCTGGAGAAGCAGAAACAAACAACAACAAAAACAACACTTTGAGACTGGGAGTTAAAGAGAGTAAGTCCGGTTTCTAACTCCAGCTTTACCATTTAGTGGTGGCTATTTTTGGCATAGAACCAGTCACAAGCTCTTTATGCTTGTTTCCTCATCAGTAAAAGAATAGCATCTGACACAGCTACCTCATAAGAGTTTGTGAAAATTAAATAAAATGGTGGAAGTGTTTTGTACAAGAGCAGAAAAGATTAGTTCTCTTTTGCACGTGTTGTGTTTGTGATGGCTATAGGACATCCAGTTTGAAATGTCCAATAGGTAGTTGGTGATGTGGGACTGGAGCACAGGAGAAAGACTAGGGCTGGAGTCCTTGGCACTGGCACCCAGGGGAGGTGATGAGATCAAGTGAGAGAGTATAGAAGAAGAGGGTTCAGGACAAAGCCTTAGCAGATACCCACAGTGCATATATGAAGATCCAGCAAAAGATAACTAAGGAGCAGTCAGACAAGGAGGAGAAAAAAGTGAAGCCAATGTGACAAAAACCCAGAGAAAAGAGTGTCTAAGAGGAGAGGGTGGGATCAGTGTCAAATTCCATAGAGATAAAGAAGGATGAGGACTGTAGTGATGCTATTAGATTTGTCTATTAAGAGATCACTGTTAATTTTAGAGAGGGCAATTTCAGCTAAGTGATGAAGTCTGAATCCACATTTCAGAAGGAATAAAAAAGAATGAGAGGAATGGAGAGAGAAAGAGTGTAGACAACTTTTTCAAGGAGTTTAGGCTGAGGAGTGGGGAGAAATAGAAGACAAATAGTTAGCAGGGATGGCAGGATCTAGTGAGGGATTTTTTATGAATGGGGGAAACTTGGGCATGTTTATATGCAGCAGAGAAGGAATCAGTAGATAGGGAGCTAGTGAAAATTAAAAAGAGTGGGGATGATAGTGGAAAAAATCTGCAGGAGAGAGGAAGGGTAGCATCAAGAGTATAAAGGCTTGGCCTTGGCAAGAAGAGGCACTTCTTCATCAGAGAACTGAGTAAAGAAGAAGACAGTGGGAAATAATGTCAAAGGAATGTAGGAGGGAGTTCATGACAAATAGCCTTAATTTTCTCAGGAAAATATGAATACAAAAGCAAGTATGGAGCTTACATTCTAGTGGGACAGGCACAACATATGAAAAAGAAAGTTAAAAAGCTAGGGAATGAGGGGGAGAAAGTCCTTACAGTCAGGAGCTGAGCTGGGAGAGGTGTGCAGTGAGCACTGCTAGCCTGGACACTTTTTGAAAACGGAAGTTCCAGGAGGAACTCACCAATTAGTGGCAGGGGTCGCAGGGGTGAAGGTATCTTCCCTTTATAAACCTTAATTTAACTGCTGATTCTTTAAGTGTGTGATCTCTGCCCAATGACCAGAAGTTAATACACTAATAGGTGGCTCGAACTACATCACATCCTTGCCATAAATTATATCTGAAGTTATAGAAGCTATAAATGGAAGGAGTGCTCATAGGTTAACTTCATCATGCACCTAAAGGTAACCCCCCCAAAAAATCCACTGTGAAAGAATTTGGACTAGATGACTTCTAAGCATCCTTCCAACTCTTAAGATTCTATATTTTTGTCAGTCACCGTTAGTAGCAGTGATTTAAAAAGTACTATCTTTTGCTTTTACATTACCTTCATTTAAAAATACATTACTCCCCTTCCTTCCTCAGAGAAGCATCTCAAATATTAGGGGAAGGGGAAGCAGTTCGTCAAAACTAATCAATACAGCAAGCCTAACCATACATGCAACGTCCCACACCACAGTCCCTTCACCTCTGCAAGGAAGGTAGAGGTACTCTTCTAGGGGGCTAAACCTCACCATTATAATTACACAGGTGTCAATGTGGAAGGTTTCACATTTGGTTCTTTCCATTTACATTAATGTAGTCATTGTGTGGTTACTGTTTTCTTGGTTCTGCTTACTTCATTTTACACCACTTCACATCTTCTTATGCTTCTCTATTCTTCACATTCAGTATTCCTCATGGTGCAGAAATACACCATTGTATTCACATTCCACAAGCCTGCAATCTCCTGGGCAACAGTGCTTTTCATTTCACCTAGAACCAGGCTCTCCCAGGCTATCCACTGGCCAGTCTATGGCATTTTTTACATTTCACTTCCCCATGAACCCAGTCATCTCAACAGAAGACCTCGATCAGGCTGCACACCCAAACCCATGTAACGATAGCATTTATCCCTCCCAAATTGCTATGGGGACCCATTGGCCACATCCCACTCCACCTTTATAGCAGCCACTCATTATCTTCTAAGATCATCTCTCAGGGCATACTTTACCCAAGCAACTATACGAACTTTCCATCTCCCGCTAGCTGCCCGTTTCTCTTTTTAGTGGGACTCCAAACTGCATAGCTGTAGGTCACTAGGCTTTATTTTATGGTTGGTTGTTTTGCTGTTGGGTAACAAAGTATATTGAAAAGTTGTTTCTCATCACACTTCATAATCCCAGGCTCTTGTGTGGAGATTCACAGCATACCACAAACCTATCACCGATGTCATCCAGAAATTGTGAAGGTTATGCTTGTCCCTGAACAGCACCTTTGAAGCTGAGAAAGTATTCTTTGCCCTGGCATTTGCATCCTCACTTTCCCTCTTCCAGTTAAGACTCCACACTTTTTCAAATCTGAAAATAATTTTATTTTTTACAAGTGTCCAGGGAAGTTTCAGCAGGAGCTGTGACTAAGAATTTGGTTACCGCAAGGTAAAGGATTCAGAGTACAGCAGTTGGCTGACCCAGCCCTCATTTCTCTGGAGCAACGAAGATAAGCAGAGGACAGAAGAGTGAAGGAGGAAAATGGCCAGGACCATCTCAGTTTGGCAGAGTGGTGGGATGGCAAATAGACTTCAGTTTAGGCATTAGTCTTCAAGGCTTGATTTCATCATCCCTTCCCTACAGCTTTTTCTACTCGTCCCAGTCCCTTACAATAAGCAGGCAGGTGACTAGGAGGCTGAAAAACTGGCATCCCTGAGATCAATAGCTGAGTTTGATTTTTTTGGTTATTTATTAGGGATAATGGGGAGGAAAAGGGAATGAATATGGACACTAATGAAGATAAACTGAGGGACAGAGTATCACTCTACTCTTCTTTCTCAGTCTCAAGAAACTTATATTCACCTGATACTGGTGAATAAGTCTCTGAGCCTCAGGATAGACAGATAGCATGAGTGGGCCAGGAAACAACTACCTCAACCAGACCCTTCTTCCAGAGTCTGGGGTGAAAGACAAGTACTGACTATTTAATTTAAATATCTATGTTAAAAGCTTCTTGTAGACCACACTCATACAGGGCAACAGGGACCACAGACCTCAGCCTCACAGCTCAGTGGCACACATTCTCACCCCGGTGACTGTCTCAAGATAAGGGAAAGGTGACTGGAAGTGAGGCCTCTTCCTGCATTATAGTGACCAGAAGCCTGGCAATAGGGAAGAAGCTCCTCAGTTCCCACATTCTCCAGAACAGGCCCTACCACGTGCTTATGGAGGCTATGCACCTTATGGCAGTTCCCACCCACATTATGCAGTAGGTAACACTGAAGTAAATGAACCAAGATCCCTACAATTCCAAACATCTCCGGTCCTAGGAACAACCTTTGTTCCTTGGACTTACTCGAATCAGCAATGGAACTAGAGGGTCACATTCCAGAATCTGCTCTGTAGGGTAGGAATAGGCACTATACTTACAAAATATTTGTGTTTATACATGATGATAACTGTGCCTAAACATGGAACAGAGGGTAGAAAAAGGCAGATTTTCTAATACCAGCAGCTCCTTTTTTTATGACAAAGAGCCCAGATGTGTCTCTAAATTTTGTGGGAATTATCCCCTAAGGAAGACATTAAGGGATGAGCCTAAGTAAGGGCTACCCACAAGGCCATTTGGTCCTGGAAGTAGAGGTTGGAGGACCCAAGACTGTGGCTCTAAGGAGAGAAATCTGACAGTTGGAAGCTAAGCTCACAGATGACCAGTGAAACAGAGAAGAACCAGGACATGGAGCACAAGAATATAGACAGCGGCCAGGAGGGGCACCCGGGTCCGAGAATAGCAGAGTGAACGCAGGATTCGTCTCCATCCAACATTGCTCCTGGTCTAGAAGAAGAAAGATGGAAAGGTCAGAGACAGTCCTATCCTGCATATTAGGGAAGTACCTCTATCCCTAAGTTCAGACTTCAGTGATCTCAATATTTCAAAAAAGTTTTCCTAGAAGAAAACCTTTCCTCAGAGATGTCAGCCCTCAATCTCACCAGCACATCAATGCTCATCAATATCCCCAAGTCCTGTATTCAGATAAACTGCCCATTAACCCTCTGACAGAATTCTCCCTCCCAGGAGGAGGGTACTACTCATATTCTTTAACAGTGCTCTTTTTCTATCCTCTTCCCTCCCACTCAAATTTCTTCCCACCCCCTTCCCTCTTACCCATCTTACCCTTCGGAAGTTACTGTTCACGGGCTCTATTAATACCGCCTGTTCATGTAAGCCACAGTCACTGATGCCAGAATTCTGGGCAGGGGTCCACTCATTCAGTTCCAGCCTGGGTTATAAGAAAATATACACACATGCACACGCACACATGACACATTCAGAAGGTGAAACAAGTGAGGTTAAGCAAGCAAAGCAAGTGAGACATTTTGGTGTCATTTTGTGTAACTTCTGGAGCTGCTGCCAAAAATGAGGAGCCCAAAGCCCCTCTGTAGTAGCAAGCAGAAAAGGAAGGAAGGAAAGAAAAAGCATTTATTAAGTGCCCACTATATGCTGGGGACTGTGCTAAGTGATTTAGAAATACAATTTCATCCTGGGAGGCAGGTGCTATTATGATCCCCATTTTACAGCTGAGAAAACTGAGGCAAACCAACTTGCCCAAGGTCACACAGCTAGTTAAGTGTCTGAGTCCAGATTTGAACTCAGGTGTTCCTGACTCCAGGCTCACTGCTCTATCCACTGCACCACCTAATTGCCTACAAAGTGGTTTAATTTAACAAATAGGCAGAAGCAACCAAGAAGAGACTTCCGTGAAGTTCTGTGAAAATACTGGAGGTCAACACTTTTAGCCGAAATGTCTGTTTGGGCAGGGTCACTGGAGAGGTACAGTCAGAACACACTGTTGACTTGAAGACTGAGAATGCTGGGAGGCTTTGTGTCTCAAAGTAGGGACAGATGGATCCCCCAAAGAGAATGCTCCCTCTAGGGGCACCCTGAGCACCAACTCTTCCTGCCTTCAGAAGTGAACTACCTTTGTCAACACTTTACCTCCTAATCTCCTCCTGAGCAGCAGAGAGGGCTTCCTCAGCAGCCAGCCGGTGATCCCGTTCCTCTTCTAGCAATTTCTTTAAGTGGCTCACCTCTTGTCTCGTGTTGCATTGTTCTTGCTGGGCCTCAGAAAATCTGCAGTGAGAGGGAAAAGGAAGTCATTAATAGTTGAATGGCCTTACAGGACAGACAGAACAAACATATGAATATACACAAAAATATGAACACCAGATAAATGGTGTAATGATAACTACATAAAGTGTATTAAAGGAATGTCGAATACCTTGCATTGATATAATGCTCTCGAGGCACTTTCATATATGATGTTTATTCGATGTTGTTGCTCAGTCATTCAGTTGTATCCAACTCTTTGTGACCTCATGGACCATACTGTCCATGGTGTTTTCTTCACAAAGGTACTGAAGCACTGCCAATTTCTTCCCCAGCAGATTAAGGCAAACAGACATCAGTAACTTGCCCAGGGTCACATAGCTAGTATGTGTCTGATGCCAAATCCTAACTGAGGTCTTCCTAACTCCAAGCTCAGCACTTTATCCACTGAACCATCTAGCCATCTCTTGTTTATTCGTAGGTATTATTTTATTTAATTCTTACACAAATTTGAAGCCCAACAATTATTAAGCCATGACACTCCACATTCAATCCATTTTACTACATTGTTGTTATTGAATTGTTTCAGTCATGTCTGACTCTTTGTGACCCCATTTGGGGTTTTCCTGACAACGATAATGGAGCAGTTTGTCATTTCCTTCTCTAAATCATTTTACAGATGAGGAAACTGAGGCAAACAGGGCTAAATGACTTTCCCAGGGTTACACAGTTAGTAAGTGACTCAAGCCAGATTTGAACTCAGGAGGATGAGTCTTCCTGATTGACTCCAGACCTGACACTCTATCCACTGTGCCACCTAGCTGTCTCATTACTACATTACTCTGAGAATTTGCAAAATCGTTATATGAATCCTACATTTTAACAGCATGCTCTAGGAAAATTCTTCATTCTAGCAAAATGAGAGTGCTCCACATTCAAAACTCAATTCACCAAACATTTAACTAAACACCTACTATATGCAAAAGACTGTGATAATGTATACTTTCATATATGTGGAGACACAAAAAAAAAACCAAATAGTCCTTGACTTCAGGAAACTTACGCTCCACTGGAGAAACACAACGTTCATATAAATAATCTGAGGAGGGATAGCATGATAACACCTGGGAGAATCAGGAAAAGCAATGAATCCATAGTTCCAAGAAGCTCTGTGACCCTTCCTCCCTCTTCCCCCAATTATCATGTCCTGGAAAGCCAGGCGGCAGCAGGCCAAAGAGAGAAGGGAAGCTAGCTTTTCCAGCTCTGGGACATCAGCATGGTATGTATACGCCCACCAGGTGGGCGTGAACAGACATTTTCCTCTTTCCAGCTTTCTGACTCTCTTTGAGCATAATTCTGAGTGATTCAACTGCTAAGCTGGCAGGAAATAGAGAGTAACCTGAAGGAATGGGTCCTGGATTAGCCTTGCACAGCAAACAGAAGGGAAATGGGAAAATATTTTTCCATGTATGCCATCTGTCACGATCAGGATGTGTGGGGTTTGATTACCTATGAGAAGCACCTGGTGAGACTCTGCTTAGGGGCACCCTTTCTTCATGAAGTCCTTCCTGATCCTCCCCCCAATTTCTTGGCAGACTGTAAACCTTCTCCCCCAGAAATTATTTCACGTTTTTAAAAAATTTACTGCACACTTTTTTCCCCCTAGTAGAAAGTCAGTTCTCTGAGGGCAGTGACTGTTTCCTTTTTGTCTGTGTCCCTAGTAGTACAAAGTCTGGCACATAGGAGGTGCCTAATTAGTGTTTACTGACTTGAATTGGCAGAGGTGACACCTAAGATGAGCCTTGAAGGAAGCTAAAGAGTTTAAGAAAGTGAGGAAGAAGGGCACTCTAGACATAGCAGAACCACAAAAGCCACACCAAACCATCAAACTCTCTTACGCCTCAGTTAACGTTGTGGCAAGATGGGTAGATCTATGCAGGAATACTCAAAGCTGATATTCCAAATTTTAAAATATTAGGTTGCCCCTTTTATATCCTTTGCTCTTTTGCTGCATGAGGGGAGAAACAAAGCAAGCAAGGCAGGAGACCTTTTCTCTGCTGAAGCCCCCTCCTCCCACCCTGACAAGCAAGTCCCTGAAAAGGTCTTGCTCTCTGAGTCAGACTACACACTTCTCTTTCTGTACTTTGGTCCAGAGTTGGTCATTTAGTCCAACCTTTACCCAAGGTATAAGGCCTCTAATGAAAGGTAACTTACTGCCTTCTGAGGCAGCCCATCTCATTTTAGTCAGAAAAAGATACAAACACGAAATATACTATATGCTGCTAGGTGTAGAAAGAGAAAGAAAATGTTGGGGGACAACTGAATTCCTTGCATGTATAAATGTTCTCAAAGTACTTCCACATATAGGAGATTTTCCTTTAAATTGAATCAAAATCTGCTCTCCTATAATTTCTACCTACTAGTCCTAGTTTTATCATCTGAGGCCAAGAAGAAGTTTAATGCTTCTTGCACAAGAAAGCTCTTCAAACATCTGAAGGTAGCTATTCGGGGCAGGGCATGCGGGAAGGGTAGAAGGAGAAAGACAGTCACATCCATTCAGCAGGCCCCCTTAAGCCTCCGGACTAAACATCCCTAAATCCTCCAAACAATTTTTGAATTAAACAGTTCACAACTCCTTGCTACTCCAGGCAGGTTCCTCTGAATGAACTCCAAGCTCATCAACTTCCTCCTAAAATGTGGTGCCCAGAAATGGACACCTGATATGACAGTGCAGAATACAGAGTATTATCATCATCAGTGTGCGCTTTCTTCTTTCGTTAATTAAACCTGACATAGTGTTAGCTTTTAGGTTGTCACATTACATTGCTAACTCATATTAAACATGCAATCTACTAAACTCTTAGGTCTTCTTATACAAACTTCTTTCTAGCCTTCCCACCCCACCATACTATACTTATACAATTAGCTTTATGAACTAAATGGAAAGCAGGACGTTATATTTGTCCCTATTAAATATCATCATATTAGCCATTGAGATCAATGTGAATCCTACTTCTGTTCTCCAGTATATCAGATCCCCTCTCACTTTTAGTTACTTTCCTGGCTCTCTGTTGGAAGAGGTCAATTACATCCCTTTGTAAGGCAGGACAAGAAGCCGACACTGCTAAAGCAAGCTACACAGAAGGTCAGTAGGAAGGATATTGAGAGTAGAGGATGTTGAGGCCTGGCTGAGAAGCCTTACCTGAGCTGCAGTTCTCTCAGCTCCATAGGGTCACTCTCTCTCTGGGGTTCATTCTTTTCCTGAGGAGCCCCAGGAGCAGCATCTGTTGTGAGTGTCCCCTAGAAGAACAAGGATGATAAATAGAGAACCTATAAAAAGCCAACCACTAGGAAGAATAAGAATTGATGGAAAACATATGCAGGAATAAGACATTTATTCACATTTTGGTAGCTGAAAAAGATACTTTCTGTTCTCACAATTCTCTCCAAAAATAAAGCAGAGACTCCTTTTACCCAGTACAGTTAGTTTGGTCACTGACATGGTTAACACTCTCACTCTTAGTCACCCCCAGGAGCCTACTTTCTCATCTCTCTTCAGCTTACTGCTGACCTCTTTTTCCTCAAGTGATGCTCCCTGGCTTTCCTGAGGGGACAGGTCCTCTGGTCCCCTGGCTTCCAGCCCCCTGGTTCCTAGCTGCTTTCCTGTGGCTTGGCCAGGTGCCCTTTGCCTTAGTATCTGAATCTTCAAAGCCTCTGCTTTTTACCTTTATTCTTTTACCTGCTTTTTGCAGCAACTTCCATCATCAAAGACATCCCATCTTCTCTCATCCCTTCTCCTACACAACAGTTTAGCTCTATTGCCTACTTCTCGTATACCACTTTCCTCTTTTCTTCTATTCTCTTCAATCTGTCTCTAGTGTATATGGACATAGCATTTGTCTTTAATTCTTATCTTTAGATCAAAAGAGATTAAGCTTCATCATCCTTATTTATTCCTCTGTCGCTCACCGTTTCTTTGCTTAGGGGTTGCATCTCCTGAATCTGTCTCTTTAAGCCTGTGCAGTGATTCAGAAGGTCATTATAGCGCTGATGACTTTCACGGAGACTCTGACTGCTACCACGAAGCTGAATGGAAAGGGAACTTTTTTCTTCAAAGATCTGAGAGAGCTTGAACAAAGAAAATCAAGTTAGCACCAACCCACAGAGAATTCCTCAACATGCAGACATCAGGTTATCTCTTCCTGGCGATAAGAGATCATGAATATCCAACACTTTTGATGGGAAACCTTTATCTCTAAAAGATCACCTATTATTGTGCCCTTTTAGGTCAGGAAAAGATATTGTTTTGGGCATCCAAACCAGACAGTACATTAGCCTGGGTCCAAATATAAGAAATCATAACATTCTCTTATCTCTTAGCTCCACATAGCTGGACAAGGAGCTATCACCTAAAACTAACAATGATATTTTTGCACAAGACCCTGTACTATTGCTATGCAAAGGAAATAGACAATACTGGAGCCACATAATCTAACAGGGAAGATGAGACAAACACTAACATGAATATTGCATAAATATAAGGAACAAAGAATCAGAGAATTAGAAAGGACGCTCCTTGAAACTACATCCCAAGTTAGCCCATTCCATTTTCAGAGAGCCCCCATTATTATAAAATTCTCTCTTCTACTGAGCTGAAATCCCAAAACTTCTACCCATTGGTGCTACTCACTAAAGTCACATCAATCAAGCCTACCTAAGCTAACATCCCAGCTTCTTTAACCTTATCTTCACACCTAAGAGGACAAATTCTCTGGATCAAGGTTGGAGATGCACCTTCCACAGCTGGATCCAGAAAGAGGCAAAAGGGAGAAAAATCAACAGGAAGGCACCAAAGACAAAACTTCTCCTTCCTCTAATTTTGTCCAGGGCTGGCCCTGCCTCCTCTCTTTCTTCTCGAAAATAGATGAGAAGCAAATATTCCCTTCAGGTAACAGGACCCAAGAAGCCCTAAGACCCCACCAGAATAATCAACCTGCCCTGAAAAGCCTGGCAGCAGTAGGAGAGATGGGGTACAGAAGCAGAGGGGATCTGCTATACTCAGCATGGTATCTGGCAAAATGCCCTCAGGTCCAAAAACACATCACTCTTTAGTTCTGAGACATCAGTTTTTTGTGGGTGAGTCCACCTGGAGGAGAGGAAAAACCACTTTCCACTTTCTAGTTTTCTGACTCTCCTTGACAAGCTCCCCCTTCCCAATTCTGAGTTATTCTCCTGCTGGAAATGGAAAGGAACCTGAAAGAATGGGCACTGGACTAACAGAAGGTATGTGGAGAAATATTTTTGTGTATATGCAACTTACTGGGAATACTGGTACCTGTGAGGCTTTCATGAAAGCATTTATACAAAGCCAATGGGAAGGCTCTCCACATCCAATCTCTTTCCTATCTTTCCTAAGAGGTCTACAGTGTGAAAAGTGGAAGAAAGAATGATCAAATTTCCAGTGCTATAGTCATGCAATCCTAGGTTCAGAGAAGATACTCTGCCTACTCTGAAAAGATACTTAAAAGATAGAATCTCAACCCAACCTGCTTCTGCTCACTCTTTCTTTCAGCTCTAACAGCTCTAACACAGGCCTGAAGAGAAACTCACCTTGCTATTCAGCTGTTGGATTCTCAATTCCTTCTGATGAACTTCTTTCAAGCTGTCATTAAGCTGGGTTTTGAGAAGCCCGATCTCAGAATCCAGGGCCTGTGACAACTCTGGGGAAGCTGCTGCTTCTGAGGATGCCTGTTGGGAGAGAAGCACTTATGGAATCCATTCCTCATTTTAGCTGCTGAATCTCCTATGGACAAACCCTGATCATTCCAGTGAATGATCTTTACATTGGCCCTGTGACCAGTGTGCAATAGGTTTTCCCTTGGAGGCCTGCCAGGCACAAGCTTCAGTCACCCCTTTGGATCAGTCAGGACCCAGCTTACCTGTCTTTGGTACTGCTCTGAGAGAATAGAAGGCCGGCGGGATGTAGACCTCAGCTCTTGCACCAGACTCTGCAGGTGGCTCAGCTGCTGCTCCTTGTCAGAGAGGGTCATCAGGTATTGCTCTCTAACTCGCTTCTCCTGGACTTCCCAAGTATTCTTCTCCATTCTAGAAAGCATAGGAAATTGTCTAAGGGGAAGGTCCACCCCACACACTCACTTCTACTCAATTCTTGGTGCCTTTTCACTAAATCTTAGTATCAATCATAACTAAGGGGAACCCCAATCTTATTCCCAAATCCCAAACCCTTTGTCATTTGCTAAATTGGACTAAAGAGCAGAGAACTGAAAGAGGCATTCTTATGATACTACTTTTATTTTCCCCCTTGGCAGAGTCTTCCTTCCAGTAGCAGAGAGCTTTTACATCACGCTCTGCAGGTGGCTCATCCAAGACAAAAAAACCAAATTCTACCTACATCAGAATGCAACAGAGAGACAATCTCATCCTGAGCTGTAAGTGTCTTATCCCCATCCGTTAGATTATAACCTTCTTGATGGCAGGGGAAGCATCTTGTTCCTTCTTTATATCCCCACTGCCAAGCAAAATACACTGCACATAGTGTATGCTTAATCCATGTTTACTGACTTTAATCTGCTAAGTTCTCCTGGTTGCTCAATTTCTGATAAGATTATATTTTATAATTCCTTGCTGGGAGGGTCAAAGAACAACTGGCTCATTCACTATTCTCTCCATTAGCAGTGACTCACACATACATAGCATTTCTCTTCATGTATAAAAGATGACAATATCACCTTTTAACCAACTGACACCAACCGTTGCTAATAGGACTAATTCAAAAAGATTGTGTGGAACATAAGAATGGTCTTTTCTATATTAAAAACAAGGAGATACAGCCTAGACAGGTCTGGGAGAATGTTAATTCCTCCCTATTGTCAAGACAGGTGCTATGGAAACTGATGTCTCTTTGATCAGGATTGAGTGACCTGGGACATGTACTGAAAGACCCCCATTTTAATATGGCCCACCTCCCAGAGTAGACTAGCATCCCTTGGAAACACCTTCTCTTCAAAGGGCATATAGCCCAAAACCCCCAAATTGAGCCAGTTCTGAACTGGCCCCCTTTGGGGGCCCAGTTTTGGACTGAACTCCTATGCAATGCATGTCAAGCCAGATTGAGAGAAATTAAACCATGCTGCAACCCAATTTCATTTGTCTCTTTCTTAGAGCTGACTCTGTTTCAAAACTGAGGTTCATGGGGTAAATTAAGGTTCATATAAGCTACCATGATATTTCTACTAGACAAATCTGTGGAAGTTGATCAATCCTGTGAGCAACAATTGTCCATAAAAAGAAATGTGTCTCTAAAGGAAAAAATAAAGAGATAAACAATAAATGCACAGATCAAAGAAAGTAGAGAAGAAGAAAAAAACTGCAAGTTGCCAAGAATCTTTTTCAAAGTACATAGGCTGCTCTATCTAGGAAAAGATTCTCACACTTGAGACATAATTTTGGAAGGTGATTGGCAATATGGGGGCTGGTACAACCAAATCCAGAAGAACAATTTTGTGGGAATTCTGACCTGTGATTTCAATGTTTCAAAGGACTCCTGGTGAGGAAACTCCCTCTAACAATATCAGCAACTGTTCTGCACTTACAGCTTACATCCTAAAAAATGCCTTGAGGGCATTTCATATTTTGCTCCACAGGCTAGGAGTTTGCAACCTATGGATTAAGGCATATCTTTTTGTCACTAGTTTCTCAAACAACAGATAAATTTCCTATTATATGAGGTTCTTTTTTATATTATTGATATTTAATATAAGATACAGTAAACAGGCAGAGTCGATGCAAACAAAAAGGACCAGAATAAAATCTGGTCACCGAGTCAACAGCTTAATCACTTTAACAACAAAAAACCAGAGTGTGCACAACATGGCCAGTGAGGCCTTCAGCTGGGACCTCACCTGCTGGAGGCCTCAAGATTGACAGTTGTGAATTTGCTGCTCGAGGACTTGGATAGACTCCAAGTATCCCTGATTCCTCAGCTGTCACAAAAAGAAGGGCCCCAGTACTCCAAAAGGCCAGACAGCGGGAAGGCAAAGAGGGCCAGGCAGTGTCAGGCCCCCACATGCAACAGTCCTAAAGGAAAGCCAATCTGTAACTTTTTTTAGTGTTAAAAAGTGGCCCTTGTAGTTCTTTAAAAAGTTTTGGAGTTATTTCTCTAGTATTAGGCTGCCACAGAAAGTTTCTGGGTAGGGGTGTGACATAGTCCTGTGTACTAGGAAGATTATTTTGGCAGATGAGGGGAAAAAGGAACTAGAAAATGTAGAGATTGGAAGTAAGGAGATCAGTTAGAAGGTTTTTACAATTATACAAAAAAAGAAATGTTATGGGCTTGAATTAAGGTGGTGGCTATGCTACTGAAGAGAAGGTGATAGATGCAAGAGATGCGGAGGTAAAATTAACAGGACTAGGTGACATTGTCAGTGGACAGGCCAGGGAAAGGGAAAACTCAAAGAATACAAGGATGATGGAGAATATTTAGGGGAGAGAATGAATTTAGTATGAACATGCTAATTTGAAATACTGGTACAATATCCAGGTAGAACAATCCATTGGGCAGATGGAGATGCAGCATGTTCAGGAGAGATTAGGGCTAGATGAGTAAATTTAGGAGTTATCTGCATAGAAATGATGATTGAACCTAAACAAGTTGGATGAGATCACCAAACAAAAGAGAAAAGAAGGGGGCCAAGTAGAGAACTCTACAGGACACCAAGAGGAAGATGATGAACCAACTAAGCAACTAAGGGGGTGGGCAGACAATTAGGAAGAGATTCAGAAGACAGTAGTGTTGACAGTTTCTCTCTGCTGCTGACTTTCAAACTACATAACTGACAGTATTCTCATTAACTACTTCCTGGTCAGGATGAGTAAAAGGCTTCTCTTTGGCCCTCTGGCTTCCTCACAATTCTACAAGTCCAGCTGTTACCTCAACTTCCTCCTTCCCCCCACAGCAATCTTAGACTATGCCCTTGGGTCCCCCCATCCTGAAAGGTAAGCTTTCACCTATCTTAGAGAAATGCAAATTAAAGCAACTCTGAGGCTCCGCCTCTTACCCATCAGATTGGCAAAGAGGAAAATTACAAATGCTGGAGGGGCTGTAAGCACACTAATGTACTGCTGGTGGAACTGTAAATTGGTCCAGCCATTCTGGAAAGCGATACGGAAACATGTACCCAAAGTCATTAGCTATCTATATCCTTTGACCCAGCAATACCACTACTAGGTTTATACCCCAAAGAGATTAAATAAAAAGGAAAAGAACTTACTGCTACAAAAATATTCATAGCAGCTCTTTTTGTGGTGGAAAAAAATTTAAAAAACCCAGAAGTCAACAGGCTTCCTATCTATTGAGAAATGGCTAAACAAATGATAATATATGAATATAATGAAATATTACACCACATGAAATGATGAAATGGATAGTTTCAGAGTAAACTAGAAGACTTATAAACAAAGAGTAAGCAAAGCAGAACTGGAAGAACATTTTATAAAATGAAAAATGATATTTTAAAAAAAACTTTAAAAGACTTTTGAGGGGCAGCTAGGTGGTGCAGTGGATAGAGCACTGGCCCTGAAGTCAGGAGCACCTGAGTTCCAATCCGGCCTCAGACCAAGCACTTGACACTTACTAGCTGTGTGACCCTGGGCAAGTCACTTAACCCCAATTGCCAAAAAAAAACAACTCCAAAACAATTTAGAACTCTCATCAAAGTAATAACCATGATTCCAAAGGACTGAAGATGAAGCACACTACCCACTTCCTGCCAGAGAGGTGATACATTTCAAAAGCAGAATGAGACATACATTTTTGGATATGCCCAATGTGAGAATCTGTTTTGCTAGATTATGCATATTTGCTAGATATGCATATTGGTGTCCTGTAGAGTTCTCTACTTGGCCCCCTTCTTTTCTCTTTTCTTTGGTGATCTCCTCCAACTTGTTTAGGTTCAATCATCATTTCTATGCAGATAACTCCTAAATTTACTCATCTATTATGAGGGGTTTCTTTTTCTTTTTTACTAGGTGAATGGGGGGGGGGAGAGAAAATGCTTATAAAATAAAAAAAATTTTTAATTAAATTTATTTTTAGTTTTCAACATTCACTTCCATGAGCTTTTGAGTTCCAAATTTTCCCTATTTCTCTCCCCTCCCCCCATTCCAATTCAGCATGCAATTTGATATAGGCTCTACATATAAATTCATGTTGAACCTATTTTCACATTAGTCATGTTGTAAAGAAGAATTAGAACATATGGGAGAAACCACAAGAAAGAAGAAACAAACAAAAAAAGAAAAAAGACAGACAGCAAATAATTTGCTTCAATCTGCATTCAGACTCCATAGTGCTTTTTCTAGATGTGGACATTTTCCATCATGAGTCCTTTGGAGCTGTCTTAGATCCTTGCATTGCTGAGAAGGGCTAAGTCTATCAAAGTTAGTTTTCACACACTGTGGCCGTATGTACAATATTCTCCTGATTCTGCTCACTTCACTAAGCATCAGTTCATTCAAATCTTTCCAGGTTTTGCTGAAGTCGGCCTGTTCATAATTTCTTATAGCACAATAGTATCCCATTACGTTCATATACCACAACTTGTTCAGCCACTCCCCAAATGATTGGCATCCCTTCAATTTCAAATTCTTTGCCACCACAGAAAGAATTGCTATAAATATTTTTGTACATAAGGGTCCTTTTCCCATTTGTATGGTCTCTGAGATACAGCCCTAGAAGTGGTATTGCTGGGTCAAAGAGTATGCACATTTTTATAGCCCTCTAGGCATAATTCCAAATTGCTCTCCAGAATGGTTGGATCAGTTCACAACTCCACCAACAATGCATGAGTGTTCCAATTTTCCCACATCTCCAGCATTTATAATTTTCCTGTTTTGTCATGCTAGAAATTTTTTTTTAACTAAAGAAAAAAGAGCACAAGGTCTTAGAGAACATAGACTGTCTTGCTTGCTTATATTTGTAGCCCTAATGCTTAGCATATTGCTAATACAATACATACAACACAATAACTGCTTAATCAATGAACTATCTCTGCCACATTTCTCCAGCCCTAAATCTTATACTCTGAAAAACTTATGCCAAATAACATCAGTACTCCCTATTTTCAAGAGTATCAAATCTTATAATAATGGTGATGATGATGATAATAATAATAATAATAATTACAGTTAACATTTATATAGTTATGTGCCAGGCACTATGCTAAGTACTTTATAAATGTTATCTCACTTGATGCTCATTACAATCCTGAGACGTGTTATTATTACCCCCATTTTACAGCTGAGGAAACTGAAGCAGAGAGCGTCCAAGTGACTTGCCTAGGATCACACAGCTAATAAGTGTCAGAGGCTGACTTTAAACTCAGGTCTTCCTGACTCCAGGACCAGCACTCTATCCACTGTACATCACCTAAAGCTGCCATTCATGGGAGGCTTTTCTTGAATTTTTTTTGTTTTTATCCTTTTCTTTCCTTTAGAAGTTTAGTACAACAGCTCATCTAAACTACCCCTTTTGACACACACACAAGCACTTATTGGTTAATGGATCTACTTAGCTTTAGGGATGCCTTAAATCAAAACCAAACGGCTTTACAGACAGAAGTAAAAATTTTAGAACAGAAACCAAACGGTTTTAATTAATTTCATTACACGATGACCAAAAAAAGCAACTTCCAACACCTAATCTCTTGTAGAGAGGAGAGGAAAGGGAGAAAAATGAACCATAGTTACCATTTTTTAGTGTTCAGGTGATCGCACTGGTGAAGTGGTTGTGGCAGAGAATGAAACCCTCAATGAAGACTACATGTACCAAAGGACAAATTGGATTCCTGCCTTGAGGAGGAGCTGTCTCATTTATCAACTAAAGTATGTCTATGATTTCACTGGTGCAGGGAACTACTGAATGAGGAAACTTCCTCTATCAATGCAGATCAGCAACTGCTGTGCAACTTACAGTCTTATAGCTACTTGCCTAGGACACTGAGAGTTAAGATTCTTGTCTAGGGTCACAATGCCAGGATGTGTTGGGGCAAGACTTGAACCCACATTATCTTGATTCTGACCTGGCTCTCTACCCAGTATGCCCTCTTGCTTCTCTCCACTAAAGATATAAGGAACACAGAACCTGATGAAAGACAATCAGGTTAACTCATTAGCCATAACCAATGAGGAGAGGTTGGTGATGGATTCACAGAATCAGGATGAGAGAAATGAAAGGGACTGAAAAGCTCTTCTACAACCCAACCCCCTTATTTGACAGTTCATATGATCAAATACTCAAACCCCTCCTTTCACAGAGGAGAAAACTTGAGGATCAGGGAGGTTAAGTGATTTGCCCATGGTCACACAATTAGTAAGTGGCAAAGGCAGAATCTGAACCCAGGTCTTCTAATTCTACAGCCAATGATCCTTCCATTATACCACAAGGAAACTGAAGAACAGAGAGATTAAGTGACTTGCCCAAAGTCGCACAGGTAATGAACTGCAGAATGGACTTCAGGGCCTCTGACTCCAGACCTAGTACTCTTCTCACAATTGCCCTTGGGAAGGGGATCAGAAGGCTGATGGAATAAGCAGCTCTAACTTCTCTGAATTAGGGAAAAAGAAGATTTGGAAGAAATTTTGGAGGAGAGAAAGAAGTAGTTTTGGAAGCATACAACTAGAGAGTTATGCCATTTAGCCCCAAAGTGTGAGGACCTGGGTGAGGTGGTGCCTAGGAAGAGGTCAAAGAAGAGAAAGGGAAAAAGAGAAATAGAAAAAAGACACACACACACACACATTTTCAGATCTTTTTAAGAAAAACAAAAGGAATATCATGTTGGCTTGAACATGACCTCAGATACTCCCTAGTAGTTCTCTAGTTGAAGGTACACTTAAAGTAACTGGGGAGACAACAAAAGAATGACTTCATATGATTCTCATACTATTCTCTAAGCAATTTTTTTTTAGTGGGGCAATTGGGGTTAAGTGACTTGCCCCCAGTCACACAACTAGGAAGTATTATGCGTCTGAGACCGAATTGGAACTCAGGTCCTCCTGACTCCAGGGCCGGTGCTCTATCCACCGCATACTATTCTCTAATATGATCTGTGGAGACCAAGAAATTCAGGGTTGTACATGAAAGATTATCCTGAGAATAGTCTAATCTCTTTTTTTAAAATATAAATTTATTTATTTTTAGTTTCCAACATTTACTTCCACAAGATTTTGAATTTCAAATTTTCACCCCATCTTGCCCCTCCCCCACCCCAAGATGGCATGCATTCTGAATACCCCTTCCCCTAGTCTGCCCTCCCTTCTATCTCTACCCCCCCTTCTCAGAATAGTCTAATCTCTTGAAACAACCACAAAGACCATGGTGGGAAAATATGTACATCTCAATAGACAAAAATCACACAGCTGGGGAAAAAAAAAATAATGCAGTCACAGTGGAACTATCTGGGAGTCACTAAAGATCAGACTCTGAAACAACAGGCCAAAGACAGATGGGTTCCCAGGGAGAACACCCCCTGCCATTTTAAGTGCAACTCTTCATGCTGATCTGAATCTTAACTCTGACCAAAGACATGTTTTTAGTCATCTAAGGAAACTCCAGAGGTTGGTACAAGTACGTGTGTTTCTCGGAATAAAGCATCTCCTGGTAAAAATTCGCATCAGAAAACAAAGTTTGCCTGACATCTATGCAGAAACATCACTTCGTGACATGTCCATCACCTCAAACTAAAGGTGTGAGAGCCCAGCAAAAGCACTGCACCAACAAGAACAGAGAATTTTCACAAAGTGCCGATGGGCTCATTTTGCTTCAGGATTTCTCTTTTGTTCTGATGGCCTTTGTTAGAAATGAGATTAAGAAACCACAAAGGACTAGTGGAGACACATCTCTCTCTCTCTCTTTTTAAAATATTTTATTTTTTTTGGCTAGGCTATGGGGTTAAGTGATTTGCCCAGGGTCACACAGCTAGTAAGTGTTACGTGTCTGAGGTCAGATTGGAACTCAGGTCCTCCTGAATCCAGGGTTGGTGTTCTATCCACTGTGCCACCTCGCTGCCCCACATCTCTTTTTTTCTGCCATGCACATAACACCAAACAATCACTAATGGATTTTTTTTTGCTTTTTGGTGAGGCAATTGGGGTTAAGTGACTTGCTCAGGGTCACACAGCTAGTTAAGTCTTATGTGTCTGAGGCCGAATTTGAACTCAGGTCCTCCTGAATCCAGGGCTGGTGCTCTATCCACTGCACCACCTAGCTGCTCCCTAATGGATTTATTACAAAGAGATTATTTGGGTGTATGTGGAGGAACATAAAAATAACTCTTCTCTGTAAGAGAAAAACTGCCTTACCTGAGGTGTTGTAGCTCCTGTTGACAAGAAAGGTTTTCCTGCTTTAGCTGTTCCTGGAGAGACTGATACTTATCTGTCTGTTCCTGATACTCCTGAAGTTGAACCTTCAGGGGACGGAGTTCAGTGTTCTCTTGGTTAATCTGCAGGTATTGCTGCTGTAGATTCTTTAACTCCTTCAGCTTTAATCAAAGGAAATGTAATTGAGTCAGGCATCAATTTACCATTCCCAATGCAAACCAATTAACAGCCCAAGTTTATCTTTCTAGGTAAGCTGAAGACAAGAGTCAAAAACAGGTTATCTAACAAATTTCATTGCTTCATAAGCCACAATGAAATAAATGAAGTTAGGCTATCATCACATGCGGTTTGCTGTCACAGCCAGTAAGTATTATGAGCCAGTTTCCCACATACTACATCTCACCCTCTATCATCTACCTCTTCCTGGAACTGCTCCTCACAAACTCTCCTGGGACCTGAAACCTGAAATGACTCTAGAGATACAGTTCTAAGCTAGTCATATTTAGGAGCCATAAAGGCACCCCCAGGGGTTTATTCTGAGGTTGAGAGAAATGACAAGGCCCCCAACTGCCCTTTTGTTACTTTCCTACTTTGACTGCTCAAGAAAAAATATTTTGAGCAAATCCAGAGAGCCACGAAAGTGGTCAATGGACTCTAGGGGCCTCACCAAAGCATTGCAAACCACTCTGAGGAGTGTGAAGTATCCAAATATAAACAATTTTGCATAACTATTCCCATTCCAGTGATTTCCTGATCCCAGAAAAAAAAAAGCCAGAATAAAGATCAGTATTGGCCTTGGCTTCCCGTCTATCTGCTTAGCAAGGAGGTCTAGTATTTGCTAGCTAGGAAAATTGTTGGAGTCTCTTGGCCTGTTCCTTGTGGTCAATCCTTTATATCAGTTAAGTATAATTTATTTATATGAATAGTGACGATCACTGCCTTTTCAGAGGAGTATATGTTCTAAACAAATGTTACCCTTGGCCTGAAGAGATAATATGACATAGTGGAAAGAATGCTGGACTTGGAAGCATTAAGACTTACATTAAAATCCTGTCTAAGACATTTATGTGATTATGCGATTATAGGCAAATTAACTTAACTTCCATAAGCCTCAGTTTTTTCATCTGTAAAAATGTGGCTAACAAGTGCACCTATCTTTTGGTTGTTTTGAGGATCAAAGGCAATAAACGCAATAATACACTTAAAATGCTTTGGTTACCTTAAAGCGCTATATTAATGTGATCTGTAATTATTCCTTTATTCGTTTCCCAGTTTTGGGCATCAACAGCTCATAAGAATAGGATGAGTTGGAGCTTAGGCAACTGTATACAATTTCTTCTCATCTTTATACTTTTCTCTAATTTAGCATTGATTTTTGTCTTAGTTCTAGCAACAAGATGGTATGACTGCTCACAGACAGATGATTCTGAAATGACTCCTATATCAGTAACCAGTCATTTCTTGTTAAGATTTAATCAGTTTGATGCTGAGTGGACTGAGCAGAACCAGGAGAACACTGCACACAGTAACAGCAACACAGTGCAATGACCAACTTTGTTAGACTTTGCTCTTCTCAGCAGTGCAAGGATCTAAGACAACTCCAAAAGACTCATGAAGGAAAATGCTATCCACATCCAGAGAGAGAACTATGGAGTCGGAATGCAGAGCAAAACATACTACTTTCTCTTTTTTTGTTGTTTTTTGTTTTTAATCCTGTTTTAAATCCTGTGGTTTAATCCTGTCTTTAATTTTCCTGTCACAGTGACCTAGAAGGACCTTTAAAAGCTGTCCTGGTTTTGGATCTTGGCTCTTCCAAGTAGCATAATTTCAGAAACTCTTTTCACTCTCTTCTCTTTAAGAAATTAAAAAGAAAAGAGAGAGACCCTAAAAAATATGGATGAGTGACCTGGCCAGCAAGCAAATATTTCCTATACATTTTATGAAGGCATATAAGTTAACCTTTTTAAAGTTTAAAAATCATCCCCAAATTGGAGCTGACACATTTGGATACAAAACTATCCTTCTGAACAACTGACCTGCTATTCATGCTGAAGAGCAGCTAAAGCAGACATGAAGTTATTCCTACTCTTCTATTTTTATTTATCCTAAAATGAATTCTGCCTAAATTTGCCCAGTTAGCTCTCTGTGTCACAAGTCTTTTATAAACTATACTATTTCCTTTTCTGCAGAATCAGCAAAGAGAAAATCTGTGTCAAGGTGATTTGTTAAAGTTGAATCAGCTAGCTTAGCAGATATGGAAATAGAAGGAAATGTTGGGATATCAGGAGCAAAGTGAAAATAAGATGTATGGCTATAATTAGATAACTAGATTTCTATGTATGGATCAAATTCTCCATTCCCATATATTTATCTTTTGTATCTCCAATTAAACAAATATTGCTAAATACATACTTATATGTTACTTGCATCTTCTATCTTGCATTTGCTCTCTAATAAATACATTTAGTCTTTTCTTCCAAGTGGAGCCAGAGCCTAGCTGGAAATCAAAGGCAAAAAGAAAAAAAAAAGGGAGGAGGACCAATCTAAATATATAATTGGATTTCTCTTTGTAAATTTATTTTTGTTTGCTTTTGTCAGCATTACTGCACAGCAGGAATATGCTGACAAAGAGAATCTGGGAAGAGTGTGCTCCATCTTCAGAAAAAGCAGAAAGCATCCCAAAATAAATTATGCATTGTTCATGGGTCCTCCCAGCAACTAAGAAGTGAGTATCCATGGATTTGTCCCAGTAATTAGCCACATAACAGTTAGCTAAGAGTCAGCAAAAAGAATATGCAAGGGGCAGCTAGGTGGCGCAGTAGATACAGCACGGGTCCTGGAGTCAGGAGGACCTGAGTTAAAATGTGGCCTCAGATACATGACACGCAAGTCACTTAACCCCACTGCCTAGCCAAAAAGCAAAAAAACAAAAACAAGAAATGAACAGCTCAATGATAATAGAAAAACATGGATAGGCTTACACAAAATAATGAAGAGTGAAATGAGCAGAATCAATAGAGCATTGTATACAGTAACAGTAATACTGGGGCAGCTAGGTGGCAGTGAATAGAGCACTAGCCCTAGAGAAAAAAAGAATATGCATCTTGCTTTATGCAATATAGAGGGCAAGGAGAATTTTTTTTTTTTTTTGGTGAGGCAATCAGGATTAAGTGACTTGCCCTGAGTCACATAGCTAGTAAGTGTCAAGTGTCTGAGGCTGGATTTGAACTCAGGTCCTCCTGACTCCAAGGCCAGAGCTCTATCCACTGTACCAGCTAGCTGCCCCAGAGGGCAAGGAGAATTTTGAATGACCTATAGAGAATACATTTGTTATTGTCAATACCGATGGGCATCTATACTGGCACAAGTGCAAGTCAATCTCCATACCAGAAGAGAAAGAGAAAAAGCTGAAGAACCATATTTCCATTCTGCAGGATACAAAGGAAAATAAATAAAATAAAATAAAACATTCTTTGAAAGAATGAATAAGGTACTTCAAGGAGAAAAGGAAGATGAAAAAGGATTTAAAGAAACAAAAAGGAGTTATTTATACCTGTAATAAGAGTTTAGAGGATGTAAGAATTTCACAAGATCTCTCATCCTATCCTTACAGAAAAGATGAAGAAATGTGGCCTAGATGGTATAAATAGGTTGATTTTTCAAAAATAAATGAATGGTTAGACCCAAAGATTAGTTATTGCTGGGTCAATATCAACTTAGAAGGTCCACAGTGGGGTCTCTACCTAGGCATATGTCCTTGGTTACTGAACCGTTCAATATTTTTAAAAAATGATTTAGATATGGCCAATCTTGCTCAGAGAGATTTGGGTTTTGTTTTGAAATCAACAGACACTTATTGACGTACCACACCAAGTGCTAAGGAAAATAATAAGAATAAGATACAATCCCTACCCCACAAAAGCTTACAATCTAATAATATGACTCTACCTTACAATTAACTAAAAGGAAAAAACCAGTGTTTTGAGCTTTCTACTCTCTCCAGTATGTCGTCTTGCAGTGCCACATGTTACTTATAATTTCGACAACAATTTTATCTGAAGAGCCATTCAAATCTCAAATCTCTGGACTATAGCACCCGCCAAGAATTTCCTGAAGCATGTAAGATATATGTAGCCAACAGATACTCTGAGAAATATCTGTGAGATCAAACGCGCCAACTTTTTTCTTAGATCCTATTCCTTTCACTCACTGCTTTATTAAAAGACTTTCCAAGTCTCATTCAAGATTCTAAAACAACAAAGGGGTTAAACTGATATTTTTCCCCTGGTAGAGCCAATTTCACTTAGAATGCTTGACAACACAACAGAACTCAAATCCCTCTAAAATACACGGCTTTCTTGCAACACTGTAAATGTTATAACACTCCTTTGCAGTTCTGACCTAGCCAATTTACTAATATTCTTAATTAAGTGCTTTTTTAATTATTCTGTTCCTTGCAAATACCAACACCAACATAAATAACTAAAAAAGACAACTGAACATAAGACCATGAGTCTCCATTATGAACTTGTCTTTTTTTAACTACATAATAAATCCAAAATATTAATTCCAAATCTGTCCTATTTGTTTCCTTCTAAACCTCTTTCTGCTCCCTTCTGTGCATTTTGAAATGTTTTTTAAATGTTCTCATCATTCTTTTCTTTTTTGCATCACTATCACTTTCTTTCCTAATCCCTGCCCCCCCCTTAAAAAAAAAAGGCCTTTTCAGAAACTAGACACAGACCAACATCTCACTCTCTATACCAAGATAAGGTTGAAATACGTTCATGAATTAGACATAAAGAGTGATACCATAAGCAAATTAGGAGAGCAAGGAATAGTTTACCTATCAGATCTATTATGACCAAATAAGAGAGAACATTATGAAATGTAAAATGATTACAAATGCAAAATTATTACATTAAATTACAAAGGGTTTGCACAAACAAAACCAATGCAACCAAGATTAGAAGGAAAACAGAAAGCTGGGAAACAATTTTTACAGCCAGTGTTTCTGATAAAGGCCTCATTTCTAAAATACATAGAAAACTGGGGAAAAAAAAGGAAAAGGCCTTTTATGGCATACTTATGAAACACATAAATCACATTAAACTAGTAAAGAGAGCCAGAACCTCAGACAGCAGAGACAGGATCCAACATGACTGCAAAAGAGTACATATCACTGGACAAAATCTAATAAAATAGAATTTAATAAGGATAAATGTAAATTCTTACAATTGGATTAAAAGGATTAAATCCTTGGCATTCTAAAATGGTGCAATATCAGAAAGGCACATTGTTTAATCAGTGGAAATGACATTAAAGATGCGCCTGTTTTGCCAATGAACTTTAAGGACCATGAGGCCTTTCTGACTTGAAGTTGAAACCTTCTATATGTGTTGTCTCTCCCTATTAGAAAGTGAGCCTCTTGAGAGAAGGGGCTGTCTCATTTTTATATCTGCATCCCCAGTACTAAGCACAGTGCTTTGCTATAGTAGACATTTAATGAATGCTTTTTAAATTTTCATTCCTGTAAAGGGAGAGACAGTGCAAGAAGTTTCTTCTGCTCTAAGGAATGAGGATATGGATAAAAAGATGACATCATGTGAAAGATCATACAGTAATGGTCAGAATAATACAAAGTAGTATCATTTGGTGATGAGGGATACTGAGGCAGTTATCTGTCCTAAGCTTATGCTGACATCAATAACAGAAAGAGCTACTGTCTTCAAGCAGCATGCATCCAAAAGACATCAGACAGCGCCTACAGTTGCCTGTCAAACATGATGACCAGCACCTACTTCTGGTGATGTATATGAGTACAAATGATGACACCAGAAGGAAACTAGAAAGCATTGCCAAGAATTGTGGAAGTCTAAGAAGAATATTTATGACCTCAGAGGACAAAAGGTGGTGCTTTCATCATTACTGCCAACTGAAGGCAGGGGAAAAAGCAGATTTGGGAAGCAGTATTTGGATTTCTGAACCATGGTTTAAAATATAGGGATGATGGGATCATGCACAGGAATTGAGTTTACTTAACAAGAACTGGTTAAAAAATATATTTTCTTAATATCTTGAAAATCTAATAAAAAGGGCTTTAAGTTGAAAAGGGACAGTACCCTAGACAGTAGCAACATAGGAAGAAAAATATCAGAACAACAAATCTCTAATTCATTCACAGGACATGATACTCCAGGAAAAAATCAGCAACAAAACCCATGACCATAGATATCTATCCTCAAATATGCAAAATATGAAACATAAAGAGGGGGATACATTTACCCTCACAGATTTGATAGGATTATCAGACTCATAACTGGAATACTGTAATGGAAGGAAATAACTTATTTAAAAGGAACAGAACAGACTAAAACGACTGCTAAGTTAATACCATTTATTAAGAATATACTTTCACATGAAGAAATTCAGGAACCTAATGGGAGAAACATGAGGAAGTAGCAGATGATCAAAAGAGGAAGAAAGAGAAGTAATATTGTCATGAAGCTACCAGCCTGGCAGGAGGAAACAGATGAGGAGTCTGGAAGGCAGATCACAAATCTCACATGGAAGTATGGTATTACTGACAGGGGATTCCAATTATCCAGATGTCTGGTAAAGGGCCCATTCTTCCAAAAGCAGAACTGATCAATTTTATGGCTTGCCTTAATAACAGTTTAACTCTTCAAAAGCAGAAAGTAATTCTGTACTTAATCATGATTAACAAGGAACAGAAATAATGGGAACCTTGGAAACAAGTGACCATTTCATCTAAAAATTCATGGTAGAAGGAAACTGCCTTTTAAAAAAAAAAAAATAATAATCCGGCAGGACCTCCTTTTGATGAAGTCATGTTGTAGATCAGTGGTATCAAACTCAAAACAGGATCATATACTGACTTAGAAAACTACATATTAACATTATCCATGTTCCATTGTATTTTAATTTTTTTTTGAGGCAATTGGAATTAAGTGACTTGCCCAGGGTCACACAGCTAGTAAGTATCAAGTGTCTGAGGCTGGATTTGAACTCAGATCCTCCTGACTTCAGGGCTGGTGCTCTATCTACTTGACCACCTAGCTGTCTCAATGTATGTCTCATTCTTTTTTTATTTCCTTGCAAGGCAATCAGAGTTAAGTGACTTGCCCAAGGTCACAGAGCTAGTGGGGTCTGAGGCTGGTAACTCAGGTCTTCCTGACTTCAGGGCTAGCGCTCTATCCACTGCACCACCTTGCTGCCCCTATTGTAATTTATGTTTAAAAAATATTTCCCAATTACAATTAAACCTGATTTAGGCTGCAATAGGGGATGTAGGGCAGTATTTGACACTTTTGCTATAGACAATCAAATGAGATATGTAAAGCACTTTGCAAATCTTAAAGTGGCATATTAATATTATTATTACACATAGGATTCTGAGATTTCAACAAAACATCTGACAGTGTTTCTGTCATCCCTGTGGATAATATGGAGAGAAATAGGCTAAATGATATGTACAGTTAAGGGGATTCAAAACTCATTAAATGACTGGACTTAAAGAATGTTCATTACAGGATTGATGCCAAATTGGAGGGAAGTATCTAATGGAGTGCCCAGGCACTCCTGTGCTGTTTAATGTTTTTATAAGACTTGGACAAAGCCATACTTGGTATAAAGCAAAACTTCTTAATAATCAGAGCTATCTAAAAGTGAAATGAACCATCTGAGAAGAAAGTCTGCTCCCTTTCACCAGAAGTCTTCAAGGACAGACTAGATAATCTGTGATTAGGATTGAATTTAGAAGGTCTCTAACTTGCCTTCCAACTTTCAGATTCTATAATAGGCTGAAAAATGCATTATGCTTTTTCATTTTCTGAAATGAAAACAGAATTGCACCAAACATGGTCTTCCTTAGTGTCTAGGAGGTGAAAAAATGAAAAGAGTGTTTCCTTCTTTTCTGTAGAAATGAGAATAATTTTCCAACCTAACAAGATTCTGATTCTGATGTAAAATGAACCAGATAGCTTCTGAAGAATATTCCAGCTCTAGATACCTATGAATTCTATGAGTGCCTTCCTCAGCCTCAGATACACATATGAACAGTATAAAATCTATATGCACCGTCCTTTGAAGTTCTGATGAGCTTTCCTGGTTTTATATCTGCCTTCCTTTCTTTTATACTAGTTTAGCTTATTGTTAAATCTTCAGATAAACTGCTTAAAAAGACATTTTCCTATTGGATTCTATGGGTTTTTAGTGAACAAAAATGAGGTTGGACTTTAATTCATTACATTTCCCTCCAAACCAATCATTCCCTTAAAATTCCCTGTTTCTGTTGATGACACTACTATCATACCAGTTACCTAGGTATGTTACCTAGGTAACGTTAGTCATCCTTGACTACTCCTTCTTCCTCAGCTCCAATATCCTATCAGTTGCCAAGTCTTTTAAAATTCATTCTCCTTAATAGCTCTCACATCTTTTACCTTCTTTCCACCTTTATTTCAAGCTTTTCTCATCTCTCACTTAAGACCACTGGAGAGGGGCAGCTAAGTGGAGCAGTGGATAGAGCACCAGCCCTGAAGTCAGGAGGACCTGAGTTCAAATCTGGCCTCAGACCAAACACTTGGCACTTACTAGCTGTGTGACCCTGGGCAAATCACTTGACCCCAATTGCCTAAAAAAAAAAAGACTACTGGAGAGAACCCCTAATTGGCTCCACCCCACCCCCCAACACCCTATTCTAGACTTGGCCTTATCAAAAATTATTGTGCATCCCAAGAAAATGGAGTAGTTTTATCTAATCATATCACTATCAGAGTCTGTCTAAGCATGATGGACTTTGAAGACCATATTATTGTAAAGTTCCAATAAACTATTAATGCAGTGAATCTTTTCATGACTACTTTTTAAATTAGAGCCCTACTCTACCAATGTTCCAGAAAGATTAATAGTATTATATTTCAACGACTTTCAGTTAACCTTCAAAGAGAAGCATGGACTCACCAGTCTATCTCTGTCATTTTGCAGGGAAGACATTGCTTTCTTTAAACTCTGTACTTCAGATGGGCTGGTAAAGTGTTGGGATGATGACCACTGCTTCCCTTCTTCCAACTTTCGCATCTTGTCCAGTTCACTCAAGAGATGATCTCTTTCAGCCTGTAAACTTGCCATGGCCTTAGAAAAGGACTGTATTTGGTTGGAGGAACCCTCTAACTGTGAGGACAAGTGAAATAACTCCTCATCTTTAGATCTGAGCTCTTGGTTAAGCTTTTCAAGGTGAGATAGTAAGCCATCGTCTTCAGCATGGGTCTCCAGAGAAGCAACTTTAGAAACAAGATCATCTCTCTCTCTACTCAACAGAATCTGCTCTTCTCTCAGTTGAGTCATCTCTTTCTTTAAAACACCTATATGACACTGTTGCTCCTCAAGGCTGGCCGTGTGTGTCTTTTTTAGCTCCTGTAACTCTTCATTAGCATGGTCTCGACTATCTTGCAAGGAACTCATAGACTTCCCAAAGGCCTGAATCTGAGCTTTGAGGTCTTTATTTTCTTCAGTGACCTTGAGTAGTCTTTGTTCCATCTCCACCAAATCACTTGCCAGCTCGGCTACCCTCTCTTCAGCTGTTTCAGTTTCATTGCGCATTATCCCTGCATCATGATGAAGATGCTTCAATTCTTTCTTTAGCTTTTCTTCAATTTCTCCCACCTTCTTAGCTGCCTCCTTTTGTACTCGTGCTAATTCTTCCTCTAGTTCTGTGACTTTCTTCTGAGAGAGGGAGAGGGTAACGCCTAACCTCTGAACCTCTTCTTCCCCACCTTTCAACTGTGCCTGAAATTCTCCTAAAGACTCCCTTTCTTGCAAAGTTGTCATTTGGTATTTTAGCTGTGAGACAGAAGTTTTCAAGCTCTCAATTTCCTTAGTCAAGATTTGTTTCTCCTCCTCTAGGGCATCAGAAGACCTTTTTAGATCTTCCCTTGATGCTTCAGACTCTTTTAGCTTTCTTTCTAATTTGATCTTTTCATTTTCTAGTTCTTGACTCCGCTGAAGCCGAATCTCAAGGAGCTGCCTTTGCTGATAGTCCTTTGTTATCCTCTGATACTGTTCTGCAGTTAACTTGGCATTTTCAGAATTGAGATCATCCATCTGGCCCCGAAGGCATCGGATTTCTTCCTTTAGCTTATTGTTCTCAGCAGCAGCCTCTTGGATGAGCTGGTCTTTCTCCAAGATCACTGAGAGATGCCGCTCTTCTAGCTGTCTGTAGTCTCCTAAAATGCGATCTCGGTCATCCTGGAGAGAAGACATGGATTTAGTGAAGGAATCCAACTGAGCCTTCTGCTGTTTGCTCTCTTTTTTGATAGTTTTCATTGTTTCCATAAGCTGACTGGTTTTGTCTACAGCTTTCTTTTTCTCATCTTCTAAGGCAGCTTTCTCCTCTTCCTTCTGGGTCAGTTGGCTTTCCAACTCTTTAACTTCTTTGCCATGTTGTTGTTGCAATTCAGAAATAGCCAACAAGACTGCCTCCTCTTTAGCAGAAAGGAGAGTGATAATCTTTTGATCTTTAGTGCTAATTTCTTCATGCAGTTTGCCGGTCAGGTCCCTAGAGGCTTGCAGATCAGCCTCTGACTGCTCACAGCTGAACCTGCAATTCTGTAGATCAGTCTCCTGTTGCTTTACGATTCCCTCCAATTTTTCCTTGGCTTCTCTACATTTTGCAAAAGAATTATTTGCTTCAGCCAATTGGTCTCTCAGAGACTTAACTTCTGCATCCAATTTAGCTAATTCATTCTGAGAATTAGAATACATCTGTTTAGATTCTTCTAGCTGAGACATGAGTCCTTTATTTTCTCCCTGCAGGTTTTCAGAGACCTTCTGTTGAAACTGGATCTCTGTTTGGGCTTTGGACTCCCAGGTCTGTTTGTCATGCTCAAGTCTAAAAAGAAAAAGAAAATTACTAATCACAAAGCACTATAATTTAAAGATCCCAAGATTCCTTCACAACCTGATGCCTTCCTATCTTACCAGTCTTCTTATACTTTACTCCTCTCTACATACTGTACAATCCAGCTACACTGGTCTTCTTGCTATTCCTCACACACAACATTACATCTCTCCATTCCTCACCTTTATATTGACTGTCTCGCATACCTAGAATGTACTCTCTAGATCTATTAGGTATTAAGAGTAATGAGAAATATCAGGCTGCTATTTCTGTTAGCTACCACCATCTATTAAATACAAGTTTTTATTTTTCAGATAAGCAACCTGGAGCCAGATATATATATACACACATACATATATGTGTGCATGTATTGGGGCAGGGGGAGGGGGGAGAGAAAGAGTGAGAGATAGCAAGATTGAGAGCGAAAGTGAGAGAGAGAAAGAGAGAGAGAGAGAGAGAGAGAGAGAGAGAGAGAGAGAGAGAGTAGGAACAAGCACAAATGAGTGCAAGGAAGGGATACAACACATAAATATGCTATGAGCATCATTCTTTGGTGTGTGCACTGAGCTCTTGACCCCAAATCAAACCTATTCTTCCAGAAAACAATAAAGGCTATTACACCCCCCAACAGCTTTATATGAAAGGTACTGGTTAAATCTATAACCAGTATCTGGTGTTGATTTTTTTGGGGGGTGGGGGAAGCAGGGAAGTGTTCATTCTTAAGGTAAACAATAACCTCTGAAAAACAAAGAAAAGCTTGTATGACATTGGAAAGAAATGGTCCAAGGACTTAGAAGATAAAACTATCTGAAACCAAACAAAATATAGCTGTTAACTGGAGAGAAATCCTGCTAAAGCAAGACATGTTCATATGCCCTGTCTGTACTGTTGCTATTTGTGTTGCTCTGCCAAAAAGCTATGACAAGTGGAGACCTGAGAGAGAAAGCTGCTCTGTAGAAGCTTGTCACCAGCACAATGGGGGTGGGAGAGTACCATTATGCCAGGTTCACAGTGCAGCCTGTTTTTATCTCACCTTAGATAAGACAGGTAAGGACAGGCCCTATAGAGCACTGGAAGAAAAACCTCAAGGGCTTGTCTCTTGACCACCCTCCAGAGGACCAACTAATGCCAACAAAGTGGACCCATTCCTGCTCACATACTCTTCTTCTCCATTAAAAAGTATAGGAACAAAGAAAAAATAAATAAATAAAATAAAATAAAAAGTATAGGGCCAGAAGGAAGAAGACAAAATGCACCTACTGTAGCAGTTTTATTGTTCAGAACCTGTTTATTTCAAGACTAGCTAAATGTCAACTTTAGGACATCTTCCTCTGGAGTTGGTTTAATGGCATGTTTTCTCTATTTAGTCAATGGAAGAGAAAAGATGGGAGTACTTTTTTTTCCAACCACAAAACTTAAACAGCTGTTCCACTTAAACTTCCCTCTGATCAAATTTACACTTCTATCAATGTCTGTAATTCTTAATATTTATCTCTGATGTGTTTGTCTATAAAAGGATATCACATCTTTCTTCTGAATGTTCTATATACAATGTAGCACACCTAAGATATCAATACATTTATTTCACACATACAAGGCATAATTACTTGTTCTAGTGACCTTTTCCAAATATGATAACCTCCTAACTTAATGACATTCTTCTCATTCTGCTCTAGCTTGGTTTTATTCTCCCAAGCTTTAGAGTGTAAGCTTCTTGAGGGCAAAAATCATTTCTTACACTGTTCTCATAGTCTCCATATGCTTAACCTCACCAATATATAGATTGGTTTAAAATTTTAAGGGGAGGGAATGCAAGAACACAAAGTGCCATTTAAAGGGAACAAAAATTATATAAATAAGGAGAAAGTCCTTTGCCTAGAGTTCTATGAAAGTAAGGATTAAAGGAAGAGTTCTAATTGGCTTACCTGGATATGTTAATTTGCAGCTCCTCCATGTGGATGGACATCTGCCTTAGGTGGTCTTTTAAAACACTACAGTTCTCTTCCTTAGCCCGGATTTCTTCTTCTTTTGTTTGAATAGCATCACTGAATTTTCTTTCCCATTTTTTAGCCTCATCTATCACTCGATCCCGGTCATCCTGGAGAGAAGACATGCTTTTGGTAAAGGCCGCAAGCTGGGCCAAAGTGCTGTTGAGGTTTTCCTGAAGCTGCTTGACTTCTTGGTCCTTTTTGTTCAAGGTGACCTGAACTTCTCCAAAAGTCTCTTCCAAATGGACCTTTTCTCTATGCAAAGCATCCAGTTTTTCTTGCATGTTCCTGACCTCCTTCATGTGCTTATCTTCTGCTTGTTCCAGTTTTCTTTCAAGATCTTCATCCTTTTGTTTCATTTGGCTTTTAACAAGCTCTTTATTTGACTGAAGTTCCTTTTTCACCTTGAGACTATCTGCTAGGACCCTTGCTGCTTCACTCTGAGTGTCATCCAGCAACACTTTGCAGTAGTCCAGTTCTGTCTGAGCTTTCTTACGATCTTCTTCTACTTGGGCTAGGTTTTCTTTGACCACCTCCAGTTCCTTCTGTGACTCATTTTGTACAAATTCCAGAGCCTTTACAGTTCTCTCTAGACCACTTATCTTCTCTTGATATCTGATGCAGTCCTTCTGCAACTGCTTTACCTCTTGTTGTTTCTCTTTCAACAATTCCTGAAGCTCTTTTGTGTGAGTTTTACTGCCCTGTCCTCCTTTCTGAGCACTCTGTAGTTTCTCCAAGTATTCCTTCCGGATCTCTGACTCAATTCTGTTTTTTTCTGTAACTGCCTGCCGCTTTTCTTCTTCCAGTTCACTCACACATTTCTGAAGGTTCTGAATTTCAGATTCCAATAACTCATTTCTCATTTGGGCATCTGTGACATCTTGCTGATAATTTCCAATGCTTCCATTAAGTTCGGCTAACTGATTCATAAGTCTCTCTTCCAGATCATCCTTCTCTACTTCCACTGTTTCCTTCAACTTGGTGACTTTGACAAGTTCATCTTGGATTTTCTCATTTAACAGGTTAATCTTGGTAACTTCTTCATGAAGAGTTTTCAATTCACCATCCTTTGCTTCTAATTGGTTCAGTAAGGCATCTTTCTTGTCTTCTAAAGAACAGTCTACTTCTTCCCTCATTTTCTTCTCCTCTTCTAGTTCTTTAATTCTTTCTGTAAGCTGATCAATTTGCTGTATATAGGTATTAATTTCATCATGTGAACTTACACCGTCATTTGCATTGACATCTGCCATGGCACTGCTCTCCACTGGGATGGGCACTGAATATTCTGAATTTGCACTTGTCCTCAAAGAGACTTGTTCTTCAACCTCACCTGATACAGGTACAGCTACAGACACAGACACAGCTTGCTGGACCACTTCTATACTACCCATTTGGATCCCATGCTTCTTAGGGCCTTCTATACTCTCTCTCAATTTGGATTCTGTTTCCTCCAACTGCTGTTTTAAATTCTGAATCTCTTCACTTAAAGAGTTCTTCTCACCCATTAATGTTTCAAACTCCTTAGAAAGAGATTCATACTTTAGCTTAGCATCTTCTAGTTCTTCCTTCACACTGGGGCTGGAATGAAGCATTTCTGCAGGTTCTTTGGATTCACTGCTTGCTGGGTGGACCTCTGCTCTAAGGCGGTCATTCTCCTCTTCCAGCTCAAGGATTTTCTGCTGTTTGGATTTTGCAAATTTCCTCATCTTTTCTTTCATTTCTTCCATTTCCTGCTCTGCTTCCTGAAGCTGCTTTTCTGTGTCTTTCTTCTTTGCTTCTGTGTTTTTTAATTTACCATACAATTCTTGTTTCTCTTGTCTCACAGTTTCCACAACATGTTGAATACGTTCTGCCTCATTACTGACATTCTCATAGGACTGAAGAAGAATTTCATACTCCTTTTGCAGTTCCTTGTGCTTTTCCTGCCATTCAGTGTTTTCAGCAACCTGGATGCATTTTAAAGATTCAATTTCCTTCACTAGCTTCTCCTTTTCTTCAGTAAGACCTTCTAGAGCTAGCTTCAGACTTTCACAAGAGCTACTGAGATTGTGACTTTCCAGTAAAGATTTATCCACTTCTGCAATAAGTCTCTCTTTCTCTTCCTGAAGAACAGTCAACCTGTCTAATAATACATCCCTTTCTTTACAGTGAGCAGAAACTTGGCTCTCTGCATTTGCCAGGGTCTTTGTGAGAGTTTCAATATTATTTTTGGCCAAAGACAACTCTTCTTTAAGACATTTGCTTTCTTTCAAGGTCTCTTTTCTGGAGATAAGTGCAGCTTGGAGTTTTCTCTGAATTTGCTGCTTAGATTTAGCTTCTTCTTCTACCTCCTCTGGTTTCCGTTGAATTTCAGAAAGCTCTGTCTGCAACTGTTTAATTTTTTCTTCATGTTCTTTGGCTTGCATTTCCAACTGTGCATGCAAAGCCCTAATCAAGTCCTCTTGCTCTACAATCTCTGTCTGCACTTTAAGAAGGATCTCATCTTTTTCTCTTACTTGCACATGAAGGACATCAGCTTCTTCATTTTTTTTGGCCATGAGTTTTTTCAATTCATCTATTTCAGGTTGTAATTCCCTAAAATGTTCTAATCTTGTGATTTCCATTTGACTGCTTTCCAATTCTAATTTCAGACTGGTTACCTGAGCTTCAGCCTCATGAGTGGCTACTTTAAGACTTTCTGTCTCTAAAAGCAGCTTTGTTATTTGTTCTTGTAACTTAATTGCTTCTTCTGATTTTTGAGAAAGGTCATTTATGGTAGAGCCGACTCTGAATTCTAACTCTTCTTTCTGGATCTGTAGCTCTCTCAGCTGAGCTCTAAGCAGTTCTACTGAATTGTCCTCTTCCTGCAGGTCATTTTTGTTTCCTGAATGCTCCATCCAATCTGGGTGCCAGCCAGATTCTGAAGTCATTTGTGAGGGCCACTGTTCTTTAGCTTTGGATGTAGGTTCGATCAGACTCTGAGGTGTGTCTAATTCCTGTGTGTTACTGTCCCCAGCTAAGCCAGTGTCTATAGATTCTCTTACTCGTATTTCGAGTTCCCGTAGTTGATCTCGTATGCTTTCATTCTCCTTGCTTTGTTCATCAAAACGTTCCTGTAAAAGATTATAGTCATCTTTCTGTTGTTTTAGTTGTTCCCTGTGGTGTCTGTCTTTCTCCTGTGCTTTTTTTAAAGTCACCTTGCGGGAAGCTAGCACTTCTTGTAATTTCTTTTGGAGTTGCTCCTTTTCTTGTTCAAGATTCAAAATTCTGTCTTCTAGTTCTAGTTTCCAGTGTTCTCCACTTTCTGCACCAGCTGTGCTAATTACTGTTGTCTCTTTTATGGGTGTTGCTGAGTCTCCATCTCCAGAGTCTTTGTTAGAAGTGGTTAATTTTTGGATGACTGTCTGGTTTTCAGTTATTTCAGCTTTAAGCAAATCTATGAGGTTTAATTTATCCTGCAAACTCTGTTTCATCTCTTTGATCAATGCCTGTAGCTGTTCTTCAGCTGCGACCTTCTCTTCCAAATCTCTCTTTACATTCTGTAGCTCTAGTTCTTTTTCAGATATCTTCTGATTTAAAGATATTTCAGTTTCCTGACTTTCAGAAGTAACAGATTCTTCTATATTTGTTTTCCCATCTTTACTTTGCTGAGTTGCTTCCATACTTTCCCCCTCACAGAACAGGGTCTTTTCCTTAGACTCATCTTTCACCTGCACCAATTCTTTCTCTAGCTGAGTGACTTTCTTCATTAGTTCCTTCCGGTTAATGAGAGCAGCCTGCAGCTTTCTCTTCATCTGGTCACTTTCTTTCTTCAGAAGATTCAATTCACTCTGAAGTTCTTCATTCTTTATTAATGGAGCTGAAACTACTTTACCATCCTGATCATGTTGTAGATCTGAACATTCTTCCTCTTTCTCTTCTGTTTCCTTCTCCTTTTTGCCTTCTTCAGGAATGGACAGTACACTAAGCTTTTCTCTGAGTGCTTCAACTTCAACCCCAAGAGAAAACTTCTCTTCATTGAGCTGGACTATTTTCTCAGACATATGTACACTGATCTCGGTCATCTGTTTATCCTTCTCTTCAATGGCTTGTTGAAGGGCCTCTACGACCCTAGTTTTCTCTAACAAAAGTTGGTCTGTTCTTGTTGTCTCAAGTTCCTTCTGGGAGAGAGTCTGGGAAAGCTCTTCCATCTTGTTTGAGGTATTCCTTATATGCTCCTCCAAATCAAACATTTCACTTTCTTTCTTTTGCAGCTCACTTTTCAGATTTCTGACTAGTGTGCCCTGGTCAGAAAGCTGGAGATGTACTTCATCCAATTCCTTCTGCAAAGTTTCAATTTTCAAATCCTTTGATTTGGATTCAGTGTTGAGACTCTGGATTTGTTCAGTTAGCAGGCTTTCATGGGTAGCTTTATTTTCATAGTCAGATATTCTTTGTTTTTCTGCCTCCGCAAGGTGTTCTTCAAGTTGCTTTACTTGTGCCTTTAGTTCTGTAATGACGCAGAGCTCTTTTACCTGAACCAAAAGCTGATCTCTCTCATCACACAGAGCACTCAGCGTATTCTTATTCTTTTCCTCATTTTCCTTAAAGTCCTCTACTAGCTTGGCTAGCTTATTGATTTCCTCAGCTTTCTCCTCTAAACTTTTCTCATATGATTCCTCTGCTTTCTGAAGACTTGACTCAAGTTCCAATATTTGTCCTTCTAATCTTTTCAATTCATCTTGCTGAGACAAAATAAGATCTTGAGCTACCAAAAGAGAGTCTTTTCGAGTCTTTTCTGTTGACTCCATTTCCACTCCAGTGTTGGCAACGTGAACTACAGGCATCTCCAATGGTGTGCTACTCTGATTATGAGGTATAAAGCTTTCTGAACCTTCCACATCAATGACAATAGGGCTGCATGCTTCACTTTGCATTAAAGGAAAGCTCTGTCCTGTGCCTTCGTGTATCATTCCTTCACCTTCTGCCTGCTTGATATCCCCTTGTTCAGATGCCTCTGAAATCAAGTTGGTATTAGGCTTTGTGATCTGGAGCTGCCCTTTAAGGTATGCAATCTCCTCTTGGGCTTCTTTCATTTCCAATAATAAAACTGACAACTTATGTTTCTGTGAAACAATCATCTCCAAGTTGTCTTCTTGTCTACTTTCCTCAGTAGATTTGTTGGTACTGCTTTTGGTGATTTCATCAGTGGGAATCTGCAGCTAAATAAAAAAACAAAAAAGAAAAAGGAGTGAAAATGTCAGCAAACATTATAAGACAGCAGAGAGACTGAAGTAGTTGCTTCCTTATCAAAAAAGAGACCAGAGTGATTATCACTCTAAAATTAACCCTGGAAAAAGAAAAAATGGAGACACTAAATCAAAGAGTTATGAATGTACAGGGTGTTCTGAATCTAATTGACATCCTAGACTTAGATAAAATAACACCAACATCCAAATTCCCTCTCTACAAGAAAAAAGACATTAAGGCACCAAGCTTTTATATAAGAATTTTCAGAAAAAATAACTGCAATGTCAAAACATCCTCTTTAATAACTAAAGCCCTCAGAGCCTGAGCACAATCCAAATACTAGCCATGTGGGATCAGGAGAAATGATTAAGGCAACATGGAGCAGAAAGATCTATGGATCTAGACTTATAGAATCTGGGTTCAAGTCCTGACTTTGAATTTATGAGCTGTGTGATTTTGGACAAGCCTCTTAATCTCTCTGTGCCTACTAAGCTTCCTTATCTGTAAAATGAAAGAGTTGGGCTAGATGGCCTCTAAGGTCCCTTCCAGACCTAAAACTATGATACTGTGATTGCATACAGTTTTCCTTCCAATAGGCATAGAGATATAAAGCTGTGCTCAGCAAAGAGTGAAATAAACTAATGACAGGATGAGCTATGTAGAGCTATGTAGTTATTTCAGAGTAAATAAAGGATTCAAGATATCTAGATACAAATGTAAATAAAGTATAAATCATGTCATCTATGTTTCCCATAAACGTTCAGATTTAAAGTCAACTTGGAAAAATAATGCAATGGTATGATATAAAGACTACTTGCCTGAGAATTATAGAACTTGGATTCAAACCCCAGTTCTGACCCTTATTACCCATGTGACCCTGGGTAAGTGACTTATCCTCTCTGAGCCCAGTTTCTTTATTTGTAAAATAGGGGTAGGGGAGTGTTGGACCAAGATGACTTCTAAAGTCTCTTCCAGCTGTAAACCTATGATCTTTCCCTTTACTCTGCTTTTTTTTTTAATTTTGAGAGTTTAGTCATTTACCTGTCCCGTCACTTCTCCACCAGCCATCTCAGGTCCACGCTGAGCCTCTAGGAGAGTAATCTGAGAGTGTAGTCTTTCTGAAATGATAACAGAACATAGTTTTAGCTTCAAATCCCGGTCATCTCATACTTTCATGGAACAATCTCAGTCATTCCAGGAAAGCAAGACTAGATTTTTAAGAATGATGCAGGTTAGGAAACCTCATGATATAAACATGACAGACTTAAGATTAAGAATGAGGCATAAATTTTCTGACAGAGGAAATGTGGAAATTTGTCTTGCTGGTTATGCATATTTATTACAAGGGATTTTTTTTTTCCTTTCCTTTTCTTGAAAAGTTTTTGGGAGGAAACAGGAGGGGGAGAGGGGCTAGTGGTAAGGTTACAAAAAAATTTAAAAAGAAAGAAAAGAAAGGATCATTAAAACATTTTTTAAAGTGCACATAAGAGAACAAAAAGAAGGCCAGGAAGAGACATAGGAAAACAAATTAACTCTGAAAGTTACAGGCTAAATTTATTCTGTTTACAAAAAGAAAAAAAATAAGCACTGCATAATAGGAGATTTCCACTTTCATGTACAATACTCTTTTCTGTTCTACTGTGAAATGCTTGCTTTATTTGGTATTGTGTTGAAAATTTTTTAAATGTTAAAGATGACAGAGGTGTACAAAGTCTCAAAAGAATTGAGCTAAAACTCAAAGAAAAAAATGCTTTTGAGAGATTATGGTGTGAAAGACCTAAAATAATTTGGAAAACATGAAAAAAGACACTTTTTTAAAGAAATGTTAGTCCGGTAATGAACTTCCTTCAAAATATGGTCTTGAATTCAGCCACCACCATAACAACAACAGGTGAGGAACTCAGAAGTAGGAAATAAATAGCTCAAGTACAACACAGGTTTGGACCAAAAGTACAACAATAGTGCTCCATTTGTGAAAAACAAAATGTTTCCCAAACCTACAGATGTTATCAATGTCTTGTCACTCTCTGAAGCTTCTTTGAGAAGGTCAGATTCTATGAGCTGGTAGGAAGATAGCTTTAGATTATTTTAAATTTTAAACTGGGGCCTGTGACTTTGTTTTGTAAACATTTTGATGAAGGTATTTCAATTTAATTGGTTTCCTTTGTAATTCTATGTATTTTATTTTATGCATTTAAAAATATTATTCTAGGAAGGAATCTGTCCATAGGCTTCAGCAGACTGCCAAAGGAGTACATGCCATAAAAAAAGTTAAAAATCCCTGCTCTAGAGATCATCTTATTCATTCTCTTGCCATCTGGAAGGACTAATATAACCCAGAGAGATGGGACACTATTTTGTCTTTAGAAAGGTCTAAGAAGGGGCAGCTAGGTGGCGCAGTGGATAAAGCACCGGCCCTGAAGTCAGGAGGACCTGAGTTCAAATCCGGACTCAGACCAAACACTTGACATTTCCTAGCTGTGTGACCCTGGGCAAGTCACTTAACCCCAATTGCCTAAAAGCAAAAAAAAAATAAAAAAAGAAAGGTCTAAGAAAAGAGGAGCTAGGGGCAGCTAGGTGGCACAATGAATAGAGCTCTGGCCTTGGAGTCAGGAGGACCTGAGTTCAAATCCAGCTTCAGACACTTAACCCTTACTAGCTGTGTGACCCTGGGCAAGTCACTTAACCCCGATGGCCTCACCAAAAAGAAAAAAAAAAGAGAGAGAGAGAATCTATAGCTTCTTTCCTTCACCTATTTCAGTGGTTTTTTTTTTATTAATTTAAGTGGGCTGGGAGGAACAAAAATTATCAACTTGATTTTGGAAGTGAGAGAAATACAAAGGCATTAAGAAATTAGGAACAGAATATGGATATAAGTTATATTTGGGGATTTATAATTACTTTTGAATAATTTTGTTGGATTCTCACAGTGAGCTCAGTACTCTAGAATACTAACTCCAAAAAAAACACTAACCACTACCACCCTCATCTTCCTAAACTGTTTCCATTTTGGATAGACACACTCTCCATATTAAGATGTGACTACTAAAAAGTAATGAGACAAATTCTGCATGTGGCTTCTAGAACAAATTGCCTTAATTTATAGTGACACTTCATATATAGCTACCTCATATGGATTACTCATTTAATTTTGAATTCCTAATTTTGAATTCTGTTATGTGCACTTGTAAGGCAGTTGGCAAACAGATGAAAGACTTTCCTAACAGAGCAGTTAGCCTAAAAGCAAAACATGTTTCTTGCCCTTAAGGAGCCCATATTTTAATGAGGTAGGCATCATTCAAATAATTAGGTATATACAAGAGATATAAAGTGTAAATGGAAGGTATGAGGTCAGAGGGAAGGTACAAAAAGTGGCAGGACTGGGAAAGACCTGCTGTAGAATGGGGGACTTGAGCTGAGTCTTAAAGGGAGTCAGAGAAGCTGTGGGGTAGAGGTGAAGAGGGAGAGAATTTGAGTCAAAGAGGTCAACCAGTACAGATAAGAGGTCAGGAGATGGAGTGCTGTGTTCAAGGACAACAGGAAGTTCATTGTCACTGGATCATAGGGAGGGGGCGTTGTTTCAGGGAGAAGGGGAGTAAATTGTAAAAAGTCTGGAAAGTTAGGAATAGGCCAGTTTGTGAAGGGCTTTATGTGCCAAACACAGCAATTTATATTTGATCCTCGGGGTAACAGAAGACCACTTGGGCTGACTGAATAGAAAGATGACATGGTCAGACCTGTGCTTTAGGAAGATAATTTTGTCAGCTGGGAATGAACTGGAGTAAGGAGAGAGACTTAAGGCAGAGAGACAATCAGAAGTTCTATTATGATAGTTGGGACCTTCACCAGGATGGCAGCTGTGTGAGTAGAACACAAGGGACATAGAAGAAAGGTGCTGTGAAGGTAAAAATGACAAGATTTAACAACAGATTGGATATGTGGGGCTGAGTGAAAGGGAAGATGATAACATCAAGGTTGTGAGTCTGATTGACTGGGAGGATGGTAATACCTTTAAGAATAGTAAGAAAATTGCTAAGAGGGGAAGGTTTTGGGGGGAAAGAATGAATTCTGTTTTGCACATGCTTAGTCCGAGATTCCTAGGAAACTTCGAGTCTGAAATGCAGAACTGGAGCCAAAGAGCAATGTTAAAGATGAATATATAGATCTTGGAATCATCTGCATAAAAACAATAATCAAACCCACAGAAGCTGATGAAATCACCAAATAAAATAGTATAAATAGGGAAGAGAAGAGGGTCCAGGACAGAACGTTGAGGGGCACCCATGGTTAGTAGGTATGATCTAGATGAAGATCTACCAACAGAGACTGAGAAAGAGTGGTCGGTCAGATAAGAAAACCAAAAAAAGAGTAGTGTCACAAAAACCAAGAGGAAAGAATATCTAGCAGAAATGGCAGTGAAGGTTGTAGAGAGACCAAGAACAATTTGGATTGAGAAAGGCTATTAGATTGAGCAATTAACTCTGGTTAAAGCAGTTTTCAGTTCAGGCATCAATTATAGACAACTTTCTCAAGGAGTTTAGTCATAAAAGAGAGGAGAAACTGAGGATGTTAAGTAGAGAAGATAGTCAAATAAACTGAGGGTTTTTTAAGGACAGGAGAGATGTAGCAGTGGTTATAGGCAGCTAGGAAGATGCCAACAAACAGGGAGAGATTAAAGATTAAAGACAGGGTGGGAATGAAAGAGGAGGCAATCTGCTGGAGATGAGAAGGGGATGGAATCAAAGGTATATGCTGAGAAGTCTGCCTTGGAATGGAGAAGGACTGCTTCTTTATAAGAATTGGGGCGAAAAAGGATCTAGAAGGGGAAGATGTCTGAGTGATATGAGATGCAGAAAAGTAGAGAAGAGGGAGTTCTAAGGAAAATGATCCAGGTTTTTGAGAAGTATGAGGCAAGATCAGCTGAGAGAGTCAGAGTAAGGAGCGTACCACAGGAGGCATAACAAGGAATGAAAAGGTCTGAAACATCCACTGTGGTGAATAGGATAGCAAATAGATTAGGAAAGTGTAAAAGGACCATGTTGTTACAGTGAAGGCTCAGTTGAGACTATGTAATATACATTTATAGCAGATCCGGTAAGCACTGTTTCATGATTTTCTCCAGCTCTATGCAGCAGCACACAACAGGACTGAAAGAGATGGGAGTAATCCAAAGTTCTATAAGGAAAAGGGGACAAAGTATAGAGGACAAAGTATAGAGGAAAGTATAGAGTGATTGACCAAGTAAAAAGATAGGAAGGGGAATACAGGACTGTAGGGGTAACAACCTACTAAAGAACTGAGAAGTAGAGGCAGCTAGGTGGCACAGTGCTTAGAGCACCGGCCCTGGAGTCAGGAGAACCTGCGTTCAAATCCGGCCTCAGACACTTGACACTTACTAGCTGTGTGACCCTAGGCAAGTCATTTAACCCCACTGCCTAGCCAAAAAACAAAAACAAAAAACTGAGGAGTAGAGGGGCTGGAAGTCATCGTGAAGGCAAAGTACAAGGTAAGTGTTTGTAAAGTATAGAGAAAGATGGAATGATAAAATTATCATCCCATAATCAGAGCTCACGAACATGGAAATAGAATATTTATGGGTAATGGCATGATCAAATGTGTAGATATGCTTAAAAAAAACCAAAACTATTTCTACATTAAAGTGGGATTTGGGAAGGTCTGAAGGAATGGTATGGGTGAGGCAGTTATTTACAGGTACATGAAAAAAGTAAAGAAGGTGAGAAACTTGAAATTAGGAGGATAAAATAAAATAAGCTATAAAATACATCAATGAGTTAAAACAAAAAAAATTTTTTTAAAACAAAAAAATTTTTTTTAAAACAAAAATATTTTAAGAAGCAAGGAGACAATCATAGGACAAGGTTTTACAACAGTGGGATTTAGGAAAAGAATACAAAAAAGGAGACAGATATAGATACTACAGTGTTGATTCATAGAAGAAACACTGTTGTATGCCAACATGGTAACGTAAGATCTCAACATCTTGCTTTGTTTTATGTTATTTTACTTCTGTCTGACCTCGGACTAGCAAAAAGTTTGCTCTGATCCTTAAAAAAAGAATAACATTCTATATTTGATTCTCTAGTTTTCTTTGAACTCTTAAAATGTTTTCCTAAAGTATATACATGACCATGTTCAGTGTTCCTTTTCCTTCATTTATGTATTCCAAGATAAAAGTAATTTTCTTTAAAGGTTTCTGTCTCTTCTATAATGCTAATAATTTCTTTCTTCTGGTGAAACTCTAGTGCAGAATATAGTTTCTCCTCATTTTATCTTTACCTTGTGAAACTATTCTCCTTTAAGGTCATAAATAACCACCACTTTACTAACTCTAACAGCCTTTCTTTCTGTTTCAATTACCCTTTATGTCTCTCCATGACCACACATCATCCAATTCTTATGTTTTTTTCTCTGAGCACTCTTCTCCTTCCTGTTACTTTATCTTGCTCCTATTTCTTCCACTTAATGATGCATGTATATAGTCTTCCTAATTGCTTTCAGAACATTTCCACTCAAGTCTATTAAAACAACCTTCTAATTGGCCTCTCTGCCTCAGGTCTCTCCCTACTCTAATTCATCTACCACTCAACTGCTGAACTGATGTTCCTAAAGCACAGGTCTGACCATGTTACCTCCTATTCAATAAACTTCAGTGTCTCCCTGTTATCTCCAAGATCAAATACAAAATCCTCCATTTGTCTTTTAAAGTCCTTCATAACCTGGCTCTTCCTACCTTTCCAGTCTTCTCATACCCCTGCAATCTTATGATATTGGCCTCCTAACTATTTCTAGAATGAGATTCTCCATCTTCTGACTCTACTGTCACTGGCTGTTCCCCTAACTGGAATGCTCTTTCTCCCAGACTTTGCCTCTTAGCTTCCTTGGTTTCCTTAAAGTCTCAGCTAAAACTCCCTCTTCTACGAGAAGTCTTTCTTGGTCCTTCCTGAAGTACTCACATACCTTCTCTCTGAGATTATGTTTGCATGTTGTTAGATTGTGAACTCCTACAGGGCTGGAACTGGTTTTGCCTTTTTTTTTTTTTTGTATCCCTAGCGCCTTATTACAATATCTAGCACAGAGTAAGCACTTAAGAAATGCTTGTTGACTTGGCATGACTATTTGGACAAACTATTATCATCTTTTTTAACTGCACCACACTGCCAACCTTAGGTAAAATCTTATATCCTAAGAGGACAGAAACTTAACCTCCTTATATAAAATTCCTTGATTGTCCAGTGAACATGGAATCCCGATTTACACTAAAACAGAAAAAGCATTACACTAAAAGTTGGGAGAACTGGGTTCTAGTCCTAGCTCTCCTTTTATCTACTCTTATCACTGCAAGTTACTTAGTCATTCAGGGTCTCAGTTTTTTCACCTTAAAATTGAGGAACTTCTAGGTTTCTTACAAGTCTATGATTTTTGATCTATAGGAATTTTAGAGGTCACCCAACACAGGACATAGCCTTTATTTTACAAATAGTCAACAATGTAACAACATATGCACTCTTCTGGACAAGAAGCCATTGAAAATAAATTTTCAGCTACCATACATACCATTCTCAACTTTTAGCTCCTCCAGTTCCACAGTAGAGAGAAGCAAGGTACATTTTTCCTCCTCTAGTTCTGCTACTCTCTTCTGCAAAGAGACAATGTTCTCTTCTAAGTCTACCTGAAATGCAGAAAAGGGGCAAATGAGACATTTTCTGACTCACATTCTCAAAGAGCTGAAGGAAAACTCTCAAGGTAATGCATTTATATTTAATCTTCTTCAACATCTCTTTCACTGGAAATTTTTAGAAACTGGAAATAACCCTCTTCAACCTGGACTAACTCAAAGGTTATTCCCATTTACAGGCAGAGAAAAAATGTCAATGATCTCTGAGGGGAAATGGCAGCTGAAGGATCTTATTAGATTCAGAGCTTCAAATCTATACCAGAATTTCAAGGCTAAACCGCAAAGACAGTCATCCAAAAATCATCTGTATGGGAAAAAATATCTAACTCAGTAATCCCTGGCACAAGGTCCAGTAGTAATGGGAAATGTGCTTACAACCCTCACAAATAAAGAGACCTCCCTGAGATAAATAACGGGCTGAATAGAAATTCCAAAAGAAGAATGACTGCAAAATAATATATATCCTCAATGAAGAGAGGGAGTAATGCTATTCTTAATTCTAAGCTTAAAATCCCATTCACCTTCTAACACTGGGGCTATTGCACCTTATAATTTTATTTATGCACACAAATGTTTAGTCTTCTTAATGAACTGCAAATATTTAATTATTTTTCATCTTGTGTCCCTGCAGCTTGTCTTTAGTATATGGACGACTCCATTACTTACCACAGAATTGTATTATTTTACAACTGTAAGGGGTTTTGGAGAGGATCCAACCTAAATTCATCATTTTACAAATAAGGAACATTATGGCTTAGAGAAGTTAAAGATTTTTTCAAAGTAAGATAGCTAACATAAGACATAACTAGGGCTAAAACCCAGGTCTAACTCTTATTACTTATGCTGCTGTTGCTATTTTCCTAAATTAACAGGCCATGATGGCCTGTCGTACTCTAGTACTTATTGTCTATACCAGAGGTGTCAAACTGGTGGCCAGCAAAGCTCCAGTGTGCAGCTCAAACCAGATTAAAATGTAATTGGTAAATGTTTTAAAAATAAATGAAAATACAATATAACATAAGTAATGTTAACTTTTGGTTTTCTAAGTTAATAAGTAACCCATAATAATATATAATATTTTATTTTTTATAATAATAATATAATTAATTGTAATTGTCCACTCGTCTTTACCATTCATTTGGCTCTCACCTTGTTTTTCTATTAAACTATTCATGCACGTACATTTTTGCCCAAACACGCTATTAGCTCCTTAAGAATATGGACAATTACTATACAACTTGGTATTTCCTAGAGCTCCTAGCTTAATGTTATGTACATAATACTTGATAAATACTTTTTGAATTAATGTATCAATGGTCAATCCTAATCCCATTAAAGATGCTATTACTGTCCTACCACCACTAATTTGGTATTATGTGGAAACTTAGTAAACATGTTTTTTTGTCTGTCATCTACATCTCTGAAAATAAATTCATTAAATAGCCCTTGACCCAGGTAGGACTTACTGTTATGTAAAATTTTTCTGTGTACTCTTCCAAGTAACTACTTCCAAGTAACATAATATTTACTAAAATTTTATGTAAACTATACAGAACTATCACATGTTTTGTAAGCATTTTTCATACAAATCTGTCTTAAGTTATTAGTAAACTAATCTCTCTGCAATGATCTAGGACATGTCTTTAAGTACAAGGGATAAATTTGTAAGTATTTACAGATTCAAATATACTTCAATGGATTCATGAAAACCCTGTTGTGTGTATTCCTTCTAACAGTACAAATCACAAACTATACACACCTTATCCTGTATGACTATTGTACACATCCTCCTATAAATTCTTTATGGAAAATTTACCCAAACTGCTGGAAGCTGATCTTCCTCTAGGTCTTTTAACTGGCTTTCCACCAAGTATGTCTTACTCTGATGACATGAATGGTACCACTTCCTTTTGTGATATACATCTTTCGCATGCCATTTTTTATACCATTTCTTAGGAGCAAGGCACAGTTGATAATACAATGGAATCTCTTTATGTTCATTATGTGTCTCTGCCCTTTCTGCCAACTGCAATTTTGAATTTTTAGAAATTATTACATTCTATGACTTGCAACCATACAGTAACCCTGGAAGAATTTTTTAAAAGGTGGGTTTTAGTTTCAGAGAGGAGCTTGGAAATACTGAAAGCACCACACAAATTTCCAAAAACCATTTTGTTCACATTCTTTCTCCTATCCTAGGCCCAGCTCACTGACTATCTGCAATACCTATCCAAGACTTCAAGCTCTGATATATCAACTAAAGGGGACATACCTCCACCTGCATATCATAGTTTGGATGACAGGCACTCTTCATCCACTTAGTTTTCTTCACATAGACTGTTACACCAAACTCCTTTAAGTATTTGGATCTCATTTCAGAAGTGTGTTAGGATTTGGGGGCTTGGTACAATCAGCACAATCCTCAAAATCAAGGGAAACACTAAAACAGGGAAATAACATGCTCCTCAAAGGCATCTGCCACTATCATGAAGAAAGTTCAGCACAAAATCCAAATGGCAGAAAGATTCTTCACAGGGCTTGGGATCTTCTAGACATTCTTATTTGCAGGTGACATACCGAAAATTTAGAGAATGCAAGATCCTACTGTGTTTATTGTTTGTTATTATTTTTAAAGCATTTGATTCTTCTCTGTTGCTTTTGTTGGCAATTATATCATCTGACTTGTTTCATTTATTTCACATCTTCCCCTCTTTCAGGTATCTTGAAAATTACTCCCTCAATGCCCAACTGTGTTGCCATTAAAAAAGACTTCCATTATTTATATATGGTCTGGTCTAGCTATTCTACCTGTATCCTCTTTAGTGCCACCTCTCCCTTGTTTAGCATATCAAGGGCTGAGATGTTAAGAGTTCAAATGTAGTAGTTCTGCTGTCACTAAAGAAGAAAATAGTCTTTTAACAGCCGATGACAGGTTTCATTTGTCTATTGTCTCGCTTCCAGTTTCATTTCTAAATGCTCTTGGGATGATACGGCTTAACTAGATCTCATGCCAAACTTTTCAACAAACTTTTGTTTTTCCTTTCAATGGTTCTTGGTGCTTTACAAGGTAATTCTGCTCATAATTTTCCATCACCTTCCTCTACTGCTTTTGTAAATTTGTTTCTATTCTAAACCAGTGTTGTCTTTGGCTGCCATGTCTTTCCATTTGACTAGAATATTAAGTGCTTGCTGGATGAGGCAATTTCTGGGTTCTTTTGACTTTCTCATCACAGTAATCGCTTCACGTTGTTTAAACTTCTATATGAAATTCATAATAATTTCTTTTGCTTATTCCAATTCTGATTTTTTATGGTTAACAGATTTTTTGAATAGATCAGGTTGGAACTGACAACAAACTATATCTTTTCATCTTTATACTTTCTTCTAATCTGATATTGACTTCAATTGTTTCTTTTAGTTAATCAAACTAAATTAGTTAAACTAATTTAGAAATTACTCCCTCATTGGTAATCAGTTATTTACTGATAAGATATAGTAAATTTCACTTTTTGTGATGTTGTTCAGGGATTACTACATCCAGCATCTTCCAATTTCCTTCTCGAAAAACATATTAATGACATATAGGGTACAGCTTCTGCATAAGCTAAAAGCATTTAGAACACAGATCTTAAACTAGGTTTTATGGAGTTGTTTTTTGAAAAATATTCTGATAACTATTTCAATATAACTGATTTCTTTTGTAACCCTATGTATTTTATTTTATGCATTTAAAAAATATTATTCTGAAGGATCCATAGGCTTTGCTAGACTGTCAAAAGCGTCCATGACACAAAAAAGGTTAAGAACCCTTCATTTATACTCTTTTTAAATTTCTTATTCCAGAACCAAATTTTCCAATGTATCTTTTTGCCACCCTCCATTAATCTTACTTATGCAACAAAACCACTAAGTACCTGTCAGCTTAGTTTAAAGATCTGATCAATAATTGTAGATCTACCTCTGCAATAAACACTGGTAAATAAATTTCAATTATCAACATGGTAATCTTTTTATTTATGCTCATCATAAGCATTACTAAGTGATATGATCAAGTATCCCATGAAATAATGGTTATCCACTAGGTACTAAAGATACAAGAGCACAAAGACATCCAAATTTTGTTACCTTGAGAGCCTGGCTATGCTCATCTGGGCTGGAGGTCTCAGAGGCCATTTCTGACTTCTGCAACACTGGTTCAATCAGAAATTGGCTAATTTCTTTGGATTTTTGCTGGAGTTCATCTAAAGAAAAACAAACTCATCAAAATGATATGCCACAGAACTGAACTTTATGGGGCAGCAGTTTCCAAAAACTTGTAAAGAGTTGCTATCCTCTACTTAAGTTAATTTAGTCCAACTTGAAGATGTCAGTGACAATGTTTCATTTTAACTCTTTAAATGTTCTCCAAGACCCCCGAATAAAGAATTTATAATGAAACATAATCAAATTAAAGATCAAAAGATCTTCCCTTCCTTTTCCCCCTATCTCTTTCAAAAACGGTGTTGTCTTTTTTCAACCAATCAGTTTTACACAGTTAAGTCCTACTCCATTCCCACAAAACAGTATTGATTAAAAATATGCTTAAATTCAAAATACATGCTTGTGATATGTGGTTCGCTATTCAACGCAATTCCAACTCTTCTCTGGTTCAATTACTTTACAAAAGATGTGCTTTGTTCTTTCCTGGAGTTAAACATTCTTTTAACATTTTTCTGAACATATACCTCTTTATAAAGTTCAGATCTCCAAGGAAGCCTTTCAGAGCCATCTTTGTATCAGCCAAGCATAACTCAAATTATCTCCAAGACTGACAAAATGTAATTTGGCACTCCAGGTCCTAAATCTAGATAGAAGATATTCAAATCCTCTACCACACCTTATGAGGATCCTCTAATCCAAGGTCATACTTAACACAGTCTTCCCTAAGTCCCTGGCACACTGATGAAGGTTGTCATTATTGTCTGGTATTGTTATAATGACAATAATAAGCAATAAGTTATAAACATAACTTCTAACAGAAGCAGGAGATACGAAACTAAGGATTTCTCCTGTAGTTTAGGAAGATCTTCCTTTTAAGCCTTCTTTTGATTCAGTGGGTTTTAGCAATTAATTAGGTGACCAGCACTCTGAGCAATGCATTGGAAAAGCAAGTTGTTGCTGACCTTCTAGCTGTTGAATGGTCTGGGCTGAATGAGCTGCCTGGTGACTGATATCCTGAAGAAGCTTTTCATTTTGAACCTTTAAGGCCTCACAAGCAGACTGTAGTTCTTTTTCAGTCTTTTGAAGACACAAAATTTGAGAGTCCTTCTCTTCTCCTGCTATTTTATGCTTCTGCTCCAAAGCACTACATTGAGACTCTAATTCAGCCCGGATTTGGCCCGCCTGCTCTAACTGCTCCGAAAGACAACGCATTTCTTCTTCTAGCCTGTGTGAAGACAGTTTTCTTTCTGCCACTTCAAGCTCCATTTTTTCAATCAGACTCTTGGACGCCTGTCTCTCTGTTTCTAGTACAGTCTTTAATGTATTTTGCTCAGCTTCCAATTGCTGCAACTGTTCAGAGAGAACCTAAGAAAAAAAGAAAGAAGACTCATAACAAAACCTCAACCAATTTATAAAAGACACTGCACAGTGGGATTGCTTTGATCTAACACAGAAGCATCTAACACAAACTGATGGAGAAATGAAGCCACAAAAGGTATAATATAAGACAGCTAGGTGGTATGGTAGTTAGAACCCTAGATTTGGAGTCAATAAGATCTGAGTCCAAATCCCACCCTGGATATCTACCAGCTGTGTAACCCCGGGTAAATTACTTAACCTCTCTCATCCATCAGTATCCATCTGAAAAGCAGAGATAACAAGAGCTGTAGCTCTGACCTCACATGAAAGTTTTAAAGCTCAAGTGAGATAATATATATAAAGTACTATGAAAACCTTAAAGGTGTTATAGAAATGTTGGATATTATAAATCTGGGAAGCCAGGCAGTCTCTGATATTACTGATCACTCCCTCCTCTGGGATATTCTCTTCTCTCTAGATTTTTGAGAAACCATTCTCTCCTGATTCTCCTCCCCTATCTGACTTCTCCCTCTCTGTCTCCTTTTCTGGATCTACTTCTAAAACACTACCTCTAATTGCAGGTATCCCTTAGGGTTCTATCCTGGGTCCTCTTCTCTTCTCTATACTACTTCACTTGATAATCTCATCACCTCCTATGGATTTAATTATCATCACTATGCTAATGACACTCAATTCTACCTTTCCTGCCTCACACTCTCAGCTGACCTCTAATCTGGCATATACAACTGCCTTTCAGACACTTCAAACTAGATGTACAGTAGACATCTTAATCAACATGTCTAAAACAGAACTCATTTTTTTTTCCTTCTAAACTCTCCCTTCCCTCCTACCTTCTCTATTACTGGAGAATAAAACACCATTTTCCCAGTTTCTCAGGCTCACAACTTAGGAGCCATGGTGGATTCTTCACTATCCTCAACCCACATATATAAGATATTGCCAAGACCTGTCAATTTCATCCTTGCAACATTCTCTAGACTATGCCTCTCTTCTCTCCTCTCATACTTCCAACTCTCCAGGGCAGGTCCTTATTGCCTCAGGGCTGCACTATTGAAATAGCCTGCTGGTAGGTCTGCCTGCCTCAAGTCTCTCCCCACTGCAATTCATCTTCCATTCAGCCACTAAAGTGATTTTCCTAAAATACAGGTCAAATTGTGCCATACTTCTACTCAACAAACTTCAGTGGCTCCCTATTGCCTCGAGGAGCAAGTAAAAAGTGCTCTGTGTGGCTGGTATTTAAAGCCCTTCATGACCTAGCCCCCTCTCAAGTCTTCTTACATGTTATTCCCCAACACATACTCTCCTATCCAGTGAAACTGGCCTCCTGATTGTTCCACAAACAAAACACTCCATCTCTGAGCATTTTCTCTTGCACTCCCCCATGTCTAGAACACTTTCCCTCCTCTGCCCCACTTTCTGAGCCCACTAGATTCCCTTAAGTGCCAACTAAAACTCCTTCTTTTGCTTGAAGCCTTCCCCAATCTCTCTTAATTCTAGTTGCCTTCCCTTTGTTAATTATTTCCTATTGATCCTGCATACAGCTTGCTTTGCATATATTTACTTGCATGTTGTCTCCTCCATTAGACTGTAAGCTCCTTGAGGGTAAGGACTGTCTTTTTGTATCCCTTGAGGTTAACACAGTGCCTGGCACACAGTAGGTGCTTAATAAATATTTACTGATTGATTACTGATTGAACAGAATGAACTTATAATTCAGTGAACCTTTAAAAAGGGAGTGACTCTGTCCTTGGTTCTTTTTCTCTTTATTTTTTCTGGCTATAGATAGTGTCAGAATTATTTTAAGTTTCTTTCCATGAAATGTGGTGGGAATAGCAGCTCACCCTATCCCCCACCACAGATAACAAAAGTAGCCATGAACATGCTGTCCAAGTCAGCCTGATCCTGGATTTGGAGCTGCCTCTTCTGTTTTTTGTTTTGAATGAATATTGATTCCACAATGGATGTATATAGGACTGGAGGCCACTGCTGTGAATTTAAGAGATTTGAAAATCCTGGCCCCTCACTCTATGCTGGCTATATATTTCAGAAAGAGTCCACAGCAACTACTCCAGCACTCCTGGAGAGGGTGATCACCAACTAGAGGATGAGGTCAATCTCTGGCCTGGTTTGCTGTAAGACATGGACTTTGAGGAAAACAATGAAAAGCAGAATACAATGTAAAATGCCTAATGTCCTACAAATTGTTTCATGTTCCAGTGTTTATGACTCAACTTCCTAGCAGACTGTAACAGTGGTCATAAGTTACCAATTCTTTAAGTTTCACCAATGTATGTTGATTTCTTTTGTGTCTTTTAGCATTTCGTTTGTATATAAGCAATGAAACCTGTCTCATACCAGAAAAATAAAATTATTTTTGGCCCTCTATACCAGAGAAGTTTGAATTTTTTCTTTTACTTTCTGGGGTGTTTACATCATCTTATTCTAAAATTGGGGTTAGGGGGCAGCTAGGTGGCACAGTGGATAGAGCACTGGCCCTGGACTCAGGAGGACCTGAGTTCAAATCCGGCCTCAGACACATAACACTTACTAGCTGTGTGACTCTGGGCAAGTCACTTAACCCCATTGCCTAACAAAAGCAAAAAATAAAATAAAATAGGGGTTATTATACAATACTATACATATATTTTATGCATTTCTAAGTTTCTAAACTTTTTCTGTGCCATCTCTTGGCCTTCACATGTCATCTGTGGCTTCCACAAAACTCCCCAAAATTCTCAGTTGATTTTTTATGCTGACCCGTGATATACAATGTGGGGAAAGTCTTGATGTGGAAGATATAACTATACACTGAAACTCTAGACTCAGGATGGTCAAAAGAAAGTCCTTCTAAATAAAGATATAAAATGCCCACCTCCTATAAATAAGAATTTATGTTCACAAGGAATAGTTTACCTATCAGATCTATGGAGAACAGAAGAATTCATGACCAAACAGGAGATAGAGAACATTACGAAAAGCAAAACAGATAATTTTGATTACATTAAATTGAAAAGTTTTTGCACAAACAAGACCAATGCAACTAAAATTAGAAGGAAGGTAGAAAATTGGGAAAGAATTTTTACAACCAGTCTCTCTGATAAGGGCCTCATTTCTAAAATATATAGAGAATTAAGACAAATTTATAAAACTACAAGCCATTCCCCAATTGATAAATGGTCAAAGGATATGAACAGACAGTTCTCAGATGAAGAAATTAAAGCCATCTATAGTCATATGAAAAAAATGCTCTAAATCATTATTGATTAGAGAAATGCAAATCAAAACAACTCTGAGGTACCACATCACACCTATCAGATTGGCCAACATGACAAAACAGGAACATGATAAATGCTGGAAAAGATGTGGGAAAACTGGAACACTAATGTATTGTTGGTGAAGTTGTGAAATGATCCAACCGTTTTGGAGAACAATTTGGAACTATGCCCAAAGGGCTATCAAAATGTGCATACCCTTTGACCCAGCAATAGCAGTTCTAGGGCTATATCCCAAAGAGATCATACAAATGGAAAAAGGACCCACATGTACAAAAATATTCATAGCAGCTCTTTTTGTGGTGGCAAAGAATTGGAAACTGAGAGGATGCCCATCAATTGGGGAATGGCTGAGTACACTATGGTATATGAATGTGATGGAATACTATTGTGCTATAAGAAATGATTGTACACAATAACACCCACATTGTGTGATGACTAATATTGATAAACTTAACCCTTCTCAAGAATACAAGGATCTAAGACATCCCCCAGAGACCTCGTGATGGAAAATACTATCCACATCCAAAGAAAGAAATATGGAAGTTGAATCGCTATCATTTTTTTTCTCTTCTGTTGAGTTTTGTCTCCTCTTTCTAATGGTTCCTCCTATTGGTTTTAATTTTTACTTACAACTTCACTAATGTGAAAATATGTTTAATAGGAATGTAAATGTATAGCCTATATGAGATTGTGTGCTGTCTTGGGGAGGGTGATGGGGAGGAAGGGGGAGAAAAATTTTAAACTCAAAAGCATGTGGAAGTGATTGTTGATAAATCAAAATAAATTAATAAAATTTAAAAAAAAAAGAATTTACGTTCACTATCTAAAAATTAGATCCAGAAGGAAAAAGAAAAAATACATATCCCATGTTAAGTACAGTAAAGGACATAATAAAAAGAGGTACCTGATTTTTCTGTTCTGCAACAGATAGCTCCTGCTGGAGTAAGTCGACCACCTGAGCACGCCCTAATAGGGCCTCCTCCTGTTCCTCTAGCCTCCTGTGCAGAGTCCTTAGGTTCTAGGAAGAAAAAGAATGCATTAGCCTGGAAAATCCTAGAAAGTCAGGATCTTTATTTGCTTACCTTTCATAATGCTGCATAAGTATTTAATACCATCACACTTCCCATTTAGTAGAAGAAATAATTTTCTTCAAGACCCTAACAAAATAATGGGCCTTAACAACTGAACTCTGAAACAGACAAGACCCCAAAACATGGGGACTTTCCATCATAATTAGAAAGAGAAAGTTTGTGATGTTATATTCCACCTCAAAATTCTATAAACAACCAACAAAAGATACATACACACATACATGTATGTACGTGTGTATGTATAAGTAGTCAGTACCCAAATTTACAGACTGTACTCTAAAATAGTCTGTAAGTTATTTGCCTATAATTTGATCATATTTCCTCATATATCATTTCCATAATTAGATAAGAAGTAGTTATATTCCCAAACTAGTCCACAAGAACCTATTTAACTCACAATTTAACTATATATGTGCAATTAAAAACAAAAGGGAAAAGAACTTTTGTGATATTAATAATTAAAACAGAAACAACAAATAAACATTAAAATTATTTCTTATCCAATCTTAAATATTAATGACACTGGAAAAAGTAGGTAAGGTAATATTGATGCTTGAGTATGTATCCTATTCCTTCAGTGCCACTCTGTTTTTCTATCAGCCTGTATCTGACAGTAGGTGAACATTTATTTATCACAACCTAAAAGCCAAATTCTTGCCAGTCCCCTAGAAGTTCCATCACATAGAGAAAAAGGAAGCAGAGACTCCTTAATTCTTTCTGCCAATTAATCTCTTTCTCTCATGTCAAATAATAAGAAGGAGCCAAGATTGGTACAAGTCTTCTAACCAAGTGAATATACTATGTCTGGGAAAGAAAATAGAGATAATGCCATATAAGAAAAAAATCTTAGATTAGGAGTCTGAAGACCTGGGTTATAATCTTGATGCTGTCACTAACTAGCTGTCATCCTGGGCAAGTCACCTCTCTGTACTTCAGTCAGTTTCCTCATCTGTAAGAGGAAGGGGGCCACTCTAGATGATCTTTAATGTCCTTTCCAACTCTGGCAGTCTGTGGTTCTATGATTAGGAATTAAGTGAGAAAATGTTCTCTCTCCAGCTAGCCTTCAGGGAAAGGGAATTACTACACTCCTTTCCCCTGGTCAGATGGTAGGGACTGTGGTGGCGCAGAACAAAATACAGATGAAACGTGAAACTAGTGGGGGCTAAAGTAGTCTTGAACAGAAGTTACTAGAGAGGGAGGCAAAATAAGCCTTGGGAAGAAGCATACCTATACAATAAGGAAGGAAGAGGAAGGAGGGATGAGTTTGCCTTGTCAGAAAGCTGACTAGTACTCTGATCTGCAATTTCTGAATATTAGCCTTAATATAAAATACAGTCAACTTCCTAATATCGAGCCCCTGATTAAGGGGTAGAGGAATGGACAATCCAAAGAAAAATACAATCAAAGCAACAGCTGGAATAGGATCACACCCAAGGATATCAGTTAAGGAACACAATAAGACTATGTGAATAGTAAACAAAGATTAATGAGCAATAAGGTGAAGTGGGGAGTGGGGGTGGGGTAACCTGTCATATTTCATTAAATAATACCTAAAATCAAAACCTTTACAAAAAAAATTTTAGTCACACACCTGCTGCATCTCTGTCTCCATCTCCTTCTGAGTTACTAATTGAAGAAGTTCATCTTCATGAAGACGAACTTGTGATTCAAAGCGCGCATCTTTCTCCCGGACCACCTCCTGCATGGAACTCAACTTAAGACACAACCAGAAAGACTATCCAAGTTACATTCCCAATCTTTTACAAAAACAAACATGAAATTCCCAATATGCTCAGAGATTTTGAGGAAAAAAGAAAGAAATGGCAGGAAGTTAGAATTATCAAGTAGCTACAAAGGGCTGCGTGGTTTTACCACTTACTATTCCTGTTCTAAACAGGCTGTTTTTAGGTGCCAAGAATGAGGATGTTTAGATATAATCTCCAAATATGACAAAAGGAAGTCAGTCTGAACAAAGATTCTTTTTTAAATGAACTTTAAATAAGGATATTAAAAGTCCATGATGCATTTTAAACATTTTCAGAGTCTAGAACATTAAATTTTTTAAGTGCAACTAGACTGATCTGTTAAATTCAAAACCACTTTATAATTCCCCTACTTAAAAACCTGACATTATTTCTTATTGCCTAGAATAATATCCCAACTCTTTAGGCATATTTAAGACAATACACAATCTGGCTCTAAGCTATCTTTCAAGCCTTATTGTCAGAATTCCCTTGCAAAAGAACTGCATCTTCTCCCTATTCCTAAACTTAATAACAGCTATTTTCCTTCTCACCTGCAAGCCTCCAAACCAAGACTCTCACCAAAGGCCGAACTATCTATAAACAGAAGTTCTATAGATACTGAGAGAGCGGGGGCAAGGCAGATGAGAAAACTGCAAAGTATCAAGGAAAGTACCCCGATGAAGGGCTGCCTGTCCTCTCTTTCTCTCTCATGCTTTGGCTACGACAGGCAGCCTCGTCAGCAGGGTACTTTCCTTGATATTTTGCAGTTTCCTCATCTGCCTTGCCCCTGCTCTCTCAGTATCTATAGAACTTCTGTTTACAGATAGTTTGGCCTTCAACTCTTACAAATCTTCTAGCTGTTATGTGCATAAATTCTGGGTCACCCACCCTGATCTGACCTTGACTATCTGTGTCCTTTTTATTTTTATTTTTTTTATCTAAAGTTGGTGCTTTCACCTTCACCTTTTATGCAAACTCTACTTCTATAATCCCAAATATTTCAACCAGTCTCTCTGACCTACTATTATAGGACTCTGCCATTGAGTTCAATTCAATAGAAGTATAACCCTCCTCTCTGCTTTCCAAAATTTTAATTCCTACCTGTGCTGCTTGCTCTGCTTGCACTTGACTGAGTTGGGTTTGTAGGATGCTAATCAGTTCCTCCTTCTCCTGGAGTGTTTGTTTTAGCATTTCAAATCCTTCTATCTGATCTTCTTTAGGAGATGCATCACACTGAAGAAACCGAGGACATAAAATAATTGATTTAAACAAAACAACTTCTTCACCTCTTTACTATTTGCTCTACAATCAATCTCATCTTTCAAGGCCCAAGGCCTTGAAATCCATGAAATCAGTCATGTCTATCCTAGTGCTCTCTCCTTTTGAACTTCAAAAACACTTGTCTAGATCAGTGGTATCAAACTCAAACAGAAATGCTACAGCTGGCATACTAAATTAGAAGAACACAAATTAAAATATGCATATTACACTGTATTTTTGTTCATTTTGTTAAACATTTCCCAATAACATTTTAATCTAGTTTGGGCTGCACTGGGAATTTTGTGGCCTCTGACAGTGAGTTTGACATATCCCAGTCTAGCTCATTCTTTGAACACCAACTCATGTGTCTATGTTTTGCCTTCCCAAGAAAGGAACAATAAGGATAATGTTTAACGCTTCTTTATATACTCCCATAATGCCTTATAAAATGTGTTGCGCATTTTAATTGTTAAATAAATCACTGTGCTGATGGATTAAAATTACATAAGTCAGACCCAATCACATAAATATAGTACAAATAGGAATATCACATCTTGTAGCTTTAGAAAACTTACTATCTAGATTTGCTTGCCATACCATAGGTTATTGAACTTTGGCCCTTTAACCTGATAATTACAAGGTAACTTTAATTCCTACCTGTGCTGCTCGCTCTGCTTGCACATGACAGAGCTGGGTTTGTAGACTGCTAATTAGTTCCTCCTTCTCCTGGAGTTTTTGTTTCAGCATTTCAAATCCTTCCAACTGATCTTCTTTATGGGGTGTGTCACACTGAAGAAACCAGACATCAAATAACTGATTTTAAAAAATAACTTCTTTAGCTCTTTACTATTTTCTCTACAATTTATCCTATCAACCAACCAGTCAATAAGAATTTATTAAGCATCTATTACGTACTAGGCACTGCTAGGCTCTCTCAAAGACCTATCAATTTTTCCCTCTATAAATCTTGAATCCACTCTTTTCTCTTCATTCTGATACCCTCCTCAGAACTAATCATTTCATGTCTAAAACACAGCAATAGATTCCTTGCTAGGCTCTAGCTCTCTGCCTCCTCTAATCTGTCTCAAATATAACAGCAAGGATCATTTTCCCTAGCTGTCATTTTGATCATGTTACTTCCTTTCTTCAAGTCCTTATAATGATCTCTTAAATCAAAATATAACTATCTGTGGTTTTAGGCTTCTCCAACAATTAAATACTTACTTATCCCCTATGCTGGCATTACTTAATTACTCTCATCTTCTGCTAAACCTTCAAATCAAGTAAATGTATTGACTCTCTAACATAGTTGCTTGCCTATCCACTCTCCCACAACCCCAGCTATCCATTACCCCATGGACAGCTAGAAAGACTTGCATGGGCTGATGCAAAGTGAAATATACTATGTACAAAGTAATAGCAATTTTGCAAGATGATCAGCTGTGAATGACTTAGCTATTCTTAGCAGTGCAATGATCCAAGACAACTCTGAAGGACTTATGATGAAAAATGCTACCCATCCCCAGAAAAAGAACTGATGGTGTCTGAATACAGACTGAAGCATACTTTTTTTACTTTATTTTTCTTATGTTATTTTTTTAGTCTATGTTTTCTTTCACAATATGACTATTATGGAAATGTTTTGCATGACTACACCTGCATAACCTGAACTACTTGCCTTCTCAATAAGGGTGGGTGGGGAGGGAGGAAGGAAGAGAATTCGGAACTCAAAGTTTTAAAAACGAATGTTAAAAATTGTTTTTGCATTTAATTGGGGGAAAATAATATACTAAATAATTTTTTTAAAAGGACAATGATCTTTTATTCTAAAGATGACAAAAACTTCTCCAACCCTGCTCATTTGCTAAATTCTTCTTCCCCACCTCTAGCCAACAGTTAGGAATACAAGTATTTTTTGTCTTTTCTTCTCCCTTCTGTTGTATTTTGCCTCAGAAACTCAAAGGATAATTCATATCCCTAATAAACCTACTCTGTCCTGGAAAAAAAAATCTGTTCCAAGATTCATAAAACGTCCATAAAGCTTCCCCAAACATAGCTGTAAAAGCTCCAAGTCACTTTGATAATCTCTTAATTCTATATATGTATTTAGAACATCTAACAAATTAGCAAATTATGCTTGTGTTGACATTTCTGTCTCAACTTAATTACCCTCAATGGTGACTGATTATTTACTCAAACAATAATAATCTTTTATTAAAGTGATTATTATGTGTAAGTCACTGTGGTAGACCCCCCAAGGGTAATAAAAAGATAATTACGGCACATCTCTTGTCCTCAAAAAATTCGACTTGAGTAGAATTAAGACAAATATAAATATGCAAAAAGTACAGAACATCAGAGGCAGAATTTCACTTACAAAACCACAGAGAAGCAATGAATGAAAAAAAGTTTAAAGAAAATTTGGTGAAAGATCAAGTCATCCCCAGGACATTTAAAGATCAAACTGAAAAAATGTCAAGAAAACAAAAGAAGAAAAAAATCTGTAAAAAATTGTATAACTCTTTCCACCACCAAAGATAGTGAAGCCACCATATTTGGACTAATATCACAGTCCCTGACAAGTTTCTTGAAGAAACAGAAATAGCACTAAAGAAACAAAAGATAAGGGGCAGCTAGGTGGCGCAGTAGATAGAGCACTGGCCTTAGAGTCAGGAAGACCTGAATTCAAATCTGACCTCAGACACATAACACTCACTAGCTGTGTGACTCTGGGCAAGTCACTTAACCCCAACTGCTTCACCAAAAAAAAAAAAAAAGAAAAGAAAAAACAAAAACAAAAACAAACAAAAGATAGGAAAATCAGCTGAACTCGACCAGGGATAACTTTGTTCAATAGCCCTCTGATTATTAATACAAAGTAAATAATAAAACAGGGAGATGTATGTTTCCCAAATGAGTTTGCCACAATAACAGAGAAGGCCTAGCACAGACTTAAAGAGGGATTCCCTATAGATGAGGTCCTCCAGATGCTCCTATTTGCAGACTACATTGTACATCAAGATCTGAAACACACCTGAGTGACTTCCTAAATGACATCTATAATTGTGGAATTGAGAATGGAAAGGGCCTTCAGCAGCCATCTAGAATAAACCCTTCCATAAAAGGAATTTCCACCATAACATATTTAACAAATGGTACTCCAGTCCCTGCTTAAAGATGTACAAAAAACGTGTAACTCACCTTCTCTTGAGGACGTCCCTTCCAATTCTGGCCAGCTTAAACCATTAGGAAATTTTTCTTCACATCAAACCTAAACTTGCCTCTTTGCAACTTCTACCCCAATCCTTCTTCCAAATGAGAGCCCATCAAGTATCTGAACCTGGTTATCATGCACCCACTGAGTATTCACTTCACTATGTTAAACATCTCCAGGTCCTTCAACTGGTCCTCCTATAACATGGACTCAAAGCCCACCATTCTAACTGCCCTTCTCTGGACACTCTCCAGTTTATCAATGTCTGTGGCATCCAGAACTGAAAACAATACTCCAGATGAACTATGAGGAGAAAGAGTACAAAGGAACTATTACTTCCTTATTACTGGAAATTCTAACCTCTTAATGTAGCCCAAGACTATATTAGCTTTTTGGATGAATCTCTCTGACACAGGGGTGAAGACCTGGGTTTCCAAAAATGGTCACAAAGGGTGACACTCTCTTCCCTCCTAGCCTTTCCTTTAAACCCTGGGTTTAAAGCAACTCTACTGTTAGTCAGAGTCTAAAAGGTCAGCTACCACAAAAGACTCAGAACAAGGACCCTAAAGATAAATTTATCATAATGTGACCAGGTCATAGCAGGACTTTTTTTTTCCCCAACAACAATCATACAATGTCCCTCTCCTGTCTTCATATCCTTCTTCTTCCCTCTTGCTTGTACTAGGTTAGACTTGTCTGACTATTATCTGAAACTGGTGATCAATTTGGTAAGTATTTCATGCCCCTGTTTTCTGTAAGACTTCTACTCTTCTTGCATTTTGATATCTTGTCTGAAATTATGAGCTTCCTTTCCTGATAATGTACCATCTGGAGCTTATGATATATGTTTTGATACCACAGATGACTGCATTGAAAATATTTATTATACTCAATTCACCCATACCTTGCTAGGGAGCTGCTGTTTCTCTGACTGGGGTTCTTGAGATGACCCCATCCCTCCTTGTGCTTTCATTTCTTCCATACGTTTATTCAGGGAGGCTAATCGGGCCTTGGCTTGGAGCTTCAATTTCGTCATTTTCATGTCTGCAGCTTTTCTTTCATCCTACCAGAGAATAATGATGCTAAACGAAAAGACATTTATTTACCCACCAGTTAACTTGTACATAGCGACAGGGAATTTTAGTAGGTACCATCTATATGCTGCAGCAGGGGTGGGGAACCTGTGGCCTCAAGGTCACATGTCATCTATGTTCTCAAGTGTGGCCCTTTGACTGAATCCAACCTTCACAGAACAAATCTCCTTAATAAAAGGATGTGTTCTGTAAAACCTGGACTCAGTCAAAAGGCTGCCCCTAAGGACCTAGAAGGCCACATGTGGCCTGAAGGCCGCAGGTTCCCCACACCAGTAGGAATATAATATAGTATTTGCCTTCAACGGGCACAGAGAAAAGATAAAATGAATTATTGATCTTTCATCAAATACTTTGAAAGAAAAAGAAATAGTACCTCTAAAATAATATCCTTTTGCTGTAACTGAGTATCTTTCTCTCGAATAACATCCTTCAGCTGTACCACCAGCTGCTCTGTGTGGGCCAATCGCTCCAGAATATCCTCATTTGTTCCACTGTTAAACGCCATGTCAGGCTCTTCTGTTAGTTCCTAGAATTGGGACCAAAAAAAAAATCCATCAAAAATAGTAGCACAACATACTCCAATATATTCCAACATATTCCAAAGTCAGTTCCTTCACTCCTACCTTTTTTTTTTGGCTCTGCTTACTTTCCTTTTTATTAAAAAAAAATATGTACCCTTATCTTCTTCCCCTCTCAATACATTTCTTCTCAGATTACATTAACATAAAAAGATCCCTTCGGGGCAGCTAGGTGGCGCAGCAGATAGAGCACCAGCCCTGAAGTCAGGAGGACCTGAGTTCAAATCCGACCTCAGACCAAACACTTAACACTTACTAGCTGTGTGACCCTGGGCAAGTCACTTAACCCCAACTGCCTAAAAGCAAAAACAAAAAACAAAACACAAAAGATCCCTTCTATATCAACCAGTAGAAATATTACATAATAGAATAAACAATAAATGCAACAGTAAATGCAAAAGGTTATTAGGAACATAGCAATCTGATTTCTCCACTTATCATTCCAAATCTTTCCTCTGAAATACATAAGGGAAATTATATTAGTGCTGCTTTTAAAAAACCAGAGGAGGACCACATAGCTAGAATGACCTCCTAATCCCTATCGAGAATTTAGTTTTTGTCCAGTGGTGCCTTTCTCACATTCTTTAACCACACATGTACAAATCCTATCCTGTCCTGTAGAAAGAAGCACTGATAGGAAGAAGAATTATTTTTTTAAATTCACCTGCCACTAATCTAGATATTCACTAAAGTATTAATCTAGGGCAAGACGTTCTGAAACTAAAGGTAAGAAATCCCCCTTATCTATTACATTCTTTTTCCCCAAGAAGGCAATGAGAATGAATCTTATTAGCTCACAGTAAAAAAAACTACTTACTGGTTTTGGAGGCCCTACTATATCACCATAAGTGCCATCCCCTGATAGCTCCTGCAGAACAGTGTTCGCTATTCCTGACAGACGGCTCAGCATTTCTGCAACAAAAGAGCAAGGTCAACATTAAGGCGCCTTCAAAAGGAGATGGGTTTCTTTTTACTGATACAGCTTACATCATACACAGGGAGTACAATAAAAATACCAAGCTGGTATTCATCATATGGAATCAGTGCTAGTATTAAGGAGGTTTCTTTTCTTTCTTTCTTTCTTTGTCAATTATGTCTTCAAAGAGCTGCTAAAAAGAAAGAAATTCATAAGCACATAGGGATTGGTCTCATATTGGTATTCCTAACAACACCAACACAAAGATCTGAGTTACTATAAGTAAAATCTTCTTCAAAATTTCACCTAATTATGTGGGAGATAATATGTTCAAAGAGTGAGGTTTAATGCCTCATTTTAATATACTCTTATATACAAAAGACCCTCATTTGTGATCAGTTGTCAAATCTAGCTGTTTTGTTTTTGTGCTGTTAATTTTAACTGACCTATGGCCTGCTCATATCTGGAAGGGTCAGAGAGAGTATAACATGTGTCCTTGTGTTTATGAGCTAGGTTCCTTGGAGGACTAGATGTTACTTGCTTAAATGAAGTTACACAGTAAGGATTCTCTTACAAAATACATGAAGTAACTATTCCAATAGACTACTATCTTTTAAAACGTCAATCTTTCTAAAAGTTTTTCTATCAGGGCAGCTAGGTGGCGCAGTGGATAGAGCACCAGCCCTGAAGTCAGCAGTACCTGAGTTCAAATCCAGCCTCAGACCAAACACTTGACATTTACTAGCTGTGTGACTCTGGGCAAGTCATTTAACCCCAACTGCCTAAAAAGAAAAAGTTTTTCTATAATAATTTCACCAACCCTCTAACCTTCCAGCACAATTTCTAATCCCATCTCTCTCTTCAATTTACTTTTAAAATAATGGTTTTGATCCTTCACAGTTACATTAACTGTATGTTAGCCTTTTCTTAAGTTTTTAACATATAAACTTTTTCATAGCAAAAATGCATTCACTATTCATTATCAGAATAGACTATGTACAAGCCAAATTTGTGCAAGGGCTTATACCTAAGTTTTATGAATTTTGCTACTAGATCATAGGAAATATTTTCTTTGGATCAGAAAACATTCATTAGCTACTACATTGAATCTCACTCCTATAATGTCAACTGTTCCTTATCTGTTGGAACCCTAGGCAGATCACTTAACATTTCTCTAGCTCAATTTCTTCGTGAATTAAAAGGAGTGGAGGGGAAGGGGGTTAGACTCAAGGACCTCTAAGGTCCCTTCCAGCTCTAAACCAATTATCTTGGATCCTCTTTTATTTAGAGAAATCACTGTATTTCTCTGGCCAGTGGAGACAGTGGACAGTAGCTGTGGAGTTAAAGGAACTGGATTCAAATCCCATCTTTGATTCTTACCATTTGCAAGACTTTGGGCAAGTCACTTGACTCATCTGTAAAATGAGGGGATTGAACTAGATGACCTCTGATATCTCTTCAAGAACTAAGTCCATGATCTCTAAGGTCACTTTTAACTTTAAATCTTATGATTTAAAAAAAAATTTTTTAATGATTTATTAGAAACACTAAACATCAATACTGGTTCTACTTTTTTTCACCTTGCATCATTTCATAAACGTCATTCTAGACTTCTTCACATTCTTTATACTTTATGTTCTTAATTGTATTAAAATATTTATTATATTAATATCTAACCATTATTAGACATTTTAGGCTACTTGCCATTTTAAAAAATTATTATAACACTACTATGAAAATCTTCAAACATAATGCTCTGATTTTGTGATCTTTGTTTCTAAAATGGAGAAAACAAGTTAAATTTCTCAAGAATCCTAAATTTTTATATATAATACTTGGAATCCTTGACCTTTTCCTTTCTAATCTAGGCCACATGAGACACACATATTGGAGAGAACTGGCAAAAGAAGCAATCACCGGGGAGAGGAGCCAAGATGGCAGAGTAAAAGCAGTGACTTGCTTGAGCTCTCCCACAAACCCCTCCAAATACCTGTAAAAAATGACTCTAAACAAATTCTAGAGCAGCAGAACCCACAAAAAGACAGAGTGAAATAAATTTCCAGCCCAAGACAACCTGGATGGTTGATGGGAAAGATGGTTATCTAGTGCGCCAGGCTGAGAGAGGAGCACAGTTCAGCATGGGCCATGTAAGCAAAGACTAGGCCTCAGCAAACCCAGAGCAGGCCTCAGGGGACTGAATCAAGGGGAGCTGTGGCAGTTTCCACTTCTCAACCCACAAACACCAAAGACCACTGAGAAGGTCAGTAGCAGAGGTCTGTGGGACCTTGGTAAGAGAGGACTTCAGTTCCACTCAGTCCTGGCACAGCCCCGGGGGGGCAGCTGCTTCCAGAGCTCTCAGCCCACAGATGGAGGGGGGATCAAGCAGCTGATCAGAGGGGGATTGCAGGGGTCTCTTTGCTGGTGCCAAAGCAGGATTCTCTTGTTTTGCCCATGCTTGGATCTGGGTGGCAGTCCTGGGGCAAGGAGGAGTGCTGGCATGGTGGAGCTTGTGGCGGTGGTGGAGAGGGAATCTTCCTCACACTTCCAAGGCAGAAAAGAGTGTTTGTGCTCACTCACAGACCACAGCATACCAGAGCACAGGCCAGGAAAAGAATAAACACCTCACCTTTGATCATACCACCTTGTAAGAACTGAAAATTTACAAGTCCCTAGAAGTATCTCTGAAATCAACTGCACAAAACCCCTCAATCTTGGGACAGCACATCCTCCACATTGGAAGCATACCCCTACCTTAACAAAGAGTTTAAAAGTCAAGTAACTGGCTAGGAACATGAGCAAACAGTGCAAAAAGAAAGTCAGACCACAGAATCTTACTTTGGTGACAAAGAAGATCAAAACATACAACCAGAAGAAGACAACAAAGTCAAAGCTCCTACATCCAAAGCCTCCAAGAAAAATATGAAGCTAATGACTTTATGAGAAATCAAGACATTATAGAACAAAACCAAAAGAATGAAAAAAATAGAAGGCAATGTGAAATATGTCACTGGAAAAACAACTGACCTGGAAAACAGATCCAGGAGAAATAATTTTTAAATTATTGGATTACTTGAAAGCCATGATCAAAAAAAGAGCCTAGACATCATCTGTCAAGAAATTATCAAGGAAAACTGCCCTGATATTCCAGAACAAGGATAAAATAGAAATTCAAAGAATCCACTGATCACCTCCTGAAAGAGATCCCCAAAGGAAAACCCCTAGGAATATTATAGACAAATTCCAGAGTTCCCAGGTCAAGGAGAAAATATTGTTAAGAAGCCAGAAAGAAACAATTCGAGTACTGTGGAAACACAATCAGGATAACACAAGATTTAGCAGCTTCTAAATTAAGGGACTGGAGGGCCTGGAATAATGATATTCTGGAAATCAAAGGAGTTAGGGTTAAAACCAAGAATCACCTACCCAGCAAAACTGAGTATAATACTTCAGAGGAAAAACCAGTCAGTGAAATAGAGGACTTCCATGCATTCTTGATGAAAAGACCAGGGCTGAACAGAAAATTTGACTTTCAAATACAAGACTCAAGAGAAGCATGAAAAGGTAAACAAGAAAGAGAAATCATAAAGAGCTTATTAGAGTTGAATTATTTACATTCCTACATGGAAAGATGATATTTGTAACTCGTGAGACCTTTGTTAGTACTAGGGTAGTTGAAAGTAGAAAAAAATGTACATACACACACATATACACACACACACACATATATGTATACATACATGCATATAAACAGAGGGCACAGGGTGAGTAGAAGATGAAGGGATAATATCAAAAAAATAAAATTAAGGGGTGAGAGAGGATTATACTGGGAGAAGAGGAAAGGGAGAGGTAGAATGGGGTAAATTATCTCACATAAAAGAGGAAAGAAAAAGCTTTTACAGTGGAAGGGAAGTAGGGGAAGGTGAGAGGAAATGGGTGAATATTACTCTCATTGGATTTAGCTTAAGGAAGGAATAACAGACACGCTCAATAGGATATGGAAATCTATTTTACCGTACAGGAAAATAGGGGGGAAGAGGATAAGAGTTGGGGGAATGATAGAAGCGAGGGCAGATTGGGGGAGGGGGTAATCAGAAGCAAACACTTTTGAGGAGGGATGGGGTCAAAGGAGAGAACAGAATAAATAGGTAGTGGGATAGGATGAAGTGAAATATAGTCAGTTTTAATAATGACTGTTATGGAAGTGTTTTGGATGACTACAAATGTATAACCTGTATTGAGCTGCTTGCCTTCTCAATAAGGTAGGGTGGGGAGGGAGGAAGGGAGAGAATCTGGAACCCAAAATTTTAAAAACAAATGCTACAAATCGTTTTTACATGCAACTGAGAAATAAGATATACAGGCAATGGGATATAGAAATCTATCCTGGAAAACAGAAGGGGAAGGGGACAAGAGAAGCAAGGATGATAGAAGGGAGGGCAGATTAGGGGAAAGGGTATTCAGAATGCATACCATGGGGGGGGGAGATGGGGAGAAAATTTGGAACTCAAAATCTTGTGGAAGTGAATGTTGAAAACTAAAAATTAATTAATTTAAAAAGAAAAAGAAAAAGAAGCCATCACCAGTAAGGACAGCAGTAGACAATATCTTTAATCTGATGATTCAAATTGTACAACTAGACTATGATCAATACAGAACCACAATTTTTCTCATAATTAGCACACAGGTAAGCACCAAGCTGCCCTTACAATTTCTGATGTCCTCTCTTCAGTTATAAGTCTAGAATAAAAATTAAAATTATGATAATCAAAAAACTTTTTATTATGTACCTAGTTTTATATACCACCATCCAAAGAACATGATAATAGAATCTTTCCTATCTATGTTGCACCTACCAAATCACAAAATTTTCCAGGTAATTCAGAAAGAGATGGGGGAGGGGGAATCTCATTTTAAACATAACAATACTGGTCAAGTATTCATTAAAGGGTGTCCCAAAAGTCTCAGTACAGTCTTAAGTTTTGTTAACTTAAAACTGCACAAAGACTTCTGGCACACCCTACATAATAACACCTTGATTTACAGTTATAATGATTTGATACAGTTACAAATGATTCACAGTTATGAAGAGTTTTTGCATACATCATCTAATTTACTTCTCAATCATCTTATAAAGGAGATAATGCAAGTACTATAGAAATTTGCCTAAGGCACTGAGAGGCTAAGGCACTCTCCCAAAGTCACTGTCAGTATGTGTCAGAGACAGAACTTGAACCTACGTATTCCTGACTCCAAGGTTGTCTCTCCCCCTTGTCTAGAGTCTAGATTCTAGAGTCCTCCCTCCTGAACTTGATCTTAGGTACTACAATACAAAGTTAGCCATAGAGAAGTACAGCAAAAAAATACGTGGGGAAGCAAAGTTGAGATGAAGAAATAAAAGAGGCCAAAGGCCTCAGAAATTTCAAACCTGTATAATATGAATACTTTTTTTTCAAGAAATCAAGTGAAAGGCACTGGATGGCAAGTATCCAACAACAAAAAAAATTTGACCATGTCATAACAGACAAGAAACAAATGGTTATGGATGTAGGAATCATTTCAGAATCAGTTGTTGCACATGCAATCAGATCAACTGGTTATAGCCAACAACAAAATAAACACAAAATTATGAGAATAAAAAACTTACAACAGCTCTAAGGCAACATATTTAAACATTTTAAGAAGTTGCTGAATCTGAAAAAAGGAAATGCAGTTGAATTCAACAAACACTTTTATTAAGCATCTATTTCGTGTACCTTACTTTTAACAAACTAGTGGTACAAAGATGAAAATTATCAGTTCCTGTATGTTCATCAAGTGGTGAATGACTAAACAAGTTGTGGTATATGGTTGTGATGGAATACTACTGCGCTATAAGAAATGATGAGCTCCATGATTTTAGAAAAACATGCAAAGACTTGCATGGAATAATAAAGAGCAAAATAAGCAGAACCAAGTATACAGTAACAGTAATACTGTTTTAAGAACAACTTTGAGTAACCAAGTCACATTGACTATTACAAATACCCAAATTAACTACAAAAGACCTATGAAAGAAGATGCTATCTGCATGCAGAGAAAGAATTGATAAATAGAAGTAATGTACAGTATGGATTTCCATACATGCACATATTTGTATGTAATTAATGGTAGCCATGGGGGAGAGAAGGGAGTGAGAAGAAAAAAAAGAAAGTTACACGATAACTTTATTACATATATTAAAGGAAAAGTAAGTTGTACATGATAGATTTGCAGTTTCATGTATAATCCTTTTTTTCTATTCTACTTTGTTATGGAAATGCTTGTTTGATTTCTTAAGTTCAGAATAAAAAGAAAAAAAAGTAACAGCTCCTTTCTTCAAGGAGCTAGTATTTTATAGAGAGGATAAAACATCATCATCATTACATTCTTATGGTAATTTCCAAGTGTTTTCCATATATTATCTTGTTTATGCTTCATAATAGCCCCATGCAGAAAGTACTATAGTTTTTGTTATTCCCATTTTACAGATGAAAAAACTGAAATAGGTTAAGTGATTTGTCTATGGTCACATGACTGGCAAACATCAGAGGCAAGATTCAAACTAAATCTCTGCTGACTCCAAGTCTTGTATTCTTTCCCCTACAACATCCTGCCTTTTAAATATGTACAAAGAAAAATAAATACAAAATAATTTGAGAAGGAAGACAGCACTAACAACTGGGTGAATGACAGAAGGCTTTATGGAGGAACTTATTTCCTAAAAGAGGCCTTGAATGAAGGATTCTAAAAGCCAGAGGTGAGAAAAGAATGTATTCCAGGCTTGTGCTGATGCATGAAGGTGGCAATAAAACTGCTGAGTTTAGAGAACACTTAGCAATCTAGTTTGGCTAGAATACAGAGTTCTTCAAGAGAAGAAAGATGGCCAGATTATAGAAGATCTTAAATGACAAACTGAGGCATTTATATCTTTCATCCTAAAGGCAACAAGGAACCACCAACAGTACTGAAGCAGAGAAGTGACACAGTCAAACTTGTGCCTTAGGAAGATAATTTGACTGCTTTGTAGAACGTGAATGGGAGAAGGGAGAGATTACAAGCTGACACATCAGTTAGGAGGCTGTTACAATGATCTAGGTGATGTGATAAAAGTAAATATTGGGTCTGATAATCATTCTTTCTTAAATAAGTTTAAATGATTTTTTTTAAATGCCACAACAGGGAAGCCAGAGCCAGAAACAGCCTCAGCCAGAAAACATTTGACCTCCTACTAAGTGTGGCATTGCAGCCAAGGGCAAGACAAGTTTAGAGCACAAGCTCACATTTAAAGAATGATTTAATAGTACAATCACCTCATAAAATAGCATAAAGCAGAATGAGAAAGGGACCTGCTACCAAATCATCCTAAGAACTTAGAGATGAAACTAGAAGGAAAATAAATAGAAATAAAATGGAAGAGACCAACATTTCTGTAGAAATTTATTCTCATTATTTATGAAAGTAGAACCATAACATTTGGGCTATCCACTTCAACAACCCCACTGCTATGTGATTAAGTAGAAATAGACTTTAAAATGAAATCATGAGCTGATGGACCCGACCAATATATATTGAAGAAATCTGTATGGGAAGGTGACAAAACGCTAAAGGCATTCCAGGATCAATTTTCAAGATCTCTTAAAGTAGAGAAGATTCCAAAAGAATAGGATTATCCATGGCATTATTGCAAGAAAAAAAGCAATTGTAAAGATTTCAAAACTTCCCCAATATCTTCTGGAGTGGACCAATGTACTTTCTCATAACTTCTATAAAATCTTTATCAAAATGGCCTCTGCATATCATAAAAATAACCTACATGAAAATGAGAAGAAAACAGGCTTTTAATTTAAAGGAATGGAACAGAGAACATCCAAGTGTTATTATTTCTGGATCACCAAAAAAGCAATTAATTTCCTAAAGCAAAAACAACTATAATGACTCTGCTCCAACAAGGGATATCTCTCATATTTTTAGGTGATAGGATTCCTTAATAAATGTAACCATAAAGATAACTTTGGCCAATGATCTGCAGAATATCAACACTGATTGATCATAAAGCAAGGAAATATAATCTCACCAAAGGCATTTCTAAGACATGACAACAAGAAAAGGAATTGGTCCAATCAGATGGTGAGAGTAGTAGGCCTAGAGATAATCTGAGAGTTGTATCCATGAAACAGGAAAGGAACCAGAGTTAGGCAGCCAGTGCACTGCATGGAAACTCCATGTATAATAAAATACCAATGAGAACTACATAGAGTAAAGAAGAATGGATGGCTTCTAATCTGCACGGGGGAAGGGAATATCCATAATGTTAAGATCACAGAATTGATGAATTGTGAAGGTCAAGAATAGGTATACTTTACAAGATGAAAGCAAAAGTAACTACATACCCAGATTGGAGAGCTAAGATCACAAATACTTAAGCTCTACGCTAAATGGGTCACAGTAGGAGGCCCTTCTTAGATCAATATGAGACACAAAGGAAGTAGACTCTCAGGAGGGAAAAGAGCCAGTTTGCTAGACTTTAAGTAGAGTGTTCTCCCTCATCACCCATTCCCACATTCCCCATTGTTATCAATTAAACATCTAGTACCGATTATATCTAGCTAGCACTGTAATAAGAGTGTACAAAAAGCATAAGAGACTGGCCCTGTGCATAAATTGCTCAAAATCTTGTTGAGAGAAAACACATATACGGATATATATGACTAGTAAACATGCTAATATATGATTATTTGTATTTATACATCTATAGCAGCTTGTTTTGTGAAAAAAGTAATGGACTTGGGAGTCAGAAGACCTAAGTTTGGTACTGTCACTTATCAGACATGTAATATTGGGCCATCACCTAGACTCTTTATTCTTCAGTTCCCTCATCTATAAAATGGGAATGTTGTAGTATTTACCTCACAGAATTCTTGCATCAAATAACTTAACACATATAAAAAAGTCCTTTGCAAACCTTAAAGTGATGCGTGTAGGTATGTGTGTACACGTATGTATGTATGTAACATAAGCTATTACTTCTATCACACAGCCAGCTTGGCAGAAAGTAAAGGAGAAAAAATATTAGGCAACAGAAATTATTAAAAAGTAAAAATATTAACAAGTAAGTCTGGACTCAGGATATACTCTATTGTCAGTTCCAGGTTTACAAGCTGAGAATTACCTTTCCAGCTTAGCTTCATTCATATATATATATATATATAAGGCATCATCAAATATTGCAAGTTTCCTCCACGGTAAAAATTCCTGCATTTTTTTCCCATCACAATGATTATCCTGCTCCTGACAGCTAATAACCTACTCTAGGTCTAGGTCACAATCATAGAATTTAGAACTGGAAGGGATCTTAGAAGTCATCATCTAGTATAATACCCTCATTTCAGATTAGGAATCTGAGGCCCGGACAGATTGAGTGACTTGCCTCAGCCTACCTGCTTCATACTTTACTATAATTAATAGCGTCCATTCTATTTCTACTCCAAAGTCATATTACAAAGAGCTGTAATTTTCCATAAGCTTGTTTTGGTCATATCACTCACCTCTTCAGATAGTTATAATGGCTGCCAAATACTTTCACAACCAAATTAAAGTGCTTCACTGGACTTTATGCAGGCCTGGAAGGAAAAAGAGAACAAATGCATTTTATGTACTTGTTATTTGTTAATTGGTTTGGTCCCTCCCCGTTAAAGGGCTAGGGATTTGGGTTAAAATTTTACTTCAAGTTTTTAAGTTTATTGAACTATTTCTTCTTCTTGACATTTTTAAAGCGTATAATGAGCACTTTTTAAAAAAAAACATTGATTTTTAAAAAGCTTTGTTGATCAATTGTCAACTTCCTTTTCATCACATCTGCTTTCCTTTATAATCTCCTTTATCATATACTCCACCCCAACCAATTCAACAGGCATTTATTAAATGTCCACAAAAACAAAGCACTGCTCTAGGCGCTGGCGAATACAAAGACAAGATGGAACTCCCCATTTTCATTCCCCTACTAGTTTACTAGCTCCATCTTCAAAACATTACACCCCCTTTCCAACCACCAGCTACATTATTTCCCTCTTTCTAAACTCTGCTCAAGGCTCCTTTCCTGTTACAGGCCTCACATGTTGGACTCAGAAATCACATCTAGAATCTAGCCCCAGCATCCACACTTGCAGCATCTTGAGCAAGTCACACAATCTCTCCAGATTTTAATTTCCTCATATATAAAACGGACGTTTGATCTGCCTATCTCACAGATTGTTGTTATAAGGTTAAACTGAACAAAGTACATGAAAAAATAAACTGTATCCAAAGGTGATGCACTAAAAAGCCTGCAAGGTCTCGCCTGGGCAGGCTAAGACACTCCCTACACCCTCAAGCTATCCATTAACACTGGCATAACTGTTCAACAATAACAGACTCATTCATTCGATAAACATTTATTAAGCATCACCTATATGCTAAGCACTGAGGATACAAAAAAGAGGCATAAGACAGTTCCTACCCTCAAGAAACTTACAATCTAACAGCAAAGACAACATGCAAACAAATATGTACACAGTAAGTCATATAAGATAAATAGGAAATGATTAAGAGAGGGAAAGAGCACTGACATTAAGAGGAGTTAGGTAAGACAGCAACGGATTTGCTTCTGTCCTTTCCACTCCTGCCTTTGCATTTGTTTTGCTAGTCACCTTGACTAAGACAGCCAGGGCCATAATTTACTCATTCATTCATTCATCCAATAAACATTTATTAAGTGCCTACTATGTGCCAGGCACTGTGCTAAGTGCTGGGGATACAAAAAGAGGCAAAAGGTAGCCTCTTTGCCCTGAAGGAGCTTACAATCTACTGAAGAAGTCAACATGTAAACAAACACATACAAAGCAAGCTAAATACAGGATAAACAGGAAATGATTATAAGGGAAAGCACTGAAATCAAGAGAGGTTAATAACCACTTATCGTTATTAATAACCCTTTATTAAAGGGCTAATAAGAAAGCAATAACCCATTTACATTCGCCACTGTGCTTTACACTCTGCCTTTGCATTTGTTTTGCTAGTCTCCCTGACTTAACAGATCCAGCGCCATAATGAAGGCTGAGTTTCTGACGTAATCCTCACATTTGCAGGCAAAATGAGCAAGCCTCCCCCTTCTTTTGGGGAGATGGAGAAAGGAGAAAAGTAAATTGTCTCAGGTTCTTCTTCCAGTTAATTCATAAATTTCTCAGAATGCAAATGTCCGAGCAAAAAAATTTGTACTTACTCTGCCCGTTCATGCCAGCATTACCTAGGGACCAAAATCATTTTTAGCTCTCTTTCTCGGTAAAGGGGGTGGGGTGGGGGTGGGAATATTCCGGTTTCCTGCCAGTTCTAACAGTCCTGGAGATCACTCGTCGCTGGCCACCAGCCAGGACCTGGAGATTGGGTCTGAGTGGGCTGGGTACCCTTCCTATCACTGAAGTCTAGGCCGCCCCAACTAGGGTGTCGTATTATATGGTCGGGCCACTCTTCCTATTTTCCAGTTTTTATTCTGACATCCCCAATGGGTTGGGGGAGAAGAGGCCTTTCCCTCTCCCAGCGCGGGGCCAAACGTCTCGAGGTCCGGGAAGATGGACACCGGGAATGGGAGGTGGTGGGGGAAGCTGGGGGCCAGACCTAGGGGGACGGGGCGGCGGGAGAGGGGAGCCGCGTCCTACCCGCCCCCCCCCCGGGACCCGAGGCGAACAAGCGCAAGCGCACGGGGCAGGGATCCAGCCCGGCAGCCCCGAGGGAAGGGAAGAGTGAGCCGGAGGGGGCGGGGTCCCACACACCGCCCGGACTCAGTCGTGCGCCCAGAGCCGGGGGCGGATGGCGGAATCGCTCTCATCCCCTCCCTTCCCACCGCGACCACTAATCCCAGGGAGGGGGCAGGGGGAAGAGAACGCGGGGGCAACCGTGAAAGGCCGCTCGCGCCGGAAGAGCCCACTGTACTCACCTGGAAAAGGCTGCAGGTGAAGCCTCCAGCCCCCTACCCCGGACTCCCGCAACTAGCCACGTCAGTCCCGGAACCCGGCCAGAGGCACCGCCTTCCTCCTGTTCCCTGAGAAAATATCCGCCAATTGGAATGGAGACAAAGAGACGGAGAGGCAGTGGACCAATCAGAACAACCGGCCCTTTGGGCGTTACCAAGGAAACCCGACACTCCCTCCATCCTCCCCTTTCTTTAATTGTGTAACGCCCAACAACAAAGATTCGAGCCAATCAACGACGAGTAGCTCGGCTTCCTCAAAAGAACAGCCAATAAATCTTGCCGCATGGAAATGGGTGGGGTCTGGTGGAGGAAGGGGGTTGGGGGGGAGGAGGCGGGTGTCCGGAGGTGGTGTCCCGGGGTGTCGCGGGAGAAGAAAGACCCGGAACCGGATGTGAGGGACGAAAAGAGACCGAAAAGAAGGTGGAATGGGAGTTCTTTTGGGTGGCTAGGCCGAGCGCGTGAAGTTTACAATCCCAGGCTCCTCGACGGCTTCTTAAAGCGTCTCAACCCTGTGATTTGTGGGGGATTGCCAGAGTCGGAACTTCCGGTTTCGACTAATGTTTGGTTTCCAAGGAGATGAATTCTCATCTCTCCTGCAGAGCGACGCCACTGCTGGAACTGGCTTCATTGAGAAAAATGAATGTACTTGACTTTTAAATGGGGTTGGCCCCAGGAATTACCGGCCCGATCCTGGGGCACACGCCTCTGGATTCCCTGTTCTTGCCCGCGATCCGTAAGGCAAATCACTGCATCTCTGAGCTGAAGGTTTTCCGATCTTTAGTTAACTACGCAGTGTTATTGTGAAGGTCAAATGAAATAAAAGCGCTTTGCAAACTTTAAAGTCTCATACAAATATTATCATCCAAGCTAACTCTCTCACTTTATGAAAATGAGAAAAGTGGCCCAGAGTTGTGACTTGCCCAAAGTCGCAGAACCAAGACCAGAGACTGCAGTTCACACCAGTGCTGTTTCTCCTTTTGCAGCGTGGTTTCTATCCCACCACTTAAACGAAACTGTTCACCAAGGTCGCCAGTTTATCTCTTCACTGCTGACTCCAATAGTGTTTGACGCTGCTCACACACACACACACACACACACACACACACACACACACACACACTCCGACACCTCGCATTTTCATCCATAGAATGAGAGGCTAATATAATACATAAGGCTCTTCGCACAACAACGAATGAACAAGCATTTATCAAGCGATTACTATGTTCCAGACTCTGCTAAACTCTGGGGATACAAAGAAATGCAAAAAGGGTCCCCGCCCTCAGGGAGATAAGTTGAAATACAAAAATGTGTGAGGGGCAGTATGTAATCAGTCACACTAGAAAAATAGTCTGGAGTCTAATGGCAGAGATGACATGCAAACAACTATGTATAAGCAAAATATGTACAGGATAAGTTGGAAGTAATTTCAAGGAAAGGCACTAGCATTAAGGGAGAGAGGAAAGGTGTCTTGCAGCAGCCAGTGGGTGGAGATCAGGGAGAAAGCATTCCAGTCATGGGGGACTGCTGGTGGAAAATGCAGGAAAATCTAAAGATGGAGCTTCTTGTGAGAGGAACAAAAAGGAGTCCAGTGTCACTGGATCATAGAGTACAGGAGAGGGGCAAAATGTAAGAAAACTGGCAAAGCAGGAAAGGGCCAGGTTATGGAGGGCTTTAAAAGCCAAACAGAAAAATTTGTATCTGGAGCTAATAGGGAGCTACTGCAGTTTGTTCAATGGGAGAAGTGAGGACAGACTGACACATTAGGAAAATCCCTGTGTTAGCTGAGTGGAGAAGTAAGAGATTAAGTCAAGGACACCAACCAGAGGGCTATCTCTCTGGGCCATGAGGTGATCAGGGCCTCCCCAAGATGGTAGAGGAGGGGAAAGAAAGGGTTGCATAGGAGAGATGTTGTGAAGGTAGAATTAATAGGACTTGGCAATTGATTGGATGTGGAGTGTGAGAATGAGGAGTGGAGGATGATTCCTAGGTTGTTAAATCATAGTCCTTATGAAATAGAAAAACTGAGGTTCACAGGTTAAGTGACTTGTTTTAATAATGACTGATATTCTTTGGGAAAGAACTAGGAAATCTCTGCTTGATCCTTTTCAGTCTCCTTTGCAGGAACATCACCCTTGAACCCCAACTCTGTGTAGGTCTACCCCAAGGATCTATATTGAGCCCACTATTAATCATCTTATTCCCTCCAATGGATTCTATAATCATTGCTATGCCAATGATTCCCAACTCCACATATCTTTCATTTCTTTCCTGAGTTTCAGTCCCATCTCATCAACTGTGTATTAGACATTTCTTCCTAGATGTCTTGTGGGAATTTCAAATTCAACAAGTCCAAAACAAAAGTCATTTTTTCTCATAACCCCACCACTCCTCCTATTTCTGTAAAGGGCACTGCTATTCTTCCAAGTCACCTGGGTTTGTAACCTAGGAGTCATCATTGAGTCTTCACTCTCACTCCACCTTCCCATATCCAATCAGTTGCCTAATCCTGTTGATTCTAACTCCCCAACAACTTTCACATCCATCCCTTTCCCTCCACTTACATAGCCAACACCTTAGTTAAGATCCTCACCATTTCTCACAGTCCTTCTTTCCATCCATTGTTCACAAAACTGCCAAACCGATAGGCCTGATCATCTTCTTCCTTACTGCCAATGGGACAAAATATAAATTCTTCTGTTTGGCACTTACAGCCATTCACTATCTGACCCCAGACTCTTTTTTTCCAGGATGATTGATTATAAATTACTATTCACACATTTTGTAACCCACCTTAATTGGACTATTTGATGTTCCATATGACATTTCATCTCCTATCTCCATACCTTTTCACAAGCTGTTTCCCATGCCTAGAATTGTATCTTTCCTCACCTCTACCTCTTGGAATCCCTAACTCCTTTCATGACTTGCTCAGCTGCCAGCTCCTGAATGAGGCCTCTCCTGATTTCCCCTATTGTTAGTCCCATCTTAAAAACCAGCACTGATGTAATTTTGTATATGCTATCTATCTACTGTACTTAACTCTGTATGTGCTGTATCTTCCACTCCCAATAAAATGTAAGGCTCTTGAGGGCAAGAACTGGGTTTTTTTTCTTTTTGTCTTTGTATCTCCAGCACTTAGCACAGTAGTGGGATGAAACCTGTGATTTTATAGGGAATGCCCAGATGAGAAAACCAAGGCAGGTTGTCATCTTCTCTGCAACTTATTCTCTCAGGAAATTCCTGGAGGTGCTTAGTAAATAATTGTTGATTGATTGACTTGGGCAAGAAAATCACACAGGATGGGAACTACACAGGGTGAGAAGATCTGGGTAACTTAACAGTGGGCAAAACAGAAAATTCAGAAGTTAATGTGTACTGCCAAGGGGTAACCTAGAGGTACCTAGAAACCAGACTGGGTAGGGAATCTTGTATAACACAGAAGGCAGGGGAAATTGGAGTAAATGTGGAAAACAGAATGGATGTGGAAAGGTATAAGGAGGGTAAGAAGGTTGTGGCAGTAGAGGGAAAACATACATTCATGTACACAGTCATCTTCTGGGGCAAGAAATTTAGCACTAGAAAAGACACAAGAAAAAAAACATTTATTTTTAAAGCTTACAAAAACCCTAATAAGATAAAACAAAGCGTTCATCTTAAAAAACTCAGAGGTATCAGAGATTTAGATTTTTTCTACATGAGAATCAGGGAAAAAATGCAATTTATCTAATTGTTCATTTGACTTTTATGTGTGGCACTTAACCATTCATCCTATTTAAGAGCTCAGAATTTTCTGAAGTTTTCTATTAAATTCTCTGGTGATTTAACCATTGATTTTGATGCAATAGACACCTTCCCCCAGTTCTTCCGTTACTTGGACTACCAACCTCAGGATTCGTTATTTCCCTCATTTTTGCAAAAGAAAATATCTTAGAGATGTTTAGATGATCTTGAAACTGAAAACATGGTACTTGTGATGTACTATGGCTGTGGGCTCCCACAGCTGTGGGCTACAGGATTGAAGGAAAGAGAGACCTTAGCAGGGTCTTCTCCTGATTACCTGCGAACACTTGAGCACTCCTCATTTTTTTTCTATGTTCCTTTCATAGTAGTTATAATGGGAACAAACTATGGATAACAACTGGGTTATAATTTCCTTCACTTGACTATTTTTTTTGCTTTGTGAGGTTCTTTTTTACATTTGTGACACTACCTGTATGACCTTAGGCAAGTCATTTAACATCTCTGGGCCTCAGTATCCTCACCTATAAAATGAAAGGGTTGGACTAGATGGCTCTTAACGTTTCATTCGGCTCAGAATCTATGCCCTTAAGGCAGCAAGCCTCATGAAAAACTGACTGTGTCTTACTGTACACTGGGTCTATATCAGATGGTACCTTGGTTATAATTTAATCCAGTGGTGTCAAACCTAAATAAAAACAGGGCCATTTATGCAAACCTAAGGATCCCTAAAGGCTGACTAAGTTTTAAACGTAATATTTTGTTGTATTGTATTTTTTGTTTTGTTAAATATTTCCCAATTACATTTTAATCTGGTTCCAGTCTGTTGTTGGGGTATGCCACCTGCTGGATTAATAGACCACAAGGCTAAACTTTCCCCAGGTGTGAATAACCAAGAAAGCATGGATTAACAAATGATAAGGTCAGTTATATTTATTTTATAAAAATATAACTCTTTATTAAAATTACCAACATAAATAATTAGTTTCTAGCATGTGTGTGCCTTTTCAAATAAAATACTGAGTATCATTTAAAAAAGATATGCCTTGTACCATATTGTACCCTTTTCACTCTAAAGTTCAACTTTTAAAATCATTGCTTGGTAACTCTTGGTTTTCTTTATTTTGTGTTAAGAAGAATCTTACTTTCTCTTACTCATAAAGCTTTGACTAGTAAAAAGCCTTAAAACTTCTACATATTTTTAGCAGGCTTTGTAAGCTTACTCAACTCTGGCTCTTGAGAAAGAAGGTAAAAATCTGACTTCTTAAGCACTTTTCAGTGAGCTCAGTAGAATGTCCCCGTAAGAGTAATTTGTTTTCTGCTCCTTGAAATTTGCTCTACAAAAAGCTCCCTTTCTACCTGCAGAAGCAAGATTTTGTGCCACCATTTTCACAAATTCATAAGCAGGAGACTTCATCTTCCCAGGGTCTTTATATAAAACCTCATGATCGCTTTTTTCCAGTCAGGACTCTCTGGAAGTTAGCTTGTATGTCATTTCAGCTAACTCCCTCCACCCTATTGACCTTTGAAGCTGGTTTAGTATAAACATTACTTTATAGTAAATCAAATACAATTATGCACAAATTGCCCTTGATTTTTTTCCCCTAAAAATGTTAAAACATGAAAGGAATAGAATAGTTTTAAAACAGATATACAGTGGTTTCTTTCCATCCCTTTTCGCCCTTATTCCTTTTTTTCCTCTTCTTCATCTTTTCTGTCATTCCCATTCTGGCTATCTTCTCTTCCTTTCTCCTCCATTCTTCTCTCCCCTTCAACTATTTCATATGCTAGTGGATAGAACACTGGCCCTGGAGTCAGGAGGACCTGAGTTCAAATGTGGCCTCAGATACATGATACTCACTAGCTGTGTGATCCTGGGCAAGTCACTTAGCCCCAACAACAACAACAACAAATATTTCATATGTTGTCCATCAATTTCTTTGTTTGACCCTGTTTCTCCTGCTGTGGATGCCTCTGCTTTTTCTCTATAGCCTAAATCTGCTGCCCTGGACAAAGAAGCTAGAGAAGGAGGGTAGAACGAGGTGAAAAAGAGAATCAGGAAGAGAGAGGGAAGAAATTCAGGAGAAAACAAAAAAAAATTCTGAATTGTTTTTCTAATTTGCAGCCTCACATTTCTAGTTATACCATTCACAATGACTTCTCTGGGAGAATGGGCCTTCTATTCTCCCTAACCTAATAACCCTAGTCTAGCAACCTAATAGTAGCAAGAAATTCAGGCCAGCAGCTAGGAATATAAACCTATCAAAGTGCAGAACTGGAATCTAGAAGGCTGGTTTCTCACCATTAATTGTTTCAAGTCTTTGGGGGACTTGTATGTACTCTTCATACCTAGGAGACTTTTAAAAAGTACAAGGAACTCTTAGGAGCTGAATTAGAGGATTTGCAATAGCCTTGTAATTGGTCATCCTGATCTCCAGGCTTTCCCGCTAAGCAAAGAATCTCACACTTAGAAGGGCCCTCAGAGGCCATCTGATCCAACCTGTACCTGAATCAAAATCCCCTCTACAGCATCCCTGACAAAAGATCATCTTGCCTTTGCTTAAAGACCTCCAATGAGGAAGCGTATTCTACTTTGGGACAGCTTCAAATTGTTTGGAAGCTTTTTCTTAAACTAATCTCTACTTTTCCTTACCTTCCCCCTCCAATCCATTCAACACACTGCTGCCATATTAATCTTACTAAAGTATAATTTTTCTCATGTTGTTTCCCTGTTCAAAAACCTTCAATGGCTACCCATTACCTGCTAAGTAAACTCTAAATTCCATCTGACGAGTAAGGCCCTCCACAATTTTGTCTCAATCTAATCTTCCTCAGCTCATCTCCTACTTTTTCCTTCCACAAACCCCATGCCTTAGCCAGCCTGGACTATGTGTTTCCCAAACATACTTTTTGGTTCCACAACTCCATAGCATTGTCCCTTTTGGCTGAAATCCCTTACCCTTCTGCTCTGGCTAACCAATATCTACCCATTCTTTAAGGCCCAGCTCAAGTGCCATCTTCTCCAAAAAGCCATCCTTGTTACCTTCAGTCAGAAGGAATCTATCCCTCCTCTGAAGTAATAGAAGACTTTACATATTACCGTTATTTATATGCCTGTAACAACCCTCTTATTAGACTATAAACTCTATGATGGGAAGCAAACACAGTATCTTATCTCCCAAGGTAGCTTACATAATATTTGTTGAATGACTCAACCTATGAATGAATCTAAAAGTGGACTAAAGGAATCAGGAGGAATGGCAAAATAAAGAACCTTAACATGCAGAAAGGAATTAATTATATTGTTAGCCCCTTGGGGGCAGAGACCATTCATCTAAGTTTCTGTTTCAGGGCTCTGACTACAGTGCCTTGCAGAAAGTACACATTCAATATGTACTCTTTTGGATGAATAAATGAATAAATAGGGTAGTTATTTATGAAGAATGATCCCTATTACAATGATTGGTGACCCCCTTCCCCCCCAACTCACAGCCAACCTCAGGAAACACTAGAAAGCAGACAATACCCACCCTCACACCCAGTGCCTTCCTCCTCCTACTCCCCCTGCCCCAGCCATAGCACTCCTGAATTTGCCTTTTCTAGCTACTTCACCTTTCCTCTTTCTCTGTTATCATGGCCAAATGGCCAGCTCCTCACTGCAGCCATAACCCAGAAAACCCTCATGAATTAAAGGCACTAGACAAAGTAGCAGTATCTCTGTATTTGTTTGGAGGTTGAGTGAGAGGAAAAATGTATAAATATGGTTTCAAAATAGTCTGATCTAGTAAAAAGAGGACCATGTGTTTACATCACCTTCACTTTCAAGCTTTGGTTCTAAGGATTTGGAGAAAGACATAGAATCTGCACCCTGATCATCTGCAATGACAACTGCATGGTCCCTGGGCTGAATAGAGCTTTACTTCAGTTCCCAAGAACTTGGTAAGGGGTATAGATTGGCAACCAAAACTAATAGAAGAGAGAAGCTAAGTCCAACTAGAAGTAATGAGTCCGCTTCCTCTAGCCTCAATAGGGAAAATAGGTACACTCCAACTGAAGGGTCTAGGGTCCCTAGCTCAGAAAGGAGGGTAGGGTCCCTAACACATACCTAGAACCTTCCTAGAGAGATACATTTTAGGGATTTAATGGAATTGAGACCATTTTTTTTCAATCCTTTTACCCCTAATTAGGGACATCTCTAGGATCAGGTATGGCTGGGAATACTGATCATGATGTTGGGTAGTGCATTGCGACGCCTCTTCCAGGACCCTAGCTGGCGGGCATAACCATGGATGTGATGTAGCCAAAGCGGAGTATGGGCATAGTCATAATCACGTAGGATAAAGGCACCCTGTTGCATCTCCAGTAGCTCAAAGGTCTTGCAAATAGGGTCAGCTGATACCACACACTGACCCAACCTAATTGGTCTCCTCAACAAGCTCAGTTTACCATGATTCTTATCATGAATTAGCACTAATGCGGCATCTCCCACTGGCCCCTGACCTGGGCCCTCATGTCTTAAGCCCCTTTCAGCTGGTCTCTGTAGCCTAGCCATTAGTATCACCTGCAAAGTCTGGAACTTCAGGGTTCAACTGCCCTTTCTAGTCCAGGGGCCATCCGGGGGCTGAGCCAGTTGCAGTCCTCCCTCCATTACAAAACAAAGTCTCCTCCCAAGGCCAGCCCAGTATCTTCAGTGCCAGCTCCCGTCGATCAATGGCAGCAGCTGGCTCATGAAGGTGCCAGACATTCTGGCGGAAGGGGCGCAGAGCCCAGGGCAAGCTGTGTTCCTGTCTTGTTTTCCTATTGATGTGCTCCAGGTAAGAGGCTAGGCGGCTTGTGGCCTCACATAGGCAGCCATAGTCAGGGTGGAAGGTAGCTGTGGCCTGTGTGATTCAGCTCAACAGAAGTGGATATTTGGTGATTCGCTGCAATGGTGCCATCAGGAATGAGTGCAGATTCATCCGTCTCAGTGCCGTGTTGTTGGTTTGAGAGGCGTGGAGGAAAATGCTGGGAATAGGGAATTAAAAGAGAAAAGAAAAGCCCTAGCTGCAAAGTTTGGTACCAGAATAAGAAAAACAATGAGAATGTAATTCAGTAAATAACATTTTATATTATCTAAAAGATTTTTAAAATGCAACTGGAGACACTGACTTTTTCGTGAGTCATTGGTGAGTAGTGTTTGATAGTTAGCATCAATTTTTAACCCTTTGATTCCTATTTATCAACTATTATAAAACTCTTCCCATTGCTCATCTCTTTCCATCACTGTTTATACCACAGCAGTGAGGGTGTGGGGAGAGGGAAAGAGAGCAAAAAAACTATACTTGCTCAATTGGTCCCAGAGATTTTGCTGAGTAGCAGATTTGAAGGGAAATCCTAACTATTAGAGTTGTAAAAAGCAGAACGGACTGATGCCTTAGGAGGCAATGAAAGTGCCTGCATAGTCCCTGTGCCTACATACCTCAATCCATATGATCTCCACCCTCACCACCCAACATTCCTGCTCCATTCCATACCGAAGTAGCTCCTTTTCCTTCTCCAGGGTGCTGAGAGTGCTCATGGAGAATGCTTGCTGAAGACAGTAAGTCTGGAAAGCAGGCAACATGTTGATATACTCCAGGAAGATCTCACCAATGCACACAGTCATCAGGTCGTCATCACCCTGTAAACATGAGGCAGACACCCTAACCACTCACCGACCAAGGTTTTATCAGGGAAGGAGAAGGAAACCGTGCAGCTGCCCAATTCTTCCTTCCCTAGGAAAGGGTCCTAGGGCCATTTCTAACTTTTAAAATGTGTTTCCAAGGTAAAAATGATACAAGCATAGACAATGTACCAACCTATCAAGATTTCATGATAGAATCACAAATTTAGAGCTAGAAGGGACCTTACAGGTCATTTGATTCTAACTTCCTAATTTTATAGATGAGGAAACTGAACCCTAGAAAAGGTCAATGACTTGCCATGGGTCACACAGCTAATAAGTTGATAAGACAAGGTATGAACCTTCTTCTCAGCTACACGTTCAGTGCCCTGTCTACTATTTCATGTTAAATCTGTTCTTTTTGTACCTTCCCTATTGGAGATGGAAAGTAGCTTATTACTCTTCTCTATCATAATCTGAAATGATTTTTGGAGACTACTTCCCCTAGGTTTTTCTTTTCCAAGTTAAATAAATAATCTCTTTCCCTGATCATCAAACTTCCTAACCCTTTCATTATTCCTATATGCTCCCTTCTGAATTCTTTCCAAGTTCTTCATGTCTTTCTGCAACTCATAATTAGAAAAAACCTAGTTTGGATATGAATGTTGAATCACAATACATCTTTCATCAGTTTTAATATTGGTTTCTTCTAAACACTGGCAAGCTTAGTCCAAATATGTGTGGTTACAAGTGCACAATAAAAGAAAGAGACCTAAGAGTCCTGGTAGTGGAATATGCTGAACAAGAAGAAACTGGGAAGAGACTGAGGAGTTGGAACTAGTCTTAGGTACGATAATTCTTCCACTAGGTGTTGATGGCACCTGATACCTAAGGCCCTTGAAAACATTAAATCTGATTAGAATTACACAGACGCTGGGAGAAAAGGGCAGCCCCTCTAATACCCCATACCTGTGACAGTGCTTGGGCAATCTCTTGCTGCAGGCTCTCCAGAAATCTCTCATTGAGATCAATGAGCTCCTGGATGTTGCTGAACACAACTAGCAGCTGTCCGGGGTTCAGCAGTCTGGCAGACTGCATAGGCAACTGAAACTGTTCCTTGATGATGTGCAGGTCCTCCCCATAGCTGGCTTCTGTGTGAATGAATTCCAACATCGCCTGTTTTCGTTCCCAGCGTAGCTTGGTACACTGTCCACAAAGGATTCTGTGCCCTAGGCTCCAGGCTTCTTTCTTCTCCCCCTAGTCTGTGCAATATGCCTCCGGGCAATTTGACGTTGTAGATCCCTGGCTATGCCAATTTCTAGGCAGGGCTGGCTCAAGGCCAGTGTCCACATACCCTACCTCAGCTGCCCTAGTCCTCAGGTCTTGCCATGGCTCCTGGTCTCCACTAGGCTCATTCTCATCCTGCTCCTCACTTAAACCTGTTACCCCATTGTCCATGCTAAGGCAGCCCATGTTATCCCAGTGCTGTTTGGCAGATGGAGAAGAGTTGTTCTCATCCAAGTTCCAGCCATGAGGGACAGCTGGAAGTTCTGTTCCAGGAAAGGCTGAAAAGAAGAAGATCCATATAAGAAAAAAAATCCAAGAACACCTCTCTCTCTATCCCATCCAAACACAAACAAACATTAAACCCAATTTCTTTGCAAATCAGGGAGGGAAAAATTTAGGCAGGAGGGAAGTGAAGCATTGTATTGGTCTAAGCTGCAACAGCATAAGGTCTACGAATTCTTTGAATCTGAATTTCATGAGCAAAACAGAACTCACTAATTATCTAAATCAACTCTCTTATTTTACAGCCAAGGAAATTGAGGGCCAGAAGTTAAATGGTTCATCCAAGGTCATAACTAATTAATGGTAAATCAAGGACTAGAACAGAATGTTCTTGCCATTATATCACAGTCCACCCCTGGGTGCCCCCCCCCTTATCTTACCAACATCTTAAATCTAAAACTGAACTCATCTTTTCCCCATCAAAACTTCCTTTCTATGCTATTCACATCCAGAGAAAGAACTATGGAGTCTGAATGCAGATTGAAGCATACCATTTTCTATTTTGTGGGGGGTTTTTGGTTTTTCTAATGTTTTTTTTTCCCTTTTGTTCTGATTCTTCTTTCACAACATGACTAATGTGTAAATATGTTTAATATGATCATACATGTATAGCCTTCGGGAGGGGGGAGAGGAGAGAAGGGGGAAAATTTAGACTCAAAATCTTATAAAAGCGAATGTTGAAAACTAAACATAAACAAATAAATAGATTTTTAAAAAAAATTTTAAAAGAATTCAATTAAAAAAAACCCTTCCTTCTTTCATAATTTCCCCAAGCTTAAAATTTCAAGTTAAGGAGCACAACTGTAGGGAGTATGATGATGTGGGATAGGTTTAGAGGAGTTCATATTAATTTAGCAATTAAAAATACAGCAAAACTTTGCTAATTTGTATTAATTAGAACAAATGCTGGACTAATTAATAGAAAGTCAGAATTAGAGCATATTATTTTAAAATTTTATTACTTTTCAATATCTATAGTAACTGTTACTATAGTAACAGTACTATTTCTAAATTAGTACCTCAGCTATTAATATATAAACAATTGCTTCTAACGTGATTGAAGCCATTTTATTCTCTTTAGTAGTTTAAATATATCTTTGCGGTATAATCTATATTTTTCATATATGACAAAGTTCACTTTTTGTCCAAATCAGAAATTGTGAATTAGTTGGGTCCACATTTATGAAGTTTCCTACAGTTTTATGTAGTTTCACTGGTATGAAAATATACCTGAAATAAAGACAAAACGTTGGACCAGTAATAGTTAGCTTCCTCATAAACTTGTTTTGCCACACTACAACATTTTGAAAACAACTAAAGGAGGAAAATGTTTAGTTTGGAGGAAATATTTAGTCTTGAGATAGGTGAATGATCACATGAACTTTTCAATAACAAGCCAAAGTAAGATTATTTCTCTGCTGACCTATGCTCAGAAGTTAGCAATTGTTTCCAGATTTGAGGAGAAAAAAAGCTAATCTTTTTCTCTCTTGCACTAATAGGAGTTGTTGAAATTTCAAGGGACACTTTTCCCTTTCACTGCAAAATCAATGCAAATCCCAGGGTGACCCTTGTGATTCTACACATCCACAGTTGAAGGGGCAGAGGACCAGGGGATGTCCACCATCATGATGGAGAATAGAATTGAGAAGAGGGACGTACAATCTAAGAAATGTGGATATTGGCAAAAGATATGCAATTGTTTCAAAAGCCCTGGGCCATTCAAGCTGGATAGGACCAGGTGAGAAATTTCTTTAGAAAGTGGAAGTTTAAGATTGTAGAATTTTGAGGCAAAAGACACCCTCCTGGGAGGAAAAATCTCCACGCTTTGAGTGTCATAGCTATTTATATGCTGCCTACTTGTTACAGGGACAAGGGGAGGCTATAACTAGGACACTTCCCAGGAGAGGAATGAGAAGAATGTAAAGACACAAAGGGAGTGGTGACTAGGCGAGAAACAAAATATGTTGGTAAATGACGTTTCTTGGGATGGATTGACTATAATCAGAAATGTCATTCTTGATGCAGAGCATCTGTTGCCCTTACTCAAAGGTGGGGGGAGAGAGAGAGAGAGAGAGAGAGAGAGAGAGAGAGAGAGAGAGAGAGAGAGAGCGAGAGAGAGAAAGAGAGAGAGAGAGAGAGAGAAAGGAATTCTTCAGCTGGGGGGATCTTTGCAGTTATATTAAGAAAGACTAGTAGCTCCATCTGTTGTCATCCATCTGTGAAGCCAATGGTAAAAAAAGGGCTTTTCATCATGCTCCTTGATAATCCTGAGGCTGAGGGGCATATCCCACCCAGCAAAGTGGATGAATGGATGAACCTAACCAATCTGTATAACCATTCCTCCTTCCCTGGCTCACCGTTGTGGACTCTGACACTAGAATTAGGTGGATATGAGGCAATCGGATAGGCTAGTGATGGTCACTTATCAGTCTTCCAGGACTTGGAATAGGAGAAGATAATTATTGGGAGAGACTAGGTACCAGGGTTTTTCTTGGTCTGGCATCTGTGTGTGTGCTGGTGAATGGCGGCAGCAGTCCTCAACTCCAGTTGCTTTTTCCAGCTGGTTGTTTTGGTGTTAAGCCATTAAAATGATGCTGAGGTTGGTACTCCTGGGGGGACCTGGAGCTCTCCAGGGGGTTGTTCAAACTGGAACAATGACAGTCAGGATTCAAGGTCTGTAAGATACATGGCACAGCAGTCAGTCAGGAATGGGGTCAGGAGAGGGAGTACAGTGGGGAGTAGGGGTGGGAAGGAGGGAATGGAAGGCAGTATTACAGTAGTGACAACTAGAACACTTTGGGGAAGAGTTTCAGAAAGCTCAAAGCCAAAGAAGGACCCAAGTGATAGAGAGGATAAGGACTGAGTGGAGCAATGAGGTAAATAATATCCACAGCCAGGGAAAGAAGCTACTGATCATGACCTAGCCTAGAGCAAGGTGTTCAGGGGAACAGATCAGGTGAGAACAGAAGTGGGGCTAGATAAAAATGAGAGGGACCTGAGTCAGTCACTGATATTAGCCCCATACTCACTGTAATTTTTCCCTATTCTCCTTTGTGTCACCTCTGTAACCCCCAAGGTCATCCTTATTTTACCTTGTTATCCTTTGTAGTTAGGAATTCATTACCATGGCTGGTTAAATCATTCTGGCCTTGCTTTTAGGACCACAGAATTCACTGCTACAGCAATGACATGCTGATTCTCCTCATCCTGGGTCAGAAACAAGTTTCCTTTCTAAACTGGGACATGCTCACATTGCCAAAATGAAGGACAGAGAGATAACCTTTCTCTGAACAGTAGGAAAATAGCCTGGAATCGGTGTCAGAGGTGACCTGGACTCTTATGACTTTTCTCCAGATATCAATTTTAACCTACAACTTCTCTATAGACCAGGAGTGTTTAACCTAGCATTTGCAAACATGTTTTTAAAAGATATTTTGGTAACTGGATTTTATATGATTGATTTCCTTTGCAATCTCATATATTTTATGAATTTAAAAATGTTATTCTGGAAGGGGTCCATAGGCATCATCAAATACTGCTCTAGACCATTTTAAACTTTCAGACTTGATCAGGTGCCTCTTTGCAGATGTACCCTGTGACTTCTTCCCAGGCCTAGCTCAAACTCTCCAAATCCCCATTTCACATCTCACCTCCAGATCAGAGAATATAATGGCTATCCTGCCACTTTCAACAATATACAGAGCTCTTCCCTATTACATTGTAAGCTGTCATGTGGAAAAGGACTTAGACTTATTCAGTTTGGCCTCCGAGGACATAACAATAGGTGGAAGTTGGAGAAAAATAAATTTCAGCTTGACAAAAGTCATAACTTCCTAAAAGTTACAGCTATTCTAAAGTGAGACAGATTGACTCAGGAGGCAGCAGGATCTCCCTCACTAGAGGCCTGAAAACTAAAGCTGGGTGACCACTTTTCATGGATGTTATAGAAGGAATTTCTCAGAAGATACAGGTTGGACCAGATGACCTTTCAGGTTCCTTCCAACTTTGAAATGCTGTGTTCTCTACTCACTATGTTCTGGGCTTACCCATCCACCCAGTTGAGTGTCCCTTGCAGTCTTGTCCTTCAGCTCCTTCCAACACATCTGTGTTACTATGGGAGCCTCCAGGGAAGGGTTGTTATTGTCCAAAGAAGCACAGTCAACATCCTGATAGGCCCATGGCCGTGATGGAGACTTGACAGCAACGCTGGGGCTACAGCTATAGAAGTAATGTTACCATTAGCTCTACAAATTCTTAGTTGTAAGTTGGAGGAGATAAATAAGTCAGTCAACCTTTGCTGAGTGTCTCGCTATGTACTGAATGCTGAACTAGGCACTGTGGAAGATATAAAGAGAAGAAAACACTTGGTGGTTGCCATTAATGAACTTACCACCATTTACATACATGAAATATAATAAAAATAGAAAAGTACAAAGCAATATGTAGATGTCAATAAAATAGTGCAGAGTATATATAAGCACTGAGGCATGAGAGAGTTCATAGGAAATATGACATTAAATCAGTAAATGCTTCAAGGATCTAAGTTTTTAAAGAAGGAAGGGAAATGGATTGGCAGAAAGGAAGGGAATGACATTTTAGATGAGAGAAATAGCATGTGGAAGCATAGAAGTGATAGATTCTACCCTTCCCCCTTTCCCACTTGCATATGAAAGCCACTTTCTCCTCTAGCAAACTGACTAACCTACTCCTACATAAAAGGCTATCATCATGTGGGCTCAGCTTTAAGACTGTGGATTCAGTGTGGAGTGGTCTTAGGGGGGTTGGCTAGGAGCTACGTCATCCTAGGAGGCAGCTTAGCCTAGTGGATAGAGTGTTGGCCCTGAAGTCAGGAAGACCTGAGTTCTACTCCTGCCTCAGATACTCAGTAGACCCAGGTGTGACCCAGGGTAAGTCACTTAGCTTCTCTCAAGGCCTAGTTTTTCATCTCTAAAATAGAGATAATAATTACCTAAAGGGTTGGTGTGACAATCAAATGAGTTTTACATGTACATATATATAAATATATATAAAGTGCTTTGTAAACCTCAAAGTGCAATATAAAGTGCATCATCATCATTATTATTATTATTCTCTAATCAAAAGGTCCCTGAGACCCTTGATCATCCTGGGGAGCTCAAGTCTACTTTAGAACAGTGGTTGCAGGTAACATTCTTGTCCCCATTCTGCCTGGGAGTGTCCCCCTAATTCCCAGATTAACTTTATAACAAATTGGGCCTCTGGAAGTGAGAGAGCAAGGAACCATTTACCTGAGTATTTTTCCCATAGCATTTGCCATTGTCAGCTTATACCAATTCTATACCTTTTCTTAATCAGGCCCAGGGCTAAGTCAATCATCCCATCCTTCATCTTTTGCAGTTTGTTGCCATAGCAAGACAGGTCAGTGGCTTCAAACAACAGGGTGGGACAGAAGGATGATGGTGCAGTAGAGGCTGGGGACCATTGTGAACTGTGCCGGACTACACATAGGAGGTCTAGAACGCCTGTCTCATCCTCTTCTGTCTGATCCTTTTCTTTGTTGGAGTCTCTCTGCAATATGGATCTGGGAACTGGGCTGCAAGAGATGGGATCTGGAGGGTCATCTCTGCAGGGGACGGCAGAGTTGGAGTTCTCAGGGCTAGGAGCCCAAGAGTCAGTGTCCTGTGAAATAAATGGACTTTTGTCAGTTGTTGAATTGTGAGAAATAAGGTGGTTTGGGGATGGAAGGTGCTGGGTGGAGTGTAGGCCACATAACCCCGCGCTACAGTTGTTGTTCATTTCTGAAACTGGTTGGCCCAGAGCTCTGGAGAAGAGAGAAGCCTCCTGAAAGACGAGAGGGTTCTTGTTCTCACTGCTTTCCTGAGGATTTTGGAAGTCCTCAACAATTCTTTGCTTGGGGGGTCCTAAGGATGGGTCCAGCAACTTCTGTCTCATCTTCTTGAACTCTTCAAAAGTTGGAATGTACAATCGGCCCTTGGGGTGAACTTTTCTTCCCAATTCCAGTCTCCTGGTTTCCCTGCAGTCTTGTAGAGAGTCTGTATTCCTGTATTTGATCATATCTAAGCCATGCCTTAGATGGTAAAGGGCAAGATTAGGGGAGCTGTTCTGTCTGTGGAGCTGTAGCCTACGCCTTGCTTCCTGCTTGATGTCCTTTGGGCTGGGGAGTGAATGGAACAGGCTGGGCCTAGAAAAGGCTGAAGGTCTAGAGTGAGCAGTCTTCTTGTCTCCACAGATATCGTTCTGAGGCCTCTCAGGTCCATCACAGAGCATTGGTGGACAAAGCGGCTCACTGTGCTCAGCTACCACCTTGGCGCTCTGCTCCCGAAGCTTTTCCTTTAGTACTTGCTGTGCATCTCCATGTAGCACCTGCTTGTCAATAGGAAGGAAGAGCCAAGGGGGAACCTTGGCACATAAGGGAGCAGTAGGACTGCAAAGATTAGACATCTTCAGTGAGGTGTTGGTAGGGGGTGCATCCCAGAGATCATCCATCTGGGGGCCATTCCCCTTACAGTAGAAAAACCGTTCAGCACTGCAGTCACCACAATGACCACAAGGGCTGGAGAAGCCAGTGGTACTAGAACCAAAAGCCCAGGGTATGTTTTAAGCTCCAGATGGTACCATTGCTAACCATAAGTGTTTTCTCCACAGGACAGGAAGTCAAAGGGAGAGCCCATGGTCTTTGTTCTTCAGATAGCAGGCAAAGAGTGAATGACCACATGGGCTGCAAAGGCTGGTTTTGTGGGACTCTGGTCAACAGGAGTTTCCAGGCTCTCAAAATGGAGTGGAACCAGGGCACCATGTAGAACAGCAACATTCACATTGGAGAACCTTAGACAAATCAATCAACAATAAATAAAGATATACTGTGTACATATCACACCACAATTCAGCAATAGGGGCAGTGTTAGCTGGAGCCCACTCACTTGTTTTTTTCCCAAGATCGGGGAAATAATGAAGTTGAAGCTAAAGAGAGAGAGAATTACAGAAAGGTCAAATTTCCACTACGTGGAGGTGACACGTCATATTTTGAGCTCTTCCTGTTCCTGGTTGACTCTAGTGGACACTGCTTTGTTAATTCTTCCCAATCCCAAGCATGCTTACGGATGCATGGCTAGAAAACAAGACAGAGAAACAACACCTGAGATAGCCTGAAATGTGTTACCTCACATTATAGGCTCAGTTGACCAACCAGAGACATAGATATGACCAAGGCTGTGATACCTATGTACTTGGAGCAAAACTTGAGATCATACATCCAATCCCTAAGCATATTATTAAATCTTATTTGTTTATTAAGTCACTGCTGCTGATATTAATGAAGTTAATTTCCTGATATTGTTAACAGGACTACTGTTGCTGATTTTACTAATGGGATTGTTATTATGTTCTAAGCTTAACTATCCTAGCACTAAGCAAACTTCCATAAAGGATGCCCCCTACAGCCCAATGTTTTCAGAGATGCCAAGCCGTGGGTGAGAGAGATGCTCCTTTCTGGGGCCTTCCATGTTCTACAGAGGTGACTCATCGGTAATGCTACTCATGTAAATCAGCACTAATAATGATAATAACAGCTAACACTAATACAGTATTTTAAGGTTTGTAGAGTGTTTTATGTGCATGATCTCATTCCATCCTCACAATAACCCTCTAGGATAGATGCAAAAAGGATTATCCCCATTTTACAGATAAAGAAAAGAGGTTAACCTACTTTTTTTTTGTTTAGATCTGTGATTTTATTTGTTTAGGTAATTCCCAGTAAGAATTCTCCCTCTATCAATGCATATTGACAATTGTTATTGAATTGATAGTCTTATAAAGTTTACCTCTGTCTTAGTTCTTTTCTCTGGTGCCAAGCAGAATAAGTCTAATTTTTCTTCCACCTGAGGTCCCTTCAAAAACTTAAAGACAGCTGACATTTCAGCAAGAATTTATTAAGCACATGTGTGGGCAAGGCTGTGTGCTACATACTGGATATACAAAGACAAAGAAATTAAACATTGACTCTGAGATTGTAAAGCTGGGTGTCTTGAGGGACAGTGGTGCCCTCAGCAGAAATAGGGAAGTTAAGAAGAGGGGTGGGTGGAGGCGGAGCCAAGAAGGTGGAGTACAGGCAGCAACCCAGCAAAAGTCTTACAACATTCCTCTCCACACAACTTTAAAATAACTCCTTAAATCAAATTTTGGAATCACAGAGCCAACAAAAGGTCAGAGTGAGACATTTTTCTAACTTAGAAGGTTGGCAGGAGAGGTCAAGACAATGTAGTGGGGGCCAATCTGGATCGAGACACCAGCAGCAGCTGCAGGTCTTGGGGGCAACTTCAGCAGTGACAGCAGCAGCTTCAGGAGCTCTCAGCCCAGAGATGGTAAAGGGGGTTGTACAACTGGTCAGAAAGAGATTACAGGGTGCCTTTGCTGGCACTGGGTACAACTGGTGCTGACTGGCAACCCTATTGCCCATAGCAATTCTGGAATGTAGTTCCAGGATGGAGAAAAGTGCTTCTCATCGTCTCATTGGTCACAAGGGAGCAGGGGCCTGGTTGGAGTTCCAAAGCAGAGAGGAATACTAGCACTTAGAGTACCTGGTCATAGTTCCAGGGTCAAGGGGAGTACTAGCATTTGTGGCTGCAGGGGAGTAATGCCCTTCCTAGGTAGAGACCAGAGCACTGACCAGGAGAGCAGTGTCTATACCTCTTCCTGGATCACAACACTTTGGAGGGACCTAAAACTTAGACCTCTGGAATTAGCTCTGAAAACAGCAGCATGAAAAAGCCTAAAGTTTGGGACAGTGCCTCCTTACCCTTGGGTGAACAAAGCCCAACTTTAACATAAATTTCAAAATCAAGAAATAGGTTGAAAAAGTGAGCAAATGACAAAAAAAAAAGAACTTGACCATAAAAAGCTACTGTTGTGACAGGGAAGATGAACATAAATTCAGAAAACAACAATGAGAAAACAGCTACAACCAAAGCCTCAAGGAAAAAATGCTGTTTGGACACAAACCCAACAAGAATTCTTGAAAGAGTTAAGAGATAATAGTGGTAGAGGAAAAATTGGGAAAAGAAATGAGAGTGATGCAAGAAAATTATGAAAAGAGAATTAACACCTTGGCAAAAGGTACAATTCACTGAAGAAAAGAACTCCTTGAAAAATAGAATTGGCCAAATGGAAATGGAAGTACAAAAATTCATTGAAGAAAAGAACTACTTAAAAAGCAGAATTGGACAACTGGAAAAAGAGGCATAAAAGCTCACTGAAGAAAATAATTCCCTAAAATTTAGAATTGGGCAAGTAGAAGCTAATGACTTCATGAAACATCTAGAAACAATCAAACAAAGTCAAAAGAATGAAAATATAGAAGAAAATGTGAAATATCTCATTGAAAAAAACAACTGACCTGGAAAATAGATCAAGGTGAAATAATTTTTAAATTATTGAACTACCTGAAAGTCATGATCAAAGAATGAGCCTAGGTATCCAATTTCAAGAAATTATCACGGAAAACTGCCCCAGTACCTTAGATCTACTGAGTAAAATAGAAATGGAAAGAATCCACCAATCACTTCCTGAAAGAGATCCCAAAATGAAAGCCCCCGGAATATTTCAGCCAAATTCCAGAGCTCCCAGGTCAAGGAGAAAATATTGCAAAGCCAGAAAGAAACCATTCAAATATTGTGGAGACCTACTCAGGATCACACAAGATTTAGCAGCTTCCACATTAAAGGAGCAGAGAGCTTAGAATATAATATTCTCAAAGGCAAAGGCACTAGGATTACAACCAGGAATAACCTATCTGGCAAAACTAAGTATAATCCTTCAATGGAAAAAAAAATAGAGCATTTAATGAAATAAAAGACTTCCAGGCATTACTGGTGAAAAGTCCAAAGATGAATTGATAATTTGACATTCAAACATAACAGTCAAGAAAAGCATAAGAAGGTAAATATGAAAGAGTAATCATAAGGGCACCTACGTAGCACAGTGGCAAGTGCCAGTCCTGAAGTCAGGAGAAGCTGAGTTCAAATATGACCTCAGATACTTACTAGCTGTGTGACCCTGTGCAAGTCACTCAACCCTGTTTGCCTCAGATTTCTCATCTGTAAAGTGAGCTAGAGAAAGAAATGGCAAACCACTCCAGCATCTTTGCCAAGAAAACCCCAAATGGAATCACGGAGAGTCAGACATTCAACAACAACACTAATCATAAGGGATTTGATAAAGTTAAGCTGTTACATATAGGGAAGATGATACACGTAACTACTAGAACTTTATTATTACTAGGGAAATTAGAAGAAGTCTATATAGCCGGGGGTATGAATGTAAGTTGATTATGTTGGAATGATCTTCCCCCACCCCGAACATGAAGGGATGAGAAAGAGGGATGCACTGGGAGATGGGGGAAGGGCAACATAGAATGGGGAAAATTTCCTCACATAAAAGAGGTACACAAGGAAGAGATTTACTATAGTGGAGGGGAAAATGGGGAGATGGTGGGCAATGCTTGAAACAGGAGATGGTGGTCAGAAGTAAAACAGATTTTTGAGGAGGGGCAGGATAAAAAGAGAAAGTGAAAGATAAACAGGAGAAAATAGAAGGAGGAAAATACAGTTAGTAATTATGAGTGAATGTGAATGGGATGAACTCACCCATGAAATAGAAGTGGATAGCAG